ATATATATATATCTATTGGCCCAACTTATACTAGAGACGGATCATCGCCTGGACGAACTTGGGCAAGCGAAAGATACTGTTCGTTTTCTAATTCGTCTGTGGCAAACAGACGACGAATCATCCGTCAACATACACGACTGACTACCCGCATAGTTCGTCTATTTATATAGACGAATTTAAATGGTAGTTCTTCTTGACACATCATCCTTCTGTAATCTGTTAAAATAAATACATACGGAGTGGGGACGAACTAAGACTAAAAATTCTTCAAAAAACGGCTCTTGTGGACTCTTTTCACCACATAAATAATTTCCCAATTCCCGCACACTTTTTAAACGTGCGATTCTGTTTCGTGGCTGACATATTAGTCTACATAGTTCGTCTGGGTAGTCGCATGTTTATACTCAGACGAAATGTAGACTCAGACGTCGTCCACATGGATCATCCGTCTCTATAGTATAAATCGGGCCATTGCTAGCAGTGGCATAGCAAGCTCTAAGGATTTAGTCCTGTTATGGAAATTTCAAGTTATTATTTGAAATTGAAATATCTCATAATACAGAAGATATAATTCGACTTGAAATTTGGCTAAAATGTCGGTGTTACGTGACAAAAACAATGCACTTTCGCATTGAATGAATGTCTTTGAGACATCTTGCATGGTGAAATCCCATCAGTTAATCAGCAACGTTTTGTTTCTCATATATTATGAAAATATTTCAAAATACTGTTTTGAGAATGGAAACTGAAAATAAGATAACGTGAACGATAACTTTAAAGTTTAAATGATGACACAAACAAATACAATTAAGGATATTTATATTTCTTCTAGATGACATTGGCAAAATTCTGTTGCAAAGACAAAATTACGAAGAACCATATGGTTGCCAAAAATCACGCCGTAAAAGGACAGTATTCACAATTCAACAATTAATTGAACTTGAAAGAGAATTTCAAGCGAGGAAATATCTTTCTGTCGAAAAAACACATCAGTTTGCAGCACGCTTGAATCTCTCCGAGATACAGGTTAAAATATGGTTTCAGAATAGACGGGCAAGATGGAAACGCGTACGACGTGACAACGCTTTGCAAATGGAAACGAGGAAGGCTGATGGGGAATGCATAAGATGTCAAGTGATCGTTTATAGACATAGCGATGTGTAAAAACAATAATATTTCCTGTATTCAGCGTTAGCTGAACAGGCGGCAATAGAATTTTATAATTGCCTAATTAGACCTTACGCATAATGACGTATCAAGCCGTGACGCCTGCAGGGAGGTCTGGTTTTAGTAGTCACGGCGAAAAATTCATACTTCATAATTTCCCGCCGTGATCAACAAGACCAGAATTCCCTGCAGGTTTTACGGCTTGTTACGTCTTTATGCATAAGGTCTATTGAATTGAGCACAAGAATTGAGCTTTGTAAGAATTTTAAAGCGGGAAATAAAGGGTATAGGCGTAAGATAGTTCCATATTAATTAAATTGCCTAATTGATATGTGCGTATATAAGTAATTAATTAAAAATACATTCAACGATTTAATTATTTTAAGTTAATTCGCTACATTTTCTTGTTGGGAGGAATGATGGTAATTGAGCAGAATGTCCCGATATCAATTTTACTGTGCGATACTTTATTTAAATTTTGTGAGAAGAGGATGGTACAAAGACTATACAATGCCACCGTATATACTTGAAGAAGCCAAGTTATTCTTTCAAAATTGTTTGTCACGTGCTTTGCTCACCAAACGAACTCTCTGCCAATTTGGTTAGCTTTGGATGGCAATATGCCCTTGAAAGCTCTTCCTAAAAAGGTGACAATACAAAACAGCTATTTATTCTGTGCATGCATACGTCGATCCACTTGAAGGTTAAAGAAACATTTTATGGTATAGTTTTCAATCAGTTAATCACCAACTTCCCGAGTCTCTTGCAGAGCACTTGAACCCTTAAGTACTTTAAGTGAGTTATCGTACGTGCTGCGTGATATCGAGGAAGATATTATAACTACTGCATATAAAAACAAATGAAACCTTTATTTATTTGGTTTCATATCGACGTTTTCCTTGCTTGTATATATGATCTTGCTATATATCAGATCAGCATACGCGACACGTCTTTCAAGCTAGGAATTCCGAATGGCTTCCCTGTCTTTCAAGCTAGAAATTTCGAATGGCTTCGCTGTCTTTCAAGCTAGGAATTCCGAATGGCTTAATTCGCTGTCTTTCAAGCTAGAAATTCTAAATGGCTTCGCTGTCTTTCAAGCTAGAAATTCTAAATGGCTTCGCTGTCTTTCAAGCTAGAAATTCTAAATGGCTTCGCTGTCTTTCAAGCTAGAAATTCTAAATGGCTTCGCTGTCTTTCAAGCTAGAAATTCCGAGTGGCATTTTTAGGAAATCACCTAGGAAAGGGGGCCTGAAATTAAAGTCAAAAGTTTAAAGTCAAACGTTTAGCTCCCTAACCGGGGGATTCCATATGTACCTATACATCTATGTTTGTCATAAAAAATAAAACGGCATATTATAAAAATTATACGACGATATGAATGACCGTTTTTCAGGTAGATTGCTTTATAGCTGCCTATACTCTGCGCAGCATGCCGGCATGTATTTATATTCAGTTTTAGAAATATACATGCCTATATGCCACGGCAATGTGTTATTGGTTGACCTTTAACTGATCATGCATGCATGACAGAGTCATAAAAATTTCTATCTTTCCGCTTGCACTTGCAGAGACTGAATAAAACCTTTGTTGACAAAAATATGGCGGACGAAGAGAAAATCTCGTCGTCAATAAAGGCACGTCTTTTACTGAAAATCTCGGCAAAAGAGCCATTTTTTGCTAAATTGATTTGACATATTCGCAAAAATAGGTTTTTAAGGCCTACCCGCGTTCTCAATCCTATATAGGGCGGTTTTCCTCTTAAAGCCTGGTTTACACTTGTCCTAAGAATCTGGGATTCCCTTTGTCGGAGGTCGCTGGTGCGCAAAATGCTTTGTCTATCGGAAAATGATACAATGGATCCCCGATGCTTAGATGCTAGTGTGAACCAGGCCTAATCCTCTATAGACGGAATTTTGCAGATCGAACGAAATGTTTCGATTGATTTTCTTCTTAAATGTTGAAGCGGATTCAGTAGTTTGACCGGTCGATGGAAAAGAAAATCAAAGGAAAATAATACATCTTGTCAGGCAGTGGAACCCATGCCGAGATCGCAAAGCATGAGAGAGTTCCATAGAGAGTTCCATGTTAATCAAATTGCTTAATTGATATTCTACTGTACATATGTAGGTATATAATTAATTAATTAAATATACATTCAACGATTTAATTGATTTTAGTTAATTCGCTACATTTTCTTGTTGGAAAGAACGATGGTAATTGAGCAGAATGCCTAGGCATCAATTTTACTGTGCGATACTTTATTTTAATTTTGTGAGAAGAGGAATGGTACAAAGACTATACAATACCACCAAACGAACTCTTTGCCCATTTGGTTAGCTTTGGATGGCAATATGCCCTTGAAAGCTCTTTCTAAAAAGGTGACAATATAAAACAACTATTTGTATTGTGCATGCATATGTATACATCCACTTCGAGGTTAAAAAAGCACTTTATGGTATAGTTTTCAATCAGTTAATCACCAACTTCCCGAGTCTCCTGCAGAGCACTTGAACCCTTAAGTACTTAAGTAAGTTATCGTACGTGTTGCATGATATTCACGAATCACGAGGAAGATATTTAATTACTACATATAAAAACAAATTAAACCTTTATAATATATATATAAATATATATATTGTACAATATATATATATATATATTGTACAATATATAATATATATAATATATATATAATATATATATAATATATATTGTACCTATACATCTATAGCCGGGAGTATAAGGGCAGTGAAACCCGTGCCGAGCTCGCAAAGCATGATTTAATTCTCAGCGAGCGGAAACCAGAAATATACCGGTATTAAACAATCGCTTATGTGTGCAAATGCAAAATCTAGCATGTGTACATAAACACATGCACACATAAACAATTTATTTAATGACGCATTTCTCATCACCATTAAATTGATGTCCTTCCTGAGAAGCGTCAAAGGAACAAAACGTGTTTACAAAAAGACTTTGAATAGAAGGTTTCTTGGAAGGTCTCCGATAATATTTTCGTATCATGTTAGTATGTACAGGGTAAGTGAAAAAAATTGATCCTATATGTTTCGTATGCAAATCTATCCATGTGTCCAACTGAACGCCATAGATATAGTGAATGCAATGATCATGAACAAGATTTAAATCAAATGATTCACATGCACTTTAGGCAACCTCTGTAAAATTAGAACGGCTATGTCGAGGGGTTAATTATGTGGCAAATTTACATATGGATGGCTTCAGTTTCTTTCACTCCAGTGCCGGACCGCATGTATCGCGGGCTCAGTGCCAGTATAGTCTACATTTTATATCTTGAGAAGGTAGAGAGTTTAGCACGCCTTAAATATAATATTAAATGGAGGGAAATTTCCAATGGGATTTAATGTCACTATTCCAAGATTTAGTGAATCAAAATCATGAATATTATTAATTTCGTTGTAAAAACAAGTGCGGTTGTATATAATTGTGGACCAGGAACTGTGTGACCAAGTTCCGATCTTGTGCAAATCGTTCATGAGTTTTAAGATTATGACTTGATAAAAAAAATTAGTCGTCCAAGAACTATTGTGTTCTAACACAAATTCAGTAAAATAAAAAATTTCTTACAAATCTTGAAAATGAATCATGGTCATGCACTTATGCACTTCAACGTTTATGTCTTTCTTTTATTTAAAATACAGTTATGCATTTTCGTATTTAGAATCATATATGAGTAGAGTGCTCGATATATCAAAGTATAGAGCTAATAAGACGGTATAAAATATAAAATATTAAAATATATCCTCGGTATCTTTCCTCCCAGTGTTTGAATGGAACTTCTCTATTTTAAACTTCTAGTTACGTCCACGTTTGGAAAAATGGCTACAAAGAATTTCCTTAAAAGCACTGCGAAATTTAGTGTTCAACAGCCCGTAAATTATTGGATTGAGGCTGCAATTACATCGAATAAGCCATAATGAGAGAGCGACATATTCTGGTGGAAATTCACAGCTGTCTGTAATTGCGAGACAATAAAGGATAGAACTGTAAGGTAGAAAACATATCAAGACGGCCAGAATTACAATGATTACTGTCTTGGTCACTCGTTTTTCTCTCCGCATCCTAAACGTCCCCGTAGAGGAAGCGGACGACGCTACCGATGATCTGTTACGTACCGCTTGCATAATTTTCAAATTGCAATATATCAGAGCAACTGACGGAAAAAGACCGTGAAAAAGCACAAAGAGAATTATATTAACCTTATCACTTCTCCATTTCACGGTACAATGCAGGAACTTGTAGTCGTGATCATAACCGCTTGTAAAGAATGGATAAATAGCAAAAACCACGCACCAGAGCCAAATCAAAGCGACAATAACAAGTATTAGTTTGGTCGTGAACCATTGCCTGTGTTTGAAAGGATAATTCGTGGCCATGAATCGTTCAATGCTGACGAAGGTTAACATGTTGATAGAAGCGATTACGGATAGCGTCCCCAGGACTCCTCTTGTTTCACAACTGCTAAATGACGGCGGGAAAAGGTCACGGGCTTCCAGTGGTAGAAAAATCGCAGCATAAAGGAGATCAGCGATGCTTAGATTTAAAATAATCAAATATGTTCCACCTCTGAGTTCGTTTCGTTGATAAATCGCGACGATCACTAATATATGCCCCGTCGATGCTGCTGCCGATAAAATAATCAGCAGGACCAAGCTTATATTCCTCGGCATTGGATCTTCCAAAAAACGATCGGAAATAGACGTCGAGTTAAACGCCATCATATGTACAATACAATTCGATCCACTCAATAGTGAAGAGAAATTATGCAGGAAGGGGCTGATTACTAACACATAAGCCGAATAGAATTACGCATTTCGGAGGAGTCGCATTAATTTAATTAATTACAGAAACAGACTTATATTAAGTAATATCCATATTACTAATTATAGAACGGCATCTTAATATTGAAAGCGATGTCGAGCGTAATTAGTAGTAATGAGTAATAAGCGCCAAGATAGTCTCATGTCATACAGGTGTCCCAAAAAGTCCCCCCCCTGTTGAAATGAAGCTTTTGTTGGAATTTGAATGCATGATCAACGCAGTAGTGTGTAAATAGCATAGTTATCAGGTTGAGGCATTCAAATAAAGCGTCTTCAAATGGGTTTATCATAATATTAAGGCAATCATAGGCTTGATTTCAATAGAGGGACATTTTTTGGGATATCCTGTATATCTTTGTTAAGGAAACTCAGCAATATCGGAGTTTCCGTTGAAGCTCTTAGTTGGTTTAAAAGTTATATTTCAGACAGAAAATAGTTTGTTCAAAAAGGGGTTTCTGAACAGAAGGGCCTCTTTGTTCTAAACATGAAATACATAAAAGTGTGAAGTCGATGCCATTGCCAAGTTTTTTTTAGTACGCGAGGTATATGTTTCTTTACTCTTAGTATGTACAATTTCTGGCTTTTAAGCACCTTTTCCCTTTCATTTTGTATTATTAAAATAATATGCAAAGGCTGAATGTTTCTTGACTCTGATTGGTTGATTCTAGGCATGGTTATTGGCAGTGATTTCAAACATGTGTACGTTTTTGTATATAAGTTACGGAATATAATTAATGTTAATAAAAATTTTCAAAAAATCTCGCCGGCTCCCATCCTGTAACTAGAGTTGACAAATTCTTGACGGTTCCAAGTCGCAATAAGACATTTTAGGAGAGTGGGCATTTAAAAAGATAAACGTTGCCTAAGTATTCCTATATATAGTGGCATTGGCCAATCAGAAGGATATGTAGTTTTGAGTTAACTATATATAAGATCTAACTACTCGAAATGTATTCCAATACAACCAGGAAGCAGCGTGGCAGCGTCTTCAAACAACGTCGCTTCAAATGTGGTATAACAACTGCCGGAAATAGACAAAAACACTTCTCGACGTTTCGATTTAGGGGCCTTCGCCAGGAGAGTTAACGTTAGTATGACTATATCAACTCTCCTGGCAAGTGACAATGGCCCCTAGGTCGACGAAACGTCGAGAAGTGTTTTTGTCTATTTCAGGCAGTTGTTTCACCACATTTGAAGCGAAGTCACTCAAAATGTAGTAAAATATTTTATACAACTTTCCCAGGAAATCTAGCGGTTCCCGAAATCTCCCACGCAATATAGTTTATTAGACATCCTCTTTGTGAGTAATAATACCAGCATACGACACTCTACAGGATCTTAAACTGCCCTTGAATACCTTCTACTGTCACGATTACACGTTCCATTAGATTATCGCGGTATGACAGTATCGATAAAAAAATACATGCATGCATCTAGAAGTTTGCAGTAGGATCGTGAATTTAATTTTGCATGAAACGAACAACGAAATTATCTAGCTTAATTATTACGGCTGAATATTAAGTTAATTCAATGATATGCAAATATTTTTTGCAAGTGACCTCTATAGGTATAGGTAGAATAGCGAACTAGTAAACGGTTAGAGATGTTTCCGAGTCAAATTTTTTGGACTTTATTTATGGCTTTCTTATCTCCAACGACCTTGATATCCATGGAGACACCATGGGTTCCGGAAGGGTGTATATAAGGACTTTTGTCTTCATCTCATGTGTATAATTGTAATATTGTGAGATATTTGTTCATATTCTATGAGACGTATTTGTCTGAATCTTTCCGGTATTCGTGATATGAAACAAAGAATCGCTGTTAGATAGCTATACCAAAAGTACAAACGTGAAAATACTATACGACTTCCTTCATCCATCATATACAAGCTTCGACTTCCAAACTGAGTCTAAATAATTTCTACAAAAATGGTCGATACTTTCAGACGTCTTTTGTACGACATAAGCAAACGACTTTCTGACGATGAAGTCCTAGATCTTATGTACCTTTGTAAGGTTCCACAATCGGCGAAACCAAAAATACACGATGGTAAGGATTTGTTTAAACATTTAGAAGAATCTGGTGTCATCAGTGCACAACGAGTTTACACGTTAAAGAAGGTGCTGCTTCTTCTACGACCTAAACGTCAGGATCTCTTGGACTTAGTGGAAAGAAAATTCCCGAGCGAGGTTGACAATCTTTCTAACCATTCGTTGTCCGACTGTACAACGAATACAATAAATACTATAACCAGCGAAACAAGCGGATACTCGTGCGTAGCAAACCCAAACGGTGTACCTCCAAGATCAATACAAAACACGCATTTAGTCGAGCATAATACGCGATATCAGAAAAAATACTTCATTCTGGATTGTTATTGTATTCAATGTTTTGGATGCTCCATAACGAAGCCTTTCTGCTGCTGTTACGGGACAACAGTCTTTCTCCTATTTCTTCTTCTCGTTTCCGTCGTCTTCTGGTTTTCAGGAAAGCCATACACCGTTTACACGTATCTTAATGCCGATGTTTATCGAAAGGATGTCGGTTTCGTCGTGGTGAGCGTGCTAGCATTTTTACTCGTAATTGTTGTGTTTCCATATCTCATCAAAAGACATGGCCGAAAGATGTTTTCCTGGTGTAATAGAAAACGACACGAGCATATTGAACGACGACGTAGTCAACGAAATAGAACACATCGACTGTTGCATGAAAGCCAAGTGATCTGCAATTCATCTGAGCCAATTCCACAAAGCACTACTATTGAATTAAGCCCGCCAGATCAATTGAGGAATGAAATTGAAACTTTGAAGAACGACGAAGAAACCAAAGGATCGGGGGACCAAAGTGCGTCTTCAAGCAATCAAGTCTAATATCCATGGAAATTTAATATGCGTAATAGAAACTCATTGAATATATATTTCGAAAAGAGACCCATTGAATATATAGTAGGAATCATTGAATATATACTTATATGAAATAAGTATATATTTATGTTACCTATACCTTACTTAGTCTTATTTTATACTTTATGATGCATTGTAAATGTCTCTTGGTATACTGATTATGTCAACAAAATCGGTCAAGGACCATAAAGAATTACCATTATATTGAATTATGTAAATCAGTTTTGTAAGTGTCTAGACACTGAATGAATAAACCTGGATCCCGCATCCAGTGAACTCTATGTAAACTGGAACAAACGCATCTACGAAAGCAATTATTTAGTTGACTTTCACTATAAGTAGCTATTAATATTTAATAACAAACCATCTTTCTTATACCACGACCATGAAACAGAAATTTCATTCATGGTCAAGTTTCGTTTACTTTTCAATTTTATTTCATTGATATTTAATTTATCCATGCATAAACAAGAACACGATAAACATGCAATGCTTGTTTGGACGATTTTTTAGTATCAATTCCATCTTCCACGAGAGGTTAATGCTTAATTCCTCCGAAGATAAATACTAGCCGTATTGTTCTTCCTTACGCGTTTTTGCTGGATCATAGAGAAACTGAATTTTCTGTCGGTTATTTTAGCAGCCAAGGTATTAAGCAAGCGCATAAGATAACACGTTGGATCAAATTTTCAGCATGTATAGTTATTTCACTGTATGGTATGCGTATTTTCGTTCAGATCACCGCATTAAGATTAGATCTCAGACAAACGGAAACACTACCGTTCGTTTCCAATTCTGTCCTAAAATTTCCCATTTATATTTTCTGTCTTTGTAAGTGTGAACTACAGTGAAAGACATTTCGGTTCAACTTTCTCGCACGTGACTATCGTACAACGCATTTAGATTTTATTTAAGTATCAAAAGTTTATGCACAAATGTAAAATACAGTGTAGAATATGTAGTGATAAAAATACGTATTGAAACGTAATGAAAAATATCGAATGGAAAATGGAAAAATCAGGCATGTATATGAATTGTACCTTTACTGAGATGCCTCGTGACATTTAGTCATATGCAAGTTTAGGAAATCCTTTCGACCAAATTCCTTATCACATACGTGACATTTAAACGGCGTGACACCGCTATGCTTTCTCTTGTGCCTTACAAGGTTTCCACGTTGAGCGAACCTCAACTCGCATTGGTCACATGCGAAAGGTTTTTCTCCAGTATGCGTTCTCTTATGATTTACCAAGCCACTCTGCATATCGAAACTTTTGTTACAGACGTCGCATGTATGAGTCTTCTTACGAGGACTAACTGCAGAAGCCACTCTTCGACTCGTGTTGGTCTGTACTGTGTTGGTCTGTACTGTGTTGGTCTGTACTGTGTTGGTCTGTACTGTGTTGGTCTGTACTGTATCCGCCCCCGTTTGAACGACCTCGGATGAACTCCCTTGTGTTGGAACGTCATGCGTTTTCAAGTGCTCGGTCAGAGTATCTGGATCATCACATTTCTCACCACATTGCAGGCATTGATGCGGTATTTGATCATTTTGACGAGTTTCATTCGTCTGGCCCGTGTCAGAGCTTTCGTTATTCTGCATATTGACAGAATCTTGATTGGCTGCACCACTCTCCTCGCTCGAATGACCCGCTTGCCTCAAATTATTCTCCAGTCCCTCTTCGCAAGCTTGACTTGGTTCGTTTGCTTCACTCGTTCCCTTCGATGGACTGATCTGAATAGTCTCAGTTGCCCGTTTTCGCCCCCGAGATATTTTAGGCAAATGCACTTTTCCGTGTGTTTTCATCAAATCCTTGCGCTTAAAAGTCTTCGGACAGAATGGGCACTTGTATGGTCTGACATCAGTATGGTTGTCCTTGTGTCGGCGCATGTTCCCAACTTGGCTGAAACTCATTCCACAAACATCACAAACATAGGGCCTTTCTCCAGTATGTTTTCTCATGTGTTGTTTCATTGCTCCCACGTTGCCGAAAATCATACCGCACACCTCACACTTGTGCTCTTTCTTAACGTGGCCCGCTATATGATTCACGAGACTTTCGGCGTCGGAGTAACACATTTCACAAATATTACACTTGTACGGATTATCCCTGCGGTGAGTTTTGAAATGTTTCTCAAACAACACCGGGTCTGAAAACCTCGCTCTACAGGCCTTGCAACACAGAACTGGATGAGCAGCTTTCTTATGAGCTTTTAAATCGTTCTTGAGGGAGAATAGCTCAGAGCATAAGTTACACGGAAACCCATTTTCTACCCTTTCGTGGATTTTTCTGTGTGTCTTTAGAAGATCCATCCTGTTAAATTTTCTTTCACATGTTTCGCATTGAAATGGTTTGTAATCGGCATGGGTCAACTTATGACGGTTTAAGTTTCCTGTTTGCGAGAAAGTCCTATCACATTGGTCGCAGGCATGAGGTTTCTCACCAGTATGCTTTCGTTTGTGGACAATAAATGCGCTCTCCACCGAGAACGATTTATCGCACAAATCACACTGAAATGCTTTCACCCCGTGAGTTTTTAAATGTTTCTTCAGCAGGGACATCTTTTCAAACGCCTCACCACAAACTTGGCAGTTGAGATCTCGTGCTTCAATATTGCTGGAAGTTGACTGACCATCATTAGAATGTGACTTTTGGTGCGTCTTCATTGCGTCCATCCTTAACAACGAGTCATTCAAGTAACCTATATATGCTTATATATATATATATATATATATATATATATATATATATATATATATATATATATATATATATATATATATATATATATATATATATATATATATATATATATATATATATATATGCCCGGCTTGCGAGAGTTTGCGAAAATTCACGATTTAAAAATAAAAAAGTCCTTAATTTTGGGATAATCTTTCATTAAATTCCGCTCTCTCCATGCAGGCAAAGCCGTGGCAGGCAGGCATAGCAGTGTAACAGGGGGGGGGTTGTACAATCCTACGTTTTGTCGACAAAATGGACGTAGTTTATTATAATTGGTTGTTGTCATTTATTGACTGCGGTCAGCTTATGCATGCAATCTTTATCTACTGACAACTCGTTGAATATAACCCACGCCCTCATTTCATGCGGGTCTATGTAATTGATAGAACCTTATTATTATAGGCCTTTATAAAAACTGCGTTGTGACGTAGTTTTTGGAGCAACAAAAACATACTCTCATTGGCCATTACGTCGTTCCGCAGACTTTTCACACTCTTCATACAACCCACCTGGGGAAAGTCTTGTCACAGTGCGTACATTTGTATGGATTGTCTCCCGTATGACTCCTCTGGTGCCTCAGCAAGTTGCCCAGCTGAGTGAATGACTTGTCGCATTCAGTACAGTCATACTGAGTCTTCTCTTCATGACTTTTTGCATGCCGTTTTAACGATCCTATAAGGAAAATCAAACAATAGGACTATTTGAAAACCCTATATAACAACCGGCCTCACATCTTTCAGCTATATAAAGAAGGCAGGCAAATGATTTCCGGTATGCGAGGGCACACAAAAAGCGAAATGGTAAAATATTATATATTGATAAAAACATTGAAATCATCAGGGACCGCGGTTGTTCGAAAGGCGTTAAAGCTTAAAACGGCGGACAAGTTCAAAATGAAAAACAAAATTATTCATTTATTGAACAACTGAGCCGAACTATTCCGATGTAAATAATTGTCAATGTTTAATTGGCAATGAAAGTACATATTAAATGCATAAGATGTAGGTTCAATCATTTGCACGATGTACGAGAGTATTTCTAAAATTTAACTTATCCACCGTTTAAGATAAACGCCTTTCGAACAATCGGCCCAAGGTGAGCATGCGCATAAACAATGCTTAGCATAGATTCAGTTGAGACGACAGGAAATAGTCATTTATTCTAAAAGTAAACTAGAAATTAAAAGTACATAAAGCGATCTTGTTAAGAGCTGTAGGTGATCAAATAACCGCAAAGAAACGAAAATGCTTTCTTTGGAATGTTTTAACCGGCCATTTTCTTTTTGCAATGTTGTTTCACTTTAGCGCAAGAGCCAAGTATAAGTTTTGAAAGTTTAACGGTTTGCACTACCTCCTCCGCAGGCGCTAGGGAGCATTTCGGGCGATTTTAAATTTCTACCCGCAAAATATCACCGCCCGCCATATTTGCCCGAAAGGGCCTGCGGAGGAGGTAGCGGTTTGTATATAATTGACATTTTTGAAATTTCTATGGCAGTTTCAACTTGAAGCTTTCTCCTGTCATCTAAAACTTGAGATTCTTGAAGTGGGTGAAATTTCGGTAGTGAATCTTATTACTTTTTCATAAATATTCTTACTCCGGCAGGATCATATCAATGCTATATTTATTTGCCGAAGCTTTTCTATTTTCTTTTTTTAATTTTCATTTAATACCCTAATAAGTTTGAACTTATTTTCGTTTTTGTTTTCCAAAACACTTTATTCTTGTGTTCGTTTTTTGTGATTTCATTTGACTTTGTTTCTTTGAATAAGCGAGAAGTAGAAAGTTGTTTTGTCAACTATATCAGATCACAAAGAATGGCCAAAGCCAATTGCGAGTATTCAGAACTAAAAAGTGCTCTACTTGAGGTTTGGTGTCCCATCGTTGGCGCGCGCTCTGTGGCTGATTTATGGACTAATCTTCTCGGGCAATTGAGACACGACGCTTGGAGCATATTGTATGAAACGGTGGTCAAGCATTTTAATCTCTCACAACGATATATCGAGCAGCAAACCTCTTTCAAAACCAACATCGCCGATTATTTTGATAAAGAGCCGCCATTTGAAGTGAGTGAAACATTCTTATCTGGAAGTTGGAGTGAAGGTCTTTTCTTGTTCGCTGAAGACTCGATCATCGAAATACCAGACATGGACTTCATGTGCGTGTTGAAGAACATCTCATTTTCGATGGACGATCAAGAACGAGGAAACTTAAGCTTAAAAGAAGATACGCCGTTTGTCCACGCGTTTATTACAAGTGAAGATAAATTGAACATGTGGAATGAGTACCTTGTTGACGAAAGGGATGGTCAAAATAGACAGCGTTTGTCATCGATTAAATTGAAGAAAAAATTAGAAGAGAACTGCGCATATATCGGGAACCTTTACAGCCGTTGCTCGGGTGGGGAAACGCGTGAAAAGGTTACGGACGGCCCAGCAATTACTATAAGTAAACCAAAACCAGGTAAATGTTATGCACGATGTATCACGGATGCATTTCAATTGCTTGACAAACCCATCAATGAAGTATTAGTTTCTGATATTTTCGATGAAGTGAACATGGCAATTCATGATCTTTTTTATAAAATGACGCCCTCCAGCGACATTGTTTTGTGTATATTCTGCGAAGGGTGGCCTTCTTGCGCACGAGAATGGTTGAGACGAGAGCGGCATTGGCCGGATGCCATTTCTGTGAGGAAAATCACACAAAGTGGATTCCACATCGTCCCAAAGAGCTCGGCAGACGGAGATTTTCGTTTGTCTTTTTCATGCGCTGAAATGATGTTGGTACAAACCTTTTCAACACTCCAGCACAAAGTATTGCGAGCTTTTAAAGCCGTAGTAAAATATCATCAAACTACCTGGAGCCCTGATCTCAAGGATATTCTATCAAGTTATCACATTAAAACCATCGCATTTTGGCATTTTGAGAAATCTTCAAAAGAATCGTGGACTGAAGAAAACATGGTCCATCATCTTGTTTCATTACTTGATGAGTTAGCAGAAGCTGTTAGAAATCAAAATCTTCCAATGTACTTCATGCCTAAGGTGAATCTTCTACAGAAGGTGGATGACCCTGAGGTCGCGTTGGATGTTGCAGAAGGGATTGTAAGAATTTCGAGCAACTTTTGTACCATTTCAACTGCGTTGAGTAACATTAACCTTCCCAGATATTTAAAAGCACGTGAGAAAGAACTGAAAAACATCTTCAGAATATTGAACAGTAAATGCGCGGAGAAAAGATCCTCAAACGACACAGACGCGATTACACTGGCGATGATCATTAAAAGAATTTTCAAGTAACGTCGATGATCATTAAAAGGAATTTCAACCGAAATAGACATGGAATGCGATCTTATAACAAAGTGATCATTGTGCTTATTGTTTTCTGACGAATTATTTTTATTGATGCAGTAAAAACCAAGAAAAGTGCCCAGCAAAACTTGTAGTTTATATGACGGCATGTACCATTTCACTCCTTCCTGAGTAAAATAATAAAATCCAACTGGTATACAAGTACAACTGCATGTATATCACTTGTTAACTGAGACGTAGATTATGTCTTGTTATAGGGGGAATGGGAAAGCTCCATTTTAGGATAAAAATTGCAAGTTTTAAATCAATGAAGGGCATTGAAGCAGGTAAATCGCAACATGTGTACATTCAGTGCGGCTTTGTAGGGGGGGGGGGGGTAGCAGGCCAGCTGTGAACACGCATGCATGGAGTTGCGTACAGTCATAAGCTGTAAGTGATATCACAATATTCATGTTCGTTCGAAATAATCCAAAAATGAGGTCACCTCACGCGTTGCTTAGATCATCAGTTCCTCAGGTAAGACTGGACCGAAGGTCCGAAACAATTATAATTTAAGACTCATTTTCTCACGTAATCCCCCAAAAATGTGACTATGGATTTTAAATTTCACTTACTGCACGTATAATACTGCTGATTAAATAACCTTTCGTTTTTGTTTTTCACAACTCTTTGTTATTGTATTCGCTATAGTCGTGACTTTATCTGACCAGAAGTGGGCAATTGTGTTTCTCAATCATTCAAAAAAACTATAAAAATGGCCGAAGCCAATTGCGAATATTCTGAACTTAAAACTGCTCTGCTTGAAGTTTGGGCTCCTCCAGTTGGCGTGCGATCTTTGGAAGATTTGTTGCCGAGTCTTTTCAGGCAACCGGCATTCTACCCTTTCGCAATATTCGTTGAAGCATCAGCCGAGCATTTGAGCTTTCTCTTACAAAAATCGATGGGATTTTTTGCCTTATTCGATAGAAATATCGACGATTATTTTGACAAAGAGCCGCCGTTTGAAGTGAGTGAAACATTCTTATCTGGAAGTTGGAGTGAAGGTCTTTTCTTGTTCGCTGAAGACTCGACAATCGAAATACCAGACATGGACTTCATGTGCGTGTTGAAGAACATCTCATTTTCGATGGACGATCAAGAACGAGGAAACTTAAGCTTAAAAGAAGATACGCCGTTTGTCCACGCATTCATTACTAGCGAAGATAAATTGGGCATGTGGAAAGACTACCTTGTTGACGAAGGTGACGGTCAGGATATAAAACGTTTGTCACCCAATAAATTGAAGAAAAAGCTAGAAGAAAATTGTGCAGATGTTGGAAACCTTTACGTCCCATTCGCGGGCGAGGAAAAGCGGGAAAAAGTTACGGAAGGCGCTGCAATAACGATAAGTAAACCAAAACCACGAAAATGTTTTGCGCAATGTCTCATGGATATTTTGGCAAAGTTTGCTGAGCCAATCAGTGAAACATTCAAGTCTGATATTGGCGATGAAGCGAAGATGCTATTTCATAATATATTTTATAAAACGAGGCCCTCCAGCGACATTGTTTTGTGTATATTCTGCGAAGGGTGGCCTTCTTGTGCACAAGAATGGTTGAAACGAGAGCGGCATTGGCCGGATACAATTTCTGTGAGGAAAATCACACAAAGTGGATTCCACATCGTCCCAAAGAGCTCGGCAGACGGCGATTTTCGTTTGTCTTTTTCATGCGCTGAAACAATGTTAGTACAAACTCTTTCAGCACTACAGCACAAAGTATTGAGAGCTTTTAAAGCCGTAGTAAAATATCACCAAACTGCCTGGAGCCCTGATCTCAAAGAGATTCTATCAAGTTATCACATTAAAACCATCGCATTTTGGCATTTTGAGAAATCTTCAAAAGAATCGTGGACTGAAGAAAACATGGTCCATCATCTTGTTTCATTACTTGAGGAGTTGGCAGAAGCTGTTAGAAATCAAAGTCTTCCAATGTACTTCATGCCTAAGGTGAATCTTCTACAGAAGGTGGATGACCCTGAGGTCGCCTTAGATGTTGCAGAAGAGATTGTAAGAATTTCCAGAAACTTTTGTACCATTTCAACCGCATTGAGTAGCATTAACCTTAACAGGATGATAACGGAATGTCTAAATGCATGTGAAAGGCGTGTGAAAGAAATAGTAAGTGAGCATAAAGTATTTCACAGTGAATGTGTAGAGGAAAGCTCTTCACATGGATCAGATTCTATCACACTGTTGATGATCCTTGAAAATTTAAGGAAGAATCTAGCTACTGGTTTAGACATGTGATAACAAAGTATTTTCAGGTATATAATCCACCGTAGTAATAGCAATAATTGTGATGGAGTATTTTCAATTATGCAAAAAAAAATCGGAGATTAAATCAACAGAATTAGATATAATAGTAAAATTTTTGTCTTTTTGTCAATAGCTCACATATGCATCTTGAGTTTATACAAGATGTTATTCTTCTGAGTATGTTTTTCATGCTGTTCTAAATGGATTAAAATACATAGTCCAATTATTTTTAAAACTAGAATAAAACTAGAACATGAACTGAAAACTAGAACATGAACTGAAAACTAAGACATGAGAATTGATATTATTTTACTTATAATAAAGCTGAAGATGGATGCATATTTTTAACAGTTGATGTATTTTATATGAAGTGTATTAAATTTTACAAATTTGTAAACTTTGGGTTGGATTTCACTCTCAAAAAGCTATTTTGGTTAAGTTAATATTCATGATAGGGGATAATAAATTGCAACATTGTAAATAGAAGAAAATATTTTAGGCACTCTTCAACATTAAATCCATAAAAAAGGTAAATATTGCTAAAGAAGCAAATTTTGTGTTGTGTTTTCACTGTTTTGATACTGAACTCAGTGAACTGCATAGGCATGTATGAAAAATTTATAGTAAAATGAAAAATATATTTCATCTGTACTTCACTGAATTAGCATGATGACTTAAAATTACAAAAATGGGAAACATTGGAAAATTTAAAAAGTATATACCACCTATTATAAGTTTTTTCAGCACAGAGAGAATGCAATAAGAATGTTCTCTTGTGCTATCAATGACTTTACACAAACTGGTATTTGTTAAATGGTTTGGTACCATAACATATATTTGCTGGAGGAGCTTGTGGGCCCATGATAGTGTTCAAAATGCCTAATCATTCACAATATTAAGGAGCAATTTTTCGTCACATAATGTCAAATTATATCTACTATTAATATATTTGAAACTTTGTGCAAGAAGAGTGAGATAAGGCTAGAAAATCTTAAAATTATAACAATAAAAAGTAACTTCTCTGCACTGGCTAAATGACTGGCTAAATGACTGGCTAAATAAAAACTGGCTAAATTAAAACTGCCACATGAAAAACATTGTCTTTAATTATGAAGACTGAAAATATAGAAGAGCTTTAATGTTTCAAAAGAGCTTTTTACTCTTAACAAATATCATTAAAATGGTAGTGGTGCACATAGTTCCCACCCCCTCTCAACTCTCAAGTCCCAAGACAAATGTTGCAAGTGTGATTATATTCATATTGATAGGTGCGTGGATAAAAGTTTGGGAAAGGGGGGATGCTTGAAAAAATTATCTCCTTTTTCCCACACCCAAGGGTCCCATTCCTCAAATATAGGTGATGAATCATACCTGCATGCAAAAAGGCCTTGTTGCAAACACCACACTTATGAGTTTTCTCACGTGGTTGGATTGCTTCAGTTGCTTGTGCTGTTTCTCCTTCTTGTTCTTCGGTAGAAACACCAAGAACATCGTTTGTGGTTGCTGGAGTGACTGCAGTAAAAGAATTGCCAACCGTCTCAAAAGTAATCTGGGATTCTCCGGCATCGACAAGCTCAACTTGTTGTTCATGCTGGAGCGGCTGGGCACAATCCAATGAGCTTTGTCCCTGGGCTTCGACTTGGTCGCCGTTCGTGTTATTTATGACAACAAATTCAAAGTTTGCCTGGCCCTCGCCGCTTTCTGCTTGTTGCTGGTTTTGTACAGCACAATTCAACGCTTCGATTATGATATTATATTCCACAGGAATTTCTTCCATAGCTTAGAAATTTTCCTTAAAACCGAAACAGGAATGTGCATCGGGTCGCAAGGAATATGAAAATGGCGGCAGAAAAATTTGCTGGGCAAATACTTCATGATATACGCACTCAACGTATTGGTTGGGTTAAATTACTTAAATATAGTATATATAGTGTGAGTCAACTCAAGAATGACTCTGTCTCGTTAGTTAAATAGTACTATTCTACCATTCTGAAATTGTACCAGTCGTTAAATACTTCATTTGCTGTCGAAACGACACATAAGACATGAGTTGACTAGTTCGTATTTCCCCATAGACGAAAGGCCAAGAGTTGTGGGCTTGTGGCCTTTGATTGGTCAAGCGACCTCGGATTGTTACGCGATAATCAAGACTTCGTCTCGGCTTTTATTCAGCGATATTCACCTTGCTTTCGGGGAATAATTGTTAAGTAGTGAGGGCTATACTGATAGAAAGACTGATCCTGACAGACAATCTGCCATGCAGCACTCCCAAATGTTTGGCGTCGACGCAACTAGACTGGGTACGAAAGAACCATTGCAAGAACCTATCCACATTTCCTTTCTTTTTAATTAAAATTGAAAATTATCTTTATAACATTTTCTAAGTAGCTATATTCATCTATGTCAATCATCTGAAAAAAAATCATCTAGTAATTTCATAGTCCATCAGTTGCAGTAACTGTGTTTTAGGAAAAAGAGATCCAACTATACTCAAAGCCTGTTCCTCATGGTCCTGATGTTATCGGTTTTTCTGTAGAAAACAAATAGAATATCGAGTTTATTTACTGCAATACAATGATTGGACATCCGACGCAGTGTTAAATATACGTGGTGTACTCCCAAAGCTATAATTATACATAATAATGATGTCCAATACAGGCAATGCTAAATTTCGTGGCAAATCCGTGCCCTTTTTTAGTGCCATTCTTGCAGGGGCCGGTTGTTCAAAAGCCGGATAGCTTAACCCTGGTTAAAAGCAAATCTTTATCTTAATTTTTTAACCTCTTGTTTGCAAAGTTCTGTAAGTTCATAATCAATATTTCATAAATAATTTCAGGACCGATAGAGGTCACGTTTTACAACGAACAGTGGTTCAAAAGCACATAAACAAAAACTTTTGAATATAATTTAAACCTGGGTTAGCGCTAACCTATCTTGGAAACCGGCCCCTGGTTTCTTAATCTCGTCGTAATTTTTTTTCTTAATCGACTAATTTCCCTCTTCGACGTTATTTATTTCGGATATTTCATGACATTTTAACAGATTTTTCCATTCATTAAAACGCTTTCGTTTTTCATAGTCTTATGCTCACCTTGGTCTACCATTGGTCTTCGGCCCAAAAATCTTTGAAAAAAGTGCTCCATGCTGGACAACCTTTTGTCAACAGCTCGATCATGCTTTTTCAACTCTTCGAGAATCTTATTGTGGGCGTAGGAAAGTTGAACTATAGAAAATATGAAATCAGTTAAACTAGGCGCCCAGCCTGCAGTTAAATCAATCAATCAAAATTGCCTTAGACAATACTCTATAGTGTTTAGAGTCTGTTGTAGAAATATAAACACTGAGAGTGAATCGAGTTACGTACTTTGATTACAATTCTTCCCATCCCCGATATAACCAACTGGACAGGTGCAGGTGTACGATCCGTCGGTATTAAGACAGTTTGCGACAGAATGGCAACTATTTGCTGAACTCGTACACTCGTTGACATCTACAAGAGCAGTAAAGGTGAGAATACGAAAATGACATCCCAGAGAACATAACAAAAATAATGATTGCTCCATCTACCGAACACGAGAAGGACGAATCGAAAATTGATATCAACTGATAGCACTGATATCAACGGTGTAATCAACTTTAGCCAAATAGTGAGTGAAATAGCCACACATTATTGGTAAAGACAATGGCAAAACCAGGGTAAGTGCTCTGAGTAAGTACTCAAGCTACCTTCGTCCTTCGCCGTGAAAAATATAGCCTGCATTTAAGATAAAGTGTCATTGCCGCATTCGACAAGACAGAAATGCACTAGGATTAACTAGACGCATGCTGAAGGTTGAAAAGGAAATAATGCCTTACCACTGCACACCGTGCCATTTCCTGTATATCCTGTATTACAAGTACAGGTATACGAGTAGAGTGTATTAACGCATGTTGCATCATAATGACAATTGGCAGTTCCCAATGCACATTCGTCAATGTCAGCTATGGTAAAAAAGATATGATTTGAAAAAAATATAAGGATTTAAAGCTCCTTACAACCTTTCCACAATGCCGAAAAAGTTTGAATTGTACTGCATGGCCATGTAACTCGTGTGCATGATTTTGACATTCAGTAATTGCACGACTCCTATCATGCACCATTATATATATATATATATATATATATATATATATATATATATATAATTATATATATATATATAATTATATATATATATATATCTTATTTACATGCCTTACTATAGTTACGTAGCATATACTTCTGCATGCCAGTATCTGCGTAGTGCGGGCAGTATATTTCCAAACAAAGAGATTTTGCCACGTTTGAATGATATATAACTGCGCACATAGTAAAATCCTTCGAAAAAGTCATCTAACATGGCAAAAATAACGTAATTTGCAAAACAATGTTTAAGCTAGGTCAAACCATTAAAATTGTATTAAGTTTGACGAGTTATACGGATTAATAAACTTTGTAAAAACCTGCAGGTATTTCACAGATGAAAGGCCTTGCCAATGTACACGGGGCGTCATTCCAGTGACCATTTTCCCACATTTCAACACAATCTTCGTTCCCACCGACATTGTTGGGTTCGCCAGTGTTCCACCGCAAATAAGGTGAAGGTTTGCCATCAGGATAACACCATTTGGAATTTGATTTCTTTATACCAATCCAAACGCGTTTTTTTTGCCAATGATTGAAGAGGAATTGGTTGAGAGAATATCTATCTATTGTGGCTAGTTGTCCGCCCAATATTTTGCAGGATTTGTTGGCTTCTACCCATGTTTTTTTGCTCGTTTGAAAGCTATAACAGGTACTTCCAAAACGCCACGTGCTTTGCGGACATCCTGGAGCACATTGTCAGTGAGAAATGAGTAGAAAAAAGTTACAGATGCGGAACTAGTGTATATATCCACATTGTGTGTTCATGCTAGTCATGCTATATATAGGTCGGGTCCTGAGAGAGTGAGAGGCGTATAGTAAAATACATACAGGTAAAAACACCATAAGAAGGACGACATCGTTAATTCCCTATATACAACGACTATTAAAACAATCGAACACCCCACAATCATGATTTAAAATCTGAACGCCCATGCACGCAACAACGTATATCAAAATTCCTTTACAAGTTTGCTATATACAGGGTGTCTCAAAAAAAACGCAACCACTTAATATTCTAAAATTCATATTGTTCATAAGCTCAATAGATTTTATGCCCCTGGGATTTTAAAATAGCTTCTAATCGTACAGTTCAACTGCTAATAGTCAAATCAGCTAAACTAATAATGGTGCTGCTAACAACCGAACAACGAGTTTTTATTGTCGTGCATGATAACTTGAATGCTAATTGTCGACCTGGTAAGATAAATTGTAAATAAAATTTTACTCGTTCAATACTTTCAATTCAGCTCGTTGGTTTACGCACCCGACTTTGTTTACCGACGATTGTGCCGCTAGAATATGATTACATAAGCTTTCTCGCATTCCAGGGGCCAAACGTCTTTTGTGTTATAGAACAAAGAGGATATTCATGAATATTAAGTGGTTGCGTTTTTTTTGATACACCCTGTATATATACGGCGTTCAGTTCTCATTAGCTCAACCATGCGAACTTATTTGCATTTATTAGGCTTTCCTTATTAAATATATAGGCATTGAACAGATTTTCCTACTTAGCTTTTACATGATAATCACGATGTTACTCCGGCATATCTGTATATAGCACAATAACACATTACCGAATAGAGTAACAATACTCACGACATTGTTATTTATTATTTAATCAATATTTACACAAAAGAAAAGGCAAAGCCAACTCACTGCTAACAGCGCTGTGGACTGGCGTCTTCATGAACACCAATATCAAAGCAACCAAAATCACTCCACAAGATTTCATTGCGAGAACTTCTGAAAGTGGTAAGAAACCTCAGCGTATTCAAACGTTTCAGGATTGAATGGCAAATAAAGCAAATTTTGCCCATATTTATATTTTATAGAAATAATTTGATTATATGGTTGCGATTTTAATTTGGGGATGGAATTTCTCCGTTGATGTCAGTCATGGCCATCATCGCCACACTTAATTAAAACCAGTCTATATTTATCAACATGTGAACTTCCTGATCAATAGGAAGAGTTTTTCTGACGAGAGCACAACTGCACGCATGTAACCGCATGCATGTAACACAAACGGCTTCAGGAAGTTGTAAAAGCGCTGCATATAGGAAGGAATTTTCAGCTTCCGCGTGGGAAGAAATTTTATCTGCATCCTTGCATTGTATCTCTCGAAATTGCAGGACTTTATATGCCCATATGTATTTCATTTTATTTCCGCATCATGCATGCAAGGCTGCCTTTCATAATTTCATCATAGGACATTTTAGCTCTTTCGTTTTGACTTCAGAGAGTAGCATTAAGGCAGCATATATACTAGCTGATCCTGTATTTGTATATTGAATCTTAGTGTTGATGATTTCTGAATATACTTGTCCTCAAATACTAAGGACAACAGACAACAGACAGAGGACAATAGCACAGAATAGACATGTTGACATAATGTTTTCGACTTTTCGTGTCCGAAATTTTTCAAAAGCGCACGCGTCATCTACGCAATTCTACGCCATCATGTGATATGCATGATTATATACTTCTGCGCAGCGACGAAATGTTTCCAACTTCCTGCAGGCCTGATGGTCTTTAATAATTCTAGTGGAATATCTCTTCTGCCATAAACCTGAATTGCTTAGACCACCTATTGGTTTTTATTGGGAAAACAAAACTACGGAGTGTATTACAAAAGCACATACACAACTTACAAATATCATGAATATTCGCTTTCTATTTCATCACAAAATATCGAAACCATCGGATATTTCATGAATGTTAATAGTTTGCGTTTTTCAATACAATGTATAATTAGTGCATGTATTATAATATAGTGTATAATTAGTGTATAATATACATATTGTATTCATTTGATTTCTATTTTTTGTACATTCTCTATGTGTTGCAAGATTCATATCCTAATCCCAATTATCACACTTTCCTTTATTGCATAAATGTTGAGTGCATGTTCATTGGATCTGCTTAGCATTCATGCGGGCCTCACTCACGCTGTGATTCCGTTCAATCTCATTATTAAGAAGAAAAGCATTACCTACACGCATGTTCGAATGAGTTTTCATGAACCTGTTGACAGAAGCGGAAGACGATCGATTGTGGCTAGCTGTCCACCCAATTGATGTACAAGCCTTGCTAAAATAGAATCAATCCATTTTATATTTAGAAACCGGCTGGGCTGCCAGAGTACTGAGGTGCAGTGCACAAGAAACTATTTAAAAAGTAGCTAGTCTTGCAAACTATGCAATATATTTCTAATATCGATCTCTGAACTCGAAGGCTCATTAATAGAATTAGAAACCTAGAATTAAATTCACCTATGCCAGCGATGTAAACCAAAGTCATATGCATCAATACGACAACCGTTATCGCTCGAGACATATGAATTCTATTTTTGAAGGTGACAGATGCAATTTAAGCATGTCTGCACAGAATTGAAGTTAATTTTTCCTGTTGTTTTTTTACCCAATAACCCAAAATCCGCAAACTGTCAAACGTTATTAACTCTAATACCTAAAGTGTCGCAGGAATGTCTTTCAATTAAACTTTTTTCACCTAAGGAGTTGATTCTGAAATCACTCGGGTGGTTTCGGCAAAATCGCACTACAATACTATGTATTTTATTCACTTTGAACTGTAGGTAAACAGAAATGCTAACTCCTGCAGAGTCCTGACAAACATCCTATATTAGCTTGAAGCCAAAAAAGTTTTTCAGTCGGGCTGTGTGTCAAATTAAAGCTATATATATTGAAAAGTTATATTTGGTGTGTTAAATTTCAAGACAAAGGAAATATTTAAAAAAACAAAAACAATTGCCAACCGGCAAAAACTGACCGGGAAATTTTCAAATTTTTTTAGACATTCCCTTTAAGCTAAAGCATACCTATCGCTAAAGTCTCGAAACTTCTACAGGAAATAAAACTTTTTAATAGCCTTAATTTCGTATACGGCTAAACATTTGGCGTACAGTTTTTCAGCTCATAGCTCAGAAAAAGTAAAAAGCACTGGCTTCAATTTTCCCCCATGAGTTATCGTTCCAGTTTGTTTACAGTTCAACTTTAATGATTCTATGTGATCACAACGTAGACTGATCAGTCACTGATCTCAAGATTACCGTGGATAGACCTTGGGCGAGACTTGGAGCATGTCTAATCACAACGTGACACTTATTTATAATTATTATTTGTATCGATGTGCAAACATTGAAAATATAAGACTAAGACGTAAACAGTTCATATCTGACCAAATTCATCCACACAACAAGTTTCAAATTGCCAAAACAGGTTTAAACGTTTATGTCTATCCGATGTCAATCCAGCCATTTAGAGTAGAAATTTACCCACAGTTTAAAATAGTTAAGTGGTCATCGGCTTACACACCAAAAAAATACCCCCAAAAAATGGCTGCCATAGTCATCATCGTGAGAAGGCTAATTGACGCTTTTGCCATTCTAACTGTAGCAATTCTAAAATGCCATTCTAACTGTAGCAATTTGGAATAAAACTATCAATGTTTTTGAATAATTGCAACAAACTTTCTAAAGAACGTATGTAAGAATCCCTAAATCTTCTAAACCTTTTTCCGCAACAGTTTCTCATAAAAACTTTCTCGGGCGTTTATACTCGCTTCTCGAGGTATGATAGCTTTCTTCTTCGAATTTTCGTTTTCCCACAACCGGAGGAAAAGAGCAGTTGAAGAAATGCATCACAGGACGCGACGGTGGCACGTGATATTTATTCCAAGAACCTGTTCTCCAATGATATTGCCCATCTTCGAAGTTGTAAGGCCTTGGTCGTGGTGAAAATTGACGAGTCAACGGATTTCCTAACGCAAAGGGAAATTGGAGCCCAGGAATCTCGCCCCCTGGTAACTCAGCCTGGCCATAGTTGTCAATAACGGATAAGGCAGAGGATTGGTCGCTCTGTACGGAGGATGGTGAACATGATGGGCTGCTTTTGGTCTCGGTCTCTGATACGGTGAAGTCGAATGGTTTGGTACAAAACCGTGCGATCGTCGGCCACCGACAGATGGAATGGAAGGTAAAGATGGTCTAATAGTCCTACGGGGATCGCTGGGAACGACAGGAGGGGTGTTTTCCTTGCAAGGTAGTTTGAAACCCAACTGCTCAGAAATCTCGCTTAGCAGAAAATGCGTTATTTTCCTGTGGGCGAAATCATCCCAATGTACTCCATCATGAATGCGGTGGTTGAGATGTCCGTGAAAAATGTTATAAAGATCAAGAAAAACAAAGTGATTTCCGTAATCGATCATCTGATCACGAACGTACAGATTAGCGCCTCGTACACTTTCGTTCTCCGGATAAAAATCTTGCGGAAAATCGAAGGGAACACAAGATGCCCTGCGACTGTCGATAACAGGCAGAGAGGCATTCCATATAAACATCTTCTTACTCTCAAAAGGCATCACTAGTCCTAAGGCCTCAAGCAGCTCTTTGGCGTTCTCTTTAAATTCCGAGATGGAATTCTTTCCATAACGACAAAGATCCCAAAGACAGGAGTTCATAATAACGATATCCGGCGGTGCGTTGTCAAAAGTATCGATGATAGATTTCACGTAGTCTCCGTAGCAGCGTGAAACGAAGTAGAACATTATCACCGTTGCCCCTTTCGCAAATCTTCGAACTTCTTTGTACTTCACGTTTTTCAATCCCGCCTTGCTTCCACCTTCTAGGAGTTCGTCCCCTTCAAAACTATCTTCACCCTTTAAAAAAATGGCAGCGTGTTGCAACTATTCCTGGTAAGTCATTTAGAAAAGGCAAAAGCTGTGAACTAGAACAGCACTGCAGCAATTTCGCTTTCCATACTTATTGACAGCATAAGATAAGCAAGCTTCACTCAACTCAACTTGCTATTTGACCACTTGTTTGCAAAAGAGATTTTTACGTGTGTAGAAACTCTGTATCAGTTTAGGCAATGGAAGTATCCCAATAATACATTTTATAACACACATACCTTCTTTTTTAAGTCTCCAGGTTTGAGAAGCTGATCCTTTTGTAACAAGCAAACTAGATCTTTGTAGACACCTCTCTGAACTAAAGTCAAGAGCGAGAAAGTTTTTCTACAACATGGTACTGCGCATAGTTTGGCAAACTGTTCAATCACCATTCAATTGGGCAACACATTAGTAAATTATAAAAAATTTCACCAAATGTTGTGCAATTCCCAGGGTTAGCAACAGCTGAAGCATGGTTCTCACTAGCAACACAAGCATAAGCATGACAGGGGCAGCATATCTGCAAAAACTGTACAGGCAGCACAGACCTCCACATTAAATGTGTGCATCAAATTACATTAAGTGCTTGCACTAATGTTTTCATGTACAAACTTGCATGTATATAAGCACACTACGACTAGTATGTTTATGCAGTATGCTGCTCTTGTCCTTGCCTCTCAAGGCGAATTCTTCACAAAAACTGCCAGCACACAAGAGTAACTTGCTGAGCTAACCAGGGTTTCCACAATAGAAGGAAATTTCCTTCAAAATGATAACCAGGAGGGAGAGAGGAATGAGTCTTAATAGGATATATTATGCATTCTTTTCGAACGTTTTGTTTCTCTTTTGTCAGTACTATCCCCCTATATAACGACAGTCATATAAATAAGTTGTGGAAACCTTGGAGCTAACAGCCATGTAAGGTCTTCAGCTCAGCTAATATAGCTCTGTTGTGTGGTGGTCTTAAGATGCCTATGCTCTTATGTTGCCATTAAAAACCATAATGCCTTTATCCATTATTCCTATTGGTCGCATAATCTCCAATGGTACCTGAATCTCCAATAATGACAACCTTTTTGTTTTCCAGTAGCTTTTGTGTGTCATTTGTTGAGAACCAGTGAGTGGCCATTGCTCATTGGTAAAATCACCACTTGCTTAGCCTCACTGCTGATCACTTGGAATATCTAAAAAGGATGATTATCTGTAATAGTTTATTCTATAACCATAGAATAGTTCTATTGTTTCAGTCACATACATCCCTTAATTTGAACTGCTTAAAACACACACCACATGTTTAAAAATTTTGATTACATAAACTGGTAAATCACTAAATGCCTAATAATACAGGCTAGCACACCAATGTTATTATATCATTCTAGTTCGTAGAGTGGGCTTCCAATTTTGAATGATTGTAAATATTTTCATGATTCATGGTTTTCTGTAAAAAATTATCCTTTCATTCTTCTCTTGTCCCTGTTTTTTTTTTTATTATTTTTAAACTATGCATTTATTATCTTTTATTTGCACAGATACAACTGAGAGTGATCATGCTGGAAAAATGTTGTAGAAAAATGATGTAATCTGGCCCAAAAAGGATTTGCTTGAGTTTGCTTCTCGCACAATTCTAACACCCAGTAATGATTTAAATATACTACATAATAATATTATACATAGTATGTCCCTCCATCGTGGCCAGTGTGTTCACACAATCAATTTTTCCCAGAGAACTACAAAGCTGACCAAATCGTTCCCAACCAAATAAAATATGGCGAACACGCACTTTGCCCTTAATACAGATTATGTCCCTCGGGCATACGTTTACATAGGTCATGGGTATTTGCGTGTTGTGTGTTTTAACTCGACGAATTTCACACACTTTTTGAAAGACCAAGCTTAAAAGATAAATCTCATACAAGTAACAATAAATATGTGGTTGCACGCAAACATATTTAATAAATTGTTCTGCCTACTTGGTGCCATCAACTCTGAAGGTATCATCAAAACGGTATCAATATTTTTTATTCTTATAATTCATATTCTTTATCTTGGTGTGAGACTACGTACCTGGGACTACCTGCTTCACAAAAATATATGACAAAATAAAAAGTTCCCGGTTTCTAATCCGCAAAACTTTCTTTCGCAGTTTGCAAGAATTGCTTCCGAATTCCAACCTACAGAAAACAAGAGCGCTAGACGGTGCTCGCTTAATTTCATCACAGTTATATTAGTGGTTATATAAAGTTACCAACACCGGCAACACGTTTCTCAAATTGCGTTACTTATAGTGAGTGTCGAATCACAGCATAATCAGCATAATGATCACAGTTAATAGTCGAATGAATGTAAAAGTTAGGATGGTCAGTAGGATTAGCAGAGATGGATATGTGGTGAAGCACGGGTGAAGCCAAATTTTTCAGTGTTAAATTGTTTACCTTCAATAAGTTAGGCTCAGTACAGCTCATTTACCGTCGATGCACACCTATGTAATTTAGGGCCGTAATGATCAGAAGTGCAATACTAGCCCAGACTGCCTAGTAGTTATAATGACGGAAAATGCTTGTTTCAATTTTTAATTGGGCTACTTTTTTAGAGCATCAAATTCAAACGAAATTATTTTAGCGATTGATGTTTTGTTGCAAGACTATTCTTTCAAAATATCGAAGTCATCATTTCATGATAGTAGAGCTTCCAGTTACATTTTTTATAGTTTGACGTTTCTCAGTTAATCAATTGAAAGTAGAATCTAAACCAGTGATAGCGATCTGTAAAGCGTAGCCTGTATGACACGTACAGACGCTGCAGTAATATAAAATAATTCAAAGAAAGTCAGTGCAAAAATTTGGGTTGGTACCTATGGTTGGTACCCAAGAAAGGCTTTAATGTATACCGTATATGATCATAGAGACCATGGGTAATGTAACGCGCCTGAACTGTTTTTTTCTAATCAGTTTACAGTAACTGACATTTGCTATCTTTAAAACTTTCGGTCCGTTGCCTTTATCAGTGTAATTCAGTGAACTGTAAGAATACCATAACGGTACTAAAATCATAAAATATTTCAGATCGAGTTTTAGGATTCTCTTTATGCCCCTTGCTAAATTATACCACAACTGAAAAGCGTTAATAATTTTCTAACCAGCCTTAAATACGGACTGCGAATGCGAGATAAAATTCATAATTGATTTTGACTTTTGAGTTGACTTATCTAACATTCTAAGATCTAAACAGGTCTGATTTTTTTAGACTTGAGTTGATGCATTCATGCCACTGATTCATGCAGGCGGTTTCACGATCGCCCACGACAATGAAACGGCCTGTTACGAATTGACTCGTAGATGACACGACAAGAAACGAACATTACGTATTGACTATTTTCATCTTTCTGAAGTCATATTAACAGTTGACATAGAATACCGAAACAACAAAACAAAGCCTGATAAAGTTGGCTGAAAGTCTTTTCCTTCAATTTCGCGACTGAAGATGAACAGGATTTTTGGTAAATCGAAACCTAAGGAACCTCCTCCATCATTAACAGACTGTATATCTAATGTATGTCGGTGTTGTGGATTGATGTGATGCTATTCATGAATAGTATCTTTTAGCTTTGAATTTGTAAATAAAAATAACCAGTTTACATATCGTAGCTAAAATGAAACATTGCCCTTGTATCTCAAAAGGTGGATAGTCGGGGTGAATCAATTGAGAAAAAAATTGACAAACTTGACGTGGAGTTGAAAAAATACAAGGATCAAATGAAGAAAATGAGAGATGGACCATCAAAGGTATTTGCTAGTTCAGATTGGAAAATGGACGCCCGCGATCCAAAATTGCAAAATTTTGTTTGCAACATCTTAGGAACATGGTACACATTTTCCACTCTCTGGCATACATGTATTATTCGTAGGTTTAAATAATTATATCATATACAAAATTTGGCATGGAAGACTAATAAACTAGAGGTGAATGTATTTTTCCTAATTTAGAATATGGTCAAGCAAAGAGCAATGAGGGTGTTAAAGCAGAAAAAAATGTGAGGATTGTTATAATGAATTGTCAAAACTGTCAATACCTGGGTATAGTATATGCATGTATATATACCAGGTGCATGCAATATGAGCTACTAAGTTTAATTTAGGGCAGGTTTTTCCTAACATCAAATTTAGCATTTAGCAAATAAGTTAACCTTTTAGCATTTACAGCATCTTTTTACTCCATCTGGTTATGTGTGACACATACCATCTTGAAACCAATTTTCTCGACTATTCATGGCATATTAATTGTCCATTTATATCATCATTCTTGGTTGTTTAGGTACGAAAGCCAACTTGAGAATCTTAGACAGCAATCATTTAATATGGAGCAGACAAATTATGCCACTCAGACATTAAAAGATACTAAAACAACGGTATTGCTTATATCAATTGGGTTACAATATAAGCTGTTAACACTTCTTCAAACATTAGTTAGAAATATAAAGAAATCATGTTATCATGTTATGCAGTGCATATATTATATATTTTGATTTTTATAAACTCTAATTGTAAAATGCAGAATTTTTAGTTGGTTCAACTTCTTGAGGTACTAAAATTACCAATGGCACTGCAACTACACAGGGTTTATATATAAGTATGGTATAATACCATTATAATACATGTTTCAAGCTAATCTGCTAATCACAGTATCTTAAATCAAAAGGTGGATGCAATGAAGACTGGGCTTAAAGAAATGAAGAGAGAATACAAGAAAGTTAATATAGACCAGATCGAGGTGACTAATTAATAAATGTGGTATAAGGAAGGATAATCTATATTGTTAACACATTGGCACCTGTTGAGGAAAAGTTTTAATGGAAAATCTGTTTTGTGAAATAAATTGGATACAAAATTTTATTGTGGTATCAAAGTCATAATTTTCAATTTTGTAAAAAAAAATAATATGCCAGTGACTTATTCTTAGGATCTGCAAGATGACCTATCAGACCTTCTTGACCAAGCAAATGAAGTTCAAGAAGCTCTTGGGAGGCAATATGGTACACCAGAACTGGATGAAGATGATCTAGAGGCAGGTACTGTATGTGTGGAAAAAGGGACTGGTTACATTATACACTGTCTATCAAGAAAGTACTACATTGATCAGAGCAAAATGTGCAAGATATGCAGGTTTGCTTTAAATTTATTTCTAGAATTAGATGCTTTGGGTGATGATCTTGCTTTTGATGAAGATACATCATATCTTGACGAAGCTGAGAAAGCACCAACTGTTCCTGATACAGATCTTCCTGAACAAAGCACAAACAAGGTGAGCATTTGATATACTGTAGCTATTTACACAAGATGTCGGTTGTTCAAAGGCCGTTCAAAAGGATTCCTCAATTGCATCAGAGTGCACCATTGGAGTGCACAAAGGTGCCTATGTAGTATCTACGTACCTCAGTGGCTCAGTAGTTTTTCATTGTTTAACCTCGCGCGTGCGAACAGAACAAAGATGCTGACAAAATATTTCTCTTTTTATAGGAGGGGATCAAGGTCGACGAGTTTGGACTACCCGAACTTCCTCAGCAAACCAACTGAACTAGCTCGAATCAAAAGAGCGTCAACAATAAATGTATATATTATATACAACGTGTAGCTATCTACTATTGTCCTTGAGCGATTTTTCTCAAGACTTTTACCTCAGAACACAATGAAATTTACTTCCCAGTGGATTCTAAAATAATATTTAATGCCTGGTTCTTTAGAATTGTATATCGTGAAGTAGACCCTAACAAAAAATCGCGAGGCTCTTTTTAAATTTTACAGCACGACGATGTTGGCTACGGCTGTCTAGTCTAGTCTAACTAGGGGAATATTCAGCTAAGCATTTGCTACAGCTGTCTTTTCATTTGCAAAACACATTTTCATAACAACGGATGTACCAAAGTGAGCTGTAAGTAGACTAAACAGCCTTGGCGAATCTAATGTTCCCAAATTTTGAGGTGGAAAGACGGTTTTCGTAGAGGGTGACTACTCAATATACATGCAGTTGTTCTTGCATGTTATGATAATAATGTAAAGAAAGTTATTTGTATGATTTTAAATTACTAAAATTACGTAATGTGTGATGAACAGTAATTAAATTGAATATAATTATAATAAGGAAGAGCATGCATTAATGTGTTGTCCAACTTGTTAAATAACATCTGTATTAATACTATATGCAGCAATTAGAAACGTGACCATTAGTTTACCGTGATGATGAAAATGTCAAAGGAGGTTTAGCAGTGACAATACGAGTAAGATTGTGACATATCAATGCTTTCGTCTACGTACAGCTTGCGCGTTGAAGTACAGTTCTACTGACATACGCACAAATTAGCCGCGACAGCCAGCATTAAATCCTCCACTTGCACGTTCTATCAGTGCGGAATGACTCGAAAGTGTTCGCTTACGGGGGTTCCTCTACCATTTGAGGGAATGTATTGCGTATTCAATATTGGAGTTTCAGATGCATGATACAGATGCATGATACTTAGGCTTCAAAACTTGGTGAGAAAAAAGATTTTATATAGATACTACACAAAATATGACTTGCGTGCACAAAAGACTTCAAGCTTGCACACGGTAAAAACGAATCGTCTGAATTAATAACCTTGTGTATACTTTAAGCCTCAAAGTGGCCATTTCACAGCGGTTAAATGTGTATTATGAGATGTCAAAAGATTGCATAATGCGTATTCGGAAGAAAAACCGAACTTATTCAATAGTTTTCTCTTTGATTGTTATACAGCTATCCACAATGTGAACCAGTGATCAGATTTTCGGGTTGAAACTTCATAAACCATAATTTCTGCGGTGCATATTGAGTATTCCGAGAACACCTGCGCGGAGTTACAAACATCATTGTTGTCAAGGCAATAATATAAACAATCTCTTTCACTCTTGTTCTTTTCAGTTGTGGTAAAACATCGAGATCACAAGATGTGTGACATATTATCGCTTGCGTTTTTCCTAAAACTCTTAGCTATCGTTGCTGTGGAGTCAAGACAATACCAAGCAGGACAACTTTTCAGAAAGCAAGCGGGTTTTCGAAAAGTAGAAGATCGTGGTAAGTTATAGGTTTTTTAGAAGATCGTGATCGTGGTTATTATTAGCGAAGCGAAAAGTTGCAATTGTATACCGCACGGTACATGGCATGTTCAGAACGTTGTTTTTGAATTTCTCCGCCTTTTTTTACTAATTTTTGATATATTTTAGTATGATCGAGCCGTTTTATTGTATCATCACATTTTATATAGTGGAAATTTAAATTCGCCTCGCATAAGGAGTGAACGCGTAGCTAAAACGGTTAAACTTCAAGTTTGTTACACTTATTGAAAGTATACGGATGACAGAAAATTTTAAAAACTTTGCTTTACAGTAAAATTGCTAAATACAATATTATTTTAAACATTGTTTGACTTCTGCATGCAGACATCATACGCACTGAAAAGTTTCTTTCTGTTATGCAAAAAGGTATATTTCAAAAATATTTATAAACAATTAATTTTCCGTTCCTTCATGCACGCAAATTGCACTTGCAAATGTACATGTTAAAACTTGTTTCGTATGCAATTTATTGTGGTCCTTCTCGCTTATTTTAACTACACATGCATGCATGAAAAAAATATTTTGAATATATATATATACTATCAAAACACAACTCCCAAAGAGAATGTGCACTATCTGTCTCACTCTATCATAACGCACGTCGCAATACGCGGAGCTATTAGCCTATTACATATGTATCAGTGAAATGAATATTTATTATTTTTTCCTATAAATAGCCGTGAACATCTTGTGTTTTTATGACTAAATTGAAGCAAATTTCAAATTTAAACCTAATCAAATTTATAGTATATATATATATATATATATATATATATATATATATATATATATATATATATATAATATATATATATATATATTATATAAACTAAACTATTATATATAAGTAAATATATATATATTATATAAACTAAACTATTATATATAACTAAATTTTCGCATTTGCATATGGAAAATCACCTAATAAATTTTGTGAATAAAGATGCGTAAGCCATCACTGTTAACTATACATGTTAAAATTTTCACTTAATTTTACATTTTTATGCAATGATTTAATACCCGGCCACCATAGTCGTATAGCAGATAAAGTGCTTTGTTATTACTTCGGGATTGTTTTTTGGTTGGTAAAATCTATATAGCTATAGCATAAAGTAACTAAATTTTTCAATATAAACTTTAGGTGACTCTTTGGCGTCGGAGGAAATTATATCCAATCATACTGTTCATTCTCAGTTAGAATGTTCCCTGAAATGTCTCCAAAGCCAAGCATGCGTGGGTTACAATTACAGAGCAAAACCCAAAAATAAGTACGCCATAAATTGCCAACTCAGCAATAAAACCCGTGGAAAAAGTACAAATGGCGAAGGGAATGGAAAATGGACGTTTTATCAAGAACTTGAATTAGCACCGGTAATTCAAAATTATTTTGAAATAATTCAAACGGGCGTTATGTACTTGTCATGTAGCTACTTCTTGTCTAATTGATTACTGTGTACCGTTTCTTATAGATACTGATCACTAAATTCGTCAGTGATTACGGGCATTTAGTCATTAATGGCCCGTTTCAGACGTCGAACTTTTCATGTGCCAGATCGAATGCAAATGAACAAAGACTTAATCTCATTAACATTAGGTTCGGCACATGAAAAGTTCGTCCTTTGAAACAGGCCTAGGAAACATAATGGCATACAGTATGGCTATATAAAAAGGCTGAATTTGCTCTATTCAAATGGCGATGGACTGAAAAAAAGATAAAACTGAAAGAATTAATGTATCCTATTTATTGTTATATGTAGTATGGGTCAGAACGAAATCCTGGAAGATCTTGTGAAGATATTTTGAAACAAAGATGTACAGACGATATTGGTGATGGGATCTACTGGATGACTCTAGTAGAAACAAGTAAGGATATAATTATAATCAAATCTCTTTTCGATAATCCGCAATTTTGACGCTTTACTACTGTAATATATTTAGTTGTAAGAGGTTTATCCACACAGTTGAATTAACGTCAACGCGTACTATTATAAAAGTAACTGCTGTGCGTTTCCTATAGATAGCAGCAGCGATCAACCATTTCCAGTATATTGCGATATGGAAAACGGCGGTAAGTGTACTTGTCCAATAACTATATCCCATGAGACTAATTCTATGAGAATTATAAGCATTCTTCCATGCATGGATTCCCGTGTATAGGTTGGACTCTTGTGTTTAAAACGATTGCTGGGGGATCAGAAGTGATCGGGAATATTTGGAAAGATTCTCTTACACATAAAGAGTCTTCACTTGAAGCCCTGAATAAAAAAAGTTCCTTCAAGCATTATTACAAAAACAGAATTGTACCAGATTGGAAGATGTTTAATCCTACTAAGGTATATTTTCAAATGCGACCTTCCTGTCGCCCTAAATCGAATCCTCTTATGATTCTTATATATTAAGATCGCTTTATAGCACAAAATATATTATTCTACTCCATGAATATATTATGCTCATGCGATCGTGGTGGACAGCGGAACATGTAATTATTTGAGTTCACTGGTAATTAGTCACTAGTTATGGTAATTAGTTGACAAGTCAAACTGTCAGAGGCATTGCGGTCGTGAGAAAATTTTCCCTCGTCTTCATTTTTATATTCAGTGCATGCAAAATTTCAACCAAGATAATACGAAACTTCGACTGTATACGTCAATACAAGACAAAAAATCTACGCATGCTTGGAATACATGCTTTGTCTTTGTTGATTTTTCGTTTTTGTCTGTTATTTTACCAATCAAGCTTATAGGAGGGAATTTTACGAAGAACCAAAATTTTTCCTAGTCCCTGTTTCACCTTTATCACTGTTTCATTTACCTTTCTGTTTTTTTATACAATGCGATTGTTTGCAGTGTTTTTTTTTAATTAAAGTGTAGTCAAGTCCGTACAATTTTTTCACATTTTTAACTTCTATACTTTTTCGAATACAATAGCTGTGGTAAGATCTAAGACTGTAGTTATGTTCGCTACGCTTCTAAATTAACGTAAATTAGAGCTTATGAACAGAAAAATTCGGTATAAACATGCAAAATTAGGGTAAATTTTCATATAGGGAGGGCCCTTCATTTTTATGAGAAGAACCGATCGATGCGCCGAACAGACTTGACTTCCACTTTAATAAATTTTCATTATTATGTGCGTGTATAACGATATAAGACGCGAAGCCTAACTACCGTTAAACTGTGTCACGAAATTATCATGTTTTGAACAGGTCCGTGTTGTACTCTACAGCCAAACCAAGGAAAAGCTCGTATTGAGTTTTAACGCCAGTGGCACGAACAATATGGATTGGTTTAGTGTTGACCGTCTGCAACAACCACCTTGGCAAGATATTGTCTCGTCTCCGAAGAACGTCTTCAGCATAGATGGGGAGTGTTTAGGGAATCTTTGTCGCTCTTTTTTTATCAATAGCATATATAACGGTTGCCCTGGTGATGAAGGCTGGTTTATGGTTGGTAGCATTGCCCGCTGCGCTTGGGAAAAGCGATTTCCTGGAAACTCTTTTCAGTATAGTAAAAATGATAAAACTCGTGTTATCTGGAGCCAATATGGTAAGTGTATTTACATATTTACTCCATAAACTGATAAAATATCCAACATGGAAGTTTCGTTAGATTGTTATAGATGCATGTGTAGTAAGCCCTCACTTTTCATTTTGCTTTTAGATAAAGTTGGTACGGCGGAGGTGTTTACTGTTTATCTTCGATAGAATATTATCACAGCACATGTGCTTGGAAATCGCGTAAATTTTACCAAAACCAAATGTCGAAAGTCGAAACAAGTTATCAAATTTCATATATAGTAGCTAATAAAAAGAAAGAACAACGCTAGGATGACTCACAATAACAATAAAACACTAAATTTAAATACAATTCTAATGACAAGTGCCTTGTGACCGAAGTTGTGAGAAATAGGGTCCCCGGGGACCAAATTCTCCTTGGATGAAGAAGTTTTCCATGATATCGCACAAATAGTTTTCTAAGTTTATCACTTATGCACATGTTATGTTTATCACTACACAACTGGCATTAACTGCACTGATGCACCTGATTAAGGCCCGGGTTAATTGACCGAAAGCTTTGCAGTATCTTGCGTGGTGTATACCTACAAGCTAATTTACTTAACATCTATACTTTAATACAACAAAAGGTAATATAATATAATAAACCTTTTACAAACTGTATCATGCACCTGAAACTTTCATATTGAGTACGAAATACATTTCCTCAAGTGATAGATGCTCATGGAGATATTTTATTTGTGGCCCGCAAAGACAGCAATGATATATAACTAATAAATTAATAATGCTTCAAACTCATTAATAATATATATACACCCTTTCGATAATAACGTTTTTTAAAATTTACTTAATCGTCATTTAAATAAGCATTTACTTCATAATTATGTGCTTCATTGGTGGCAAAGCGTCGAGATGAGTGTCTTATTCTTGTTTGGGTTTTTCCTGAGGCTCTTAACTATCGTTGTTGCTAGCTCAAGCAAACATCAAACAGGGATATCTTTGAAAAAGGAAGCGAATTTTCGGAAAGTAGTATATCGTGGTAAGTTAGGAATATTGTTGCATTCTTATATTGTACACAAAGTTGGTATTTTTAGAGAGCTTCAGCGGCGACTACGAGTACGACTATATAGCTACAGCCTACATGCACAACTTCGAACTAACGAAGAAGCGATTTTGGCGTGAAAATGGCAAATCGTGTAATGAAAAATTGTCCTTTTAGGCAACTTTCAGGACAGTTTAATTCGACGAATGGGTACACTTAACTCTGTCCTCTGTTTTACGTAGGACTATATACTATATCAGGCGAACTATATCTTTTCATTTTATTGGTATTTTTTCATCATGTAAAGCAATTCTGATTTTCGTTCACTATGGATAAAATGGATACGGCTAAAACTGACTTGATTTTGAGATTTTGACGATACGGTACAAGCGGCAGACGCAAACATTAAAGATCGACGCTTATACAGCTCTCTTTATGGCAGTTTTTCAGGCAAACTGCTCGAAATAACGGGAAAAACTCGCCCTATAAGGGCTCGTTTTCGCACTGATTATTTCCTCTTCTCCCAAACTCCCACACGTGTTTCTATAACTGTATAGTGAAACGGAAAATGTTTTCTATTAATCTATTCATTTCACAAGCATGAAATAAAGATATTATTATTATTTTTCAGTGTATTATTATTATTATAAAGTCATCATTTCCAATTTTTGTAAAAAAATAATATAATTCATTCTTAGGATCTGCAAAATGATCTATCAGACCTTCTCGATCAAGCAAATGAAGTTCAAGAAGCTCAAGTTCAAGAAGTATGTACTTCAGTAGTTTTTCATTGTTTAATCACGCGCGTGCGAACAGAACAAAGATGCTGACAAAAATTATCTTTTTATAGGAGGGGATCAAGGTCGACGAGTTTGGACTACCCGAACTTCCTGGGCGAATCTAAAGTTCCGAAATTTTGAAGTGGAGGAACGGTTTTCGTAGAAGGTGACTACTCAAGATACAGTTGTTCTTGCATGTTATGATAATCATGTATAGAAAGTTATGTGTATGATTTTAAATTACTATAAAATTACTTAATGTGTGATGAACAGTGAAGTGAATTTAATAAGGAAGCATGCATTAATGTGTTGTATATACAACTTGTTAAGCAACATCTACATAACAAGTATACATTCCTTCAAATGGTAGAGTAACCCGCGTAAGCGACCAGTTTCGAGTCATTGAGCATGCGCCAAATCAGCCATACTGATAGAACATACTGATAGAACGTGATGCAAGTGGAGTCCTTAATGCTGGCCGCCGGGGGTAATTTGTGCATTTAACAGCAGAACTGTACTTCAACGCGTAAGCCGTACGTGAGATGCAGCCTTCAAATAGGATAAAAACACTACTTTTATTTTAAATACTATACTTCAAACACATAATAATAATCATTAAAACTCATAAATGGAGTTATAATGCACTGCCAATGAAAAATTGAACCGTGAAAATGTTATCAAGTTAGATCGGTCTTTGAGTTATCTTGCACGAAAGTCGAAAGTAAATGAAACGAGAATTTTAGTTGATTAAGTTTTGCATATATTTATAAAATAATTATATAGAGAACAATCGTCTTGCACTTGGTTAGACGAAAGCATTGATGATATGTCACAATTCTACTCGTATAATTTTTTATTGTCACTACTAAACCTTTCTTTGACATTTTCATCATCACGGTAAAGGAGCTCGAGCCTCGAGGTCACGCTTCTATTGAGTAAAAAATATATATTTAACACCTGCGCGGAGTAACTAACATTATTGTTGTCAAGGCAATACATAAACGATCTCTTTCACTCTGGTTCTTTTCACGAGATGTGTGACATATTATCGCTTGCGTTTTTCCTAAAGCTCTTAACTATCGTTGCTGCGGCGTCAAGACAATACCAAGCAGGACAACTTTTAAGAAAGCAAGCGGGTTTTCGAAAAGTAGAAGAACGTGGTAAGTTATAGGTTTTTTTAGAAGATCGTGATCGTGGTTATTATTAGCGAAGCGAAAAGTTCGTATTTTACCGCAAGTTTGTATTTTATCAGTTCGATTGATACGAATTAACATACACGTGGAAAAAAGAGTCCGTCAATTTGAACGAACTACATGCAAGCATGCAGCAGATGCGATACCATGGGTTCAGAGAAAACGGTACACGGCATGTTTAGAACGTTGTTTTTGAATTTCTCCGCCTCCTTTTACCAATTTTTGATATATTTTAGTATGATCGCGACCCGTATTATTGCATCATCACAATGTATATATATATATATATAGTGTAAATTTAAATTCGTTTTGCATAAGGAGTGAACGCGTAGCTAAAACGGTTAACTTCAAGTTTGTTACACTTGAGATCGAAAGTATACGGATGACAGAAAATTTTAAAAACTTTGCTTTACAGTAAAATTGCTAAATTAAATGTTAGTTTAAACATTGTTTGACTTTTGCACGCATCTCATGCACGCACCTGAAGTCTCTTTCTGTTATGCAAAAAGGTATTTCAAAAATATTTTTTAACAATTAATTTCCCGTTCCTTCATGCAAATTGCACTTCCAAATGTACATGTTAAAACTTGTTTGATATTCAATTTATTGTGGTCCTTCTCGCTTATTTAAAATATATATGCAAGAAAGCAATATTTTGAACATATATATTATCAAGACACAACTCCCAAAGTGCACTATTTATGTGCAGGTTGTATGACATGCAAATTTGCAAATGAAAGGCATCAGTTTTTTACCTCACTCTATATATAACGCACGTCGCAATACTTAGCTTAAAGCACGTCGCAATACTGAGCTATTACATATATATCGGTGAAAAAAAATCCATTATTTTTTCCCATAAATAGCCGTAAACATCCTGTGTTTTTATGAAATTGAAGCAAATTTTAAATTTAAACCTTATAGGCTCTGAAAACTGTGACTATAAGAGACTGACGTACGATTTATAAAAATGAAAATTCCCAAAAAAAGCAAACTAAATTTTCGCATTTGCATATGCAATAACACCGAATGAATTTTGTGAATAAATATGTCGCGTTAGCCATCAGTGCATGTTACATGTTAAAATTTTCACTTAATTTTACATTTTTACGCATTTATTTCATATCCGGCTACCATGCATACCTGAAACGCTTATATTGTGCATTTGATGAGTGTATAGTCGTGTAGATGAAGGGCTAAAATGAGCTACTGGCAGATAAAGTGCTTTGTTACTACTTCGGGTTTGTTACTTGGTTGGTAAAATCTATATAACATAAAGTAACTGAATTTTCTCAATATAAACTTTAGGTGACTCTTTGGCGTCGGAGGAAATTATATCCAATCATACTGTTCATTCTCAGTTAGAATGTTCCCTGAAATGTCTCCAAAGCCAAGCATGCGTGTGTTTCAATTACAGAACAAAACCCAAAACCAAGTTCGCTATAAATTGCCAACTCAGCAACAAAACCCACGAAAAAAAGACAAATGGCGAAAGAAATGGAAAGTGGACGTTTTATCAAGAACTTGAACTTCAAACAATGTGCCTGGAAACACTGGTAATTGAAAATTCTTTAATTCGGATTCTTAAATGTCCGTTCAGTTAAAAAATCTGAAGCCAGTATATATAGCATTAATATATATTATCAAAAATGGATCATGATTTTCAATTTAACTGACGAAAATGAGTTCGGCCTATTTTATTGAGAAAATAGATACCACAAGTGGACGAATGACGGGAGGGGGGGTGGGAGGGATTGCGTCACGCCAATTCATGTTGCCATTTGTATACTACCATTCTAAAACTGATAGTACATGATAGCTGATTAAGCCGAAAGCTTGTATTAGGGCAACATTTTTCAATAGGCTATGTACTTTTCTTCCAAATGAATATGTTTAATTTATTTTACGCTAAATAGTTAAATAATAACTAATACTTAAAGAAAAATTTGGTTCACGTAATTATGTGCAACGTTACTCTTAGTTCATGCAATTGTGCGAAAATTCTCCTACAAGTCTCCTATGATGCTGCAAGTCAAGTATTATCATGCGCTGCATTACGCTTCCATATATATATAGCATATATATAGAACATGCATTCAGGGACAAATTATATACAGCAGCACTATAAATTACGTAACATCACATGGAGGTAGTGTACAGCTATGGTGGGCCCAGCTAATTTGAAACTGATTGCGTCTAATCTTTATTTCGCAGACCAAAATACCGGACATTGATATCCATTTAACTCAAAATCAGTACTATACTGACCAATATATTGTGACAGCAAGTATTTTGACTGACGGAAGAACAGACACTGGTGGTTGGGGCAGTGCTACGACAACAGCTGCTGACTACATTAAAGAAGATTACGGGCGACCTGTCTACGTTACATCAGTGAATGTGGCTGGAGGTAATATACCATCATGGGGTTCGCTCTCTTCAGGATATGGCAAAATTGATCTGCAGTATTCTGTAGATGACAATATTTGGATTAAGGTAGGTAACTACATCAAGTATGGTATCACTTGCCCACTTTCCTTGAAGCTTCAGCATTCGTTACTAGTTTAGGTCCCTCTGGAACATCTGAAAATAAAGTTATTTGCAGAACTCTTTCACTTAAGATTGTTTAATCGTTGATACAATTAATAAATGCAATTCTAAATTGCACAAGAAGTATAATACTTAGAAACTCATTCACATTAATGCAGCAGTAGTGAGGGGTATGGTTAGCAATGATTCAAAGTTTTATATGTGATTTCATGAGGACTTGGTCTGACTTTTAGGTGAAGTCCTTTCCAACACCTATCGAGAAAAGGATAATCACCTACGCCCTGCCTCATCCTGTCACAGCTCAATATTGGCGTCTGAAAGCAGCTGAAGCGAATTGGGTTGGAACAACTGAATTTGCTCTGAGACCTTTGACCAAACCCAAATGCAAGCAAGAATTTGTTTTTCCTTAAACTGTAGAATGTAAAGTACATTATTTTATACCGCACTCTTTGTAAAAATAATATAATCAAACTGCATAGATTTTGTGTTGCATGCAGTCCGCACTCTTTTGTTTCAGCTATACAGTAGTACTGGATCGAGCATATTGTTCAGCTACCTCTGAACACCGTACCATTTCCGAATTAAGATCGCCACGTAAACAGGTGAATTAAGATACTTATATTGCTGCGATAGAAGCGAGCAGCTTTCTAATCGCGAGCATTGTCGATTTTGGATTTTTTCCTTTCGAGATGATCTTCTGAGCCTGCAGAATTGCTAAGCGGTTGACAGACGATAGTCATATACGGACAAATTCAAGTACAATTTGTGAAATGAAAAACTGTCCATTCATTATGTTTATAGTCAAGTGTATTCAGTTATGCATACCTAAATTTCTTTAAATAAACGTGTTAACTTGCAACTGTGCTTTGTTGGTCATCGGATAATAAAATCTGTAACTTTTCATGAATTTTCAATTTAAGTCATTTAAATACTCATTGCTTTAAATTTAATATAACTCACAACTGAATTGTCCCAATCTCGCAGCAATTAATTTTCTATTAGAAATTACTTGTTGAATAATTATTGTAAACCAATCAGCCAATTTTAAAAAAACACACGAGGCAACAGCTCGAAATTGTAGTGGCTATTCAGGGGTGAGGCCGCATCTATCAAAATGCAGTTGAAGTTAAGGGTAAAGGACTTCTAAAACTACGAAACGTTTAGAACTTCGATTTCAAAAGTCGGGAAAAACTACAAATGCATATTCAGGAAATCATGACATGGGTTTTGAAGCCAAATGGGTTTTGGTGTCAAGGCATTTCTATAACTAACCGAACTTTTTTTAGTAAAATGCGTAAATATATGGAATACATCGGCCATATTGAATCTCTATTATAATATTACCATAACAACGGCAATGACGCCATTTTCTGACTGTTAGAATGTTGGTCAATATATTTGGGAAATTTCTTTTCCTTTAGCAAGAAATATCCTGCGAAAATTTTAAATCTAAATCACGTGGTTTTCAATATTCCTAAAATTGTAGAGAGCTACCTTAAGAGCTTCGTACAACTTCAACTTCAAGAGCCGGAAAAAATTACAAGAGATTCAAGACTGAATCATCACATCTGCAAAAATTTCCCTACGTGTTATTACTAAAACCTCGGCGCTAGAAATTATGCATGTCAGATTTTTGTGTCGAAGCATTTCTAACTAAAAAAATTCAAATAATTTAAATAACTAAATTCACAGTATTTTAAATACTAGATTTTAAATCTGGATTGCCACACTGTTAGTTTGGCTAACGATTTAAGCCCAGCTTGAAGCAGGCTCATATATGTTATTATTCGTCACTGAATTCTTCATAAGGCGCTATGGGCGAGTAATCCCACAGCTTAGACCAAATCGGTTCAACTTCTTCTTTCATACGATAGCGCACCAAGGAAACAACTGCAACAACAATCACGATAGCAAGGCTGAACGATCGAAAGAGGATCTCAAAGCCGTAGTGAAGTAGTATGATTCCACCAAACAACCCGCCAATACCCCGTCCAAGACCAATGTGAAGTGAATGTACAATCCCCTGTAGCGTCGCGCCCACCTTCGGCGGGGCTCCAACATAACTGACGAGCGCCGCCCACACGCAGGAGGACGATATTCCGGATAGAAGTTCAATTGGGACAACCATCCAAGGCGAAACCAAGAATGAGTAATACAAGAACGTGACAACACTTGTCAGCATGCCAGCATAAATTATGGGAAAATAGCCGTACTTCAGTATTAGTGTCGGTGAAAGATAGAAGAAGATCACCTTGGAGACACTCTGAACCGTTGTCGTGACAACCAAGACTAATGGCGTAGCACCAAGGCGGATCAAATGCACGAACAGAAAGCAATCTATTAGTCCGGCACTTAGACCTGTGAAGAAGGCCAAAAAGGCGAACAAAAAGTACTCAATGTTATTGAAACATTTGAGGCAATGAAAAAAAGAGCAGTAGTCACTTTCTTTTTTTTCGTAGGTTCGAAATTTGAACTTAAAAGTCGTGAAAAAAGCAGCAAGCAACAGCGCACAGCAGCTGTAAAACACAGGTTTATACCATTCTCCCATTTTCTCCGGACAATTATTGATTTCGTCCTTCTTTGTAACAGTATAGTGCAAAACACTTCCAGTGATAATGGACATGAATCCAAATCCGACCGCGGCTGAAACCACTTGGCGACCGTATCTGTATGGCTGTTTCTTTAAAGTTTGAAGAGTGGCCGTATCAGCAAGACTAAGAATGGGAGCACCAATCAATTCAGCCGTGAGCATTAAAAGCAGCAGGATAAAAAAGATGTGTTCTCGAATTTTTTCGTCTTCTTCGTGGCTGCTAATAGGCGGTTCTTTCCGGTAGATATCGATAGGCCATGTGTCCTCGCCTGCGGTTTCAGGAGCATATTCCCAATATTGGTTATATTCGCCTGTTTCCTATAAGTCAAATATTTACATTGTGTCTAGTTTATGCATTAATTGGTAGGTATCATTCGTTAAAGATCTGTTAAATGCGTTGCCCCCAAGTATATTTTATTCCAGATATTTATGTAACACAGTCAGAACATAAGAACTAAAGGAAAACCAGCCCTTGATTATCTTTATGTAGTTTAAGTGTCCATACTGGAAATGCACCCCCCCCCCAAAATAAACAATTCGATAAAGTTTGATCTATTCCAATAATTTTATTTAAATGCTCGACCCTACATATAATGTTGACTGCCCACACTGCACTGTATTACGTACCCTAATCATACCCTAATTTTTCAACTCTATAGATTTCAGCCAATTTACCGTTAATTTGGTTAAAGAGAATTGCGAGTATCAATATCACGTTGATTTAAACGATTTACCTTTGTTAAGTTGTCCACAGTGACCAGAATGAATCCCCTACCTCCGAGTTTCAGCTCACCGTTCATATTGTTAACTTGATCCGGTTTTAACTTGTCCTTGAAAACAACTCCTCCGCGAGGCAAATGCTTCGTATCTTCGCTTAAGTATGCCGGCTTTTCTGAAAGTCTCTCTTCGGCTGTTTGTTCTGAATATGACGAAGTTCTAGACTGTTCATTGTGTAGTATATGATCATTCCGTCGATTAATTAAACGCGATAAATGCTCGGCAAACTGTCCTTGGCTATTCAGCACTTTTAATGATCGTCCTTGCGTTTGACTGGTTTCAGCATTCGGTGACACTGATAACGCCATTAAATTCCTATTTGCTTGCGACGTTGGCGTTGAATTCGTATGGTTTACTCTCATGTGAACGCCACAGTCTTTCGGTACTCCGTTTACGAAAGTTATTGATAAATAAACAGCAACGTATGTTAAAAGACCCGTGTATAAAATAGATTTGTACTTGTTGAATTTATCAGCGAAGCTGCCGAGAACTGGAGCACCAAAAAAGCCGCAAAACGGCCTGATTCCCATCAATATACCAACGTGATGATGATCCAATAACAACGATTTCTTGTAGTACAGGGGTAGATAGGCAAACAACGCCGTAGCTGCGTGAAAGAACAAGTAAAACAGTTTGTACACAATGAGTTCAGGGTCCCCAAACCAAGAGGGCCACGTTACCGATCGTTCGTTTCGTCTTTCTGAACGCATGTCGTCTTTGGTGTTCTGAAACAGCTGTGAAATGTCGTCGTCGCCATTCGACGTTTCGGGGATCTTTGTGAATTTAATAGGATGTAAGTTCGGCGAACTAGCCATTCTGAGTTGATGGTCAGAGAATGACTGTCACCGGCTTAGATCACTGACAATTGCCTTCTGTATGACTCATTACATCGCCGACGAACGTCTGGTTTCTATGCAAGGAAAAATTTGTGACTGTTGTGTCATGCATGAGACAATATCATCGTAATTTGAATAAATTATACAAAGAACTATTATATTTTTACTAAGAGATTATCAAGTGTCAGCTGTCAAAAGAAAGTGTGGGATGCGCTTCATCGATTGTCTCGTATGCTGATCCATAGGCGTACGGGCCTAGAAATTTTGGGGGGGCGGGAGATATTCTGCCCGACGAGCGCCGAGACCGAGAAAAACAAGGATGGTCCAGAGGTCTGCTCCCCCGGTATTTTGGAACGTATAAACGCTGAAATACAATTTTCTGCTTGGGTACTATGACGAAACTTTAACAGCTTCACATTATTTAGGAAATTTGATAAGTTAATTGATTTCCACTCATAGCGAAGCGCGTAGTCGGAAAGGGAAATCGTTTTGCCGAGTTTAGGCAGCGGCGTAGCCAGAGTCAGTGTTTTGGAGAGCCGAGATGCGAAAGCCGAAAGCGTGTGGCATACTATATAGGGGGGTCCGGGGGCATGCCCCCCCGAAAATTTTTGAAAATTAGCGACCTGCAAATGTGATTTCCTGCATTTTCCGCGTGAGATTTTGCAGAATAAAGTCAGGATTCTGAGGTCTATCAACGATTAAATCTCGGATTAAATTATGTACAGTTGCTATAAAAGTTAGTAAAGTTACAAACTTACAGAACGATAGATTTGTTTCGTAACTACATGGTGAGTTTTGCTGCGCCAATCAGTTGTGGCACATAGGGTAGCCAGTGGCACAAACGGAAAAGCATGTTTATTTCAATTATTTTCGTTTTCTTTAATTCGGGTTTACGCAAGCTGCAAGCATATATATTCTACCATTTTCTACCATATTTGAGGATTCTTAAAAATTTTTATGTAGTGTGGAGACCAAATTCACTTAAGTATAAATTGCCCGACTCGTGAATATAAATTGCCCGACTAATTAATATTTCTGACTAAACTGGGGGGGCTGCAGCCCCCCCAGCCCCCCCGCCTCGTACGCCTATGTGCTGATCAGGTGTATAGATATCTTCCTAATTTATTTTCACACAAAAACCACAGAAAAAGCACATAAAGGGAATAGCGAAAAGTATAAAGTCAAGACATCGTAGACAGAAACAACGCGAGGGAATAACGACCACTCCTCACCTTTTGATCACGTTCATTTTCTCACTTTTGCGTTTTCAAAGCTTGCAATTGAATTCAATATATCCTCTTTTGTATATCATCACCTTTTATCACTCGATTACATCTATGAGCTTGATGTGTTCACGACGAGGCGACTTTATAATATATAAGACTAGTAGAGAGTCATTTCCTTTACTAACGTACATACTTCTGAATATTTTTTTAGTAAAACAATTTACTCCAACCCTTTCTCCTTTCATTCATGTGATGTTTTCATATATTCTCATTGCACGTTTATATCAGCTAAGGTGAAGTAAATTAATATGCCTATTTATCTTGAAGAATTATTCAAAATAGATTAGCAATATACAGGATGTCCCAAAAAAGTCCCCCTATTGAAATGAAGCTTTTGTTGGAATTTGAATGCATGATCAACGCAGTAGTGGTAAATAGAGGGGACTTTTTTCGGGACACCTTGTATGTATATAGCCAATTTCTATTTCCACTTTTTAATGATTATGACATATAGATATTATATGGACATATACACATACAAAAGAAAATTGGCTATCTCGATTTTTCGAGGACACCCAAAATTATAGACTAAAAGTAAAATCATTCGAAATTTCTCATTTAAATCTCACATATTAATTATAGCAATTGTTTCAAACGCATCATTATGTACAGTACAGGGTCAAAACGTATATGAACGAGTTTCTTTTTTCAGAAAGTAGATGAAGAATGTCCAAGTATGATAAACATCCGCCATGTTTAATTCCTTAAAAGTTGTTCGTAACGTCATAAAAATAATTTTTTAGTGGGTTTGTCTGGAAATTTTACCCGGCTGGCGGGCTGTATCTGTCGTAACGAACTTGTCCAAGATTGCACGAGTCTTTGAAATAATAAAATGAAATATCTCAAGACATTTGATACCACATGCACTGTTATAATCGAATTCATAGACATCCGGATCGTCACACACTTTCTGAATGGCCCCGAGAAGAGCTGGAATATTGTTGTTTGTGCAGTTTAACTGCGGGCCGGCGCGAAAGCAAAGGATTTGATCAGGGTAATTTTCCTCAAACTTCCGATGCATGTTTTGAGTATCAACCAGATGGCGGCTATTGGAAATCATCTATGATCTATATTGCTAGTGAAAACATCGATATTCAATTTGCGTTTAATTAAAAAAATTGAAGAAGATATTCAAATATTTCGCTAGCGAACTATAATCTCTCTGTAAGTGGAAATCCAGCCTAATTCTATTCTATTACTCGAGCTGAAGCGAGTCTTGAATTCGGTCAATTTTTCTTTCGCGCAAGACTTATTCTCCCACGCGGCCAATCTAATCTTGGCCAATCGAAATAAATCGTGCATGGTCGCATGCGAATATTTGTGTTATCTTATTGGCGTTCAGAGGCTGCTGCTTCTTCGTGCTAACTTCAGCGGCTGATTCGACTTCCAGCATCTTTGTGCTCAACAGTCAGCTGTGGGTGAGGACTGTTTTCTGGCATATGGCCCGTTACGTTAATAAGAAGTGTAATAATAGTGCAATGCGTTTTATTATGTGTACCCAAGTATTTGTGAATCTATCTAAGCGTACTCAAGTCAAAGCTAAACAACACTGCACGCATAATTATTCTCTGTACTCGATCGAAGCGAAACAACACCGAACGCATATTTTAAAATCTGTCTACTCAATCAAAACTAAACGACTGCACGCATATTCTGCGCAATCAAAATTACTTCTGTACGACGATCAAAACGTACTCGATCAAAACTGAACGACAGCTGCGCGCATATTTTGTGTACTCAATCTAGTTCATATATTTTAAAAACTTAATGCATATATTACGTTACTAAAATGGGTATGGGCAAACTCCCCATTCCCCTCTTAAAGATAACCCTCGTTTTACCGGCAGTCTACTTCCTTTCTATCTGCGGTTTTACCACAATTACAGGATCTAGCGTGCACGAGAAAAACTGTTTTCTCGCATTTTACTTATTTCACAGACACTAAAACTGTAAAGGGGCCGTTAAACTTCCGAAGACAGCGCCCCATAAATATATTAAATTATTATTATTTTAATTACCAATGCTTGTGAAAACATTCAAGTTCTCCAGCTAAATATCCAATGTGGACATAACAGAGAGTACAATTGTTCTACACTATAATCTTTTGGTGAAAATTCTGAGACTCTCAAAACAGAGAGAAAAGATGAGACGAAGTGCAACTGCCGATGTTTTACAAACACGCATTGGCATATTCTATGCGTCAAAAGCGCTCTTTTACGAAAATCTATTCCTTTGCTTTCCTATGGTTCTGGCATCCCTCGTCTTCGACTTTCAAGGGTGTCAGGTGGGCGAGTCAATTCAGTGCCAAAAACAGTCAGCGTAACCATTTTGACAACAATTTTAGAAGCATTAACAAATACGCTTCGATAATTCTATTTTAAAACTACTTTTCGGTTTATATTATGATTACACCTATTCATCAGAGTCCTGGTCTTCTTCGTCATCGTCATCGTCACTTTCCACGGGCATGTAGACATCTTGCTTTCTTTTTGTACAACAATTCAAATGCACAATAACCAAGGTAAGGATAACAACGACGAGACTAATGATGGCCAATCCAAGGAAAACTGTTTTAGCACCAATTTGGTCCATCAAAACTCCACCTAGCATTCCCCCACCACCGTAACCAATTCCCCAGTACAACATGTGCACTACGGCCGACACGCTTGACCCGACCGGATAACTCTGCCCGATATACGACATTGCTGAAGACCAAACAGCTGACGATGTGAATGCTTTCAGAAATTCCACAGTTAATACTAACCATGGATTTTCAACCACGCCGTACATCGTCAAGCGAACAGCATAGGCGAACATTCCCAAAGCCAGCACTTTCAAATGACCGTATTTTGAGATGAGTTTCACGGACAACAGGAACCCGACCATTTCACCGACTGCGTTAAAACCTAGAATTAAGCTGAAGAGGTGTTGAGTTCCTCCTAATGACTGCAGGTGCCAAAACAAGAAAGTCTGAATAAATCCCATGTTGAAACCAGCCACGAAGACAGCGAAGAAGACAAACAGGGTAAGGTAATTCTGCTCCTGACAAATGCTAAGCAAAGCAGGGCTTTTGCTTGGATTTACATCAGTTTCGTTTCGGAATTTAAAAGGGATTGCGACAACCAGGGAACAGAGCATCATAACGCCGAAGGCATAAAAGCATGGAGTATAGTTGATATCATCAAGACCTTTGCACGCAAGCGAGCTATCGTGATTTAAACTAACTAACATTCCCACCACGAACGCCGTGACGCCCCAACCTATGGAACCGAAATATCGCTGCGCGCCATACTTGTGTGTTTCATCGTCAAGAACCTGGAGTGTTGCGGTGTTTGCCATGGTCTGTGCGGGAGCCGCGAATAAATTTCCAAACAAAATAATCAGGAAAAGGTAAGTGAAGGTGTGCCACGTATCCAGAGGTAAATGGTTAGTACTAATGGACCACCAAGACCTTTTTGCAATTGTTTTGTCTGCGAATTCTGAATTCATATTGTCTACTATCGATGCTGAAGGTTGATTTTTGGTTTTGTGCGAACCCTCGGATGACTTGTTCTCCGAACGATTCCTGATTTCAGATGTTTGATTATTTGTATCATCGCGTTGCAACACGTTTACGTTTGATCCGGTCGATTTGTATTCGTGACTCCCTCGAGGAAGTTTCTCGCGTGGAATTTTCGGGGTATAGCTGACGTCCGCAGGGTTGTAATCGAGAATCTCGCGTGGATATTGGTTACTGGGTTCCTCGCCGAATACATTGTCTGACATGGGATAGTTGGAGTCAATGGATCGCTTTACCAATCGTGTTGCATTTTCTGTACAACTCAACGGTTTCTTACCTGCGGGAACGAGAAGAAGGCTAGTATGGGAAAACAGCCAACCACATAGGCCAATAAAAAGGACAATTTTCTTTGCATTGAATCTGTCCGCGAATAAAGCCCAAAATGGTGTTGTAACTGACTGTACAATTGGCCGTAAGCCAACCAAAAGTCCTGCTTGTGTTGGTGACAGCCACAGATGCCTGAAGTAAAGTGCGATAAAGGGAAAGAGGGATCCGACTGCTCCATAGAAAAAGAAATAGAAAGCTTTAAAGGGCAACAATGTACGGTTTATGTTTGAGCAAGGTGACCGTTTGTCATCGCTGTCTTTGCTGTTTACTGATTCGTACAGAGGTGGAAGGTCCTGGTCTGAGGTTTCTATATACGGCCGACCTTCGTTTGGATCCATCAGTCTCTGTTTCAAAGATGATAAACGATCTACACGAATGTAGAAAGACGTATATCAAATTTAGAATTGGATGAGCGCATTATATGTATGTGTATATTGTGTTAGAGAGAATTTTAACAGGGGCATAGTGATAGAGGGGGGAGGGGAGGGGAGATGACAAAACCCAACTATATCAAACGATGCCGATTATGTCAGCAAAACTTGCATCATGCACTACCCAGGTTTTAGTATAAGTAGTATAGTTCTGATGCATGTAAATATGATTATTCAAAGAAGCAAAAAGGAAAAAAGCGAATATATAGTTATAGAACTATATATAATACACTATAGGAGTATATCCATTATACGTGCATGCCATGTTCACACTGACAATGTCAAAAGAGCTTCCGTTGCGACCAGTCGAGACGTTTTCCAGGCAAAAAAGCTCAAAAAGTTTGAAATATTTTCCTGCTACTCTGTATACGATTCTACGAAATCTAAATTATTGTTAAATACGTTCCAATTACTATGTAATTAGTATGGTATTAACGTAAGAGCGCAAAAATTGCCAAATCTGAATAATATCTGAGTGAGCATTGAACTAGTAAAATTTTGATAAACATGCATGACACAAAAGTCAACTATTAATTTTACGGTTGAAACTTGAAAGGACGATATAGTCAATTAATGTAAATTTAGAATATTTGTTTCCTTCGCTGCGGTAAGATGCTCCAAATAGTGCAAGAAATGCAGTACGTCGCGACCATTAACTGACCACTGACTCAAGTGCCTGGACAGAATTGAGGAAAAAATATTGTCACGAGTATTCTTTGCTCTCACAAGGTTGTATTTCCTTTTATGGACCTAAACCTAAATTCTCCATGGAAAAATCTTGTAATAGCTCGACCCTTTCTCGTATGAAAGAGCCACAAAGCAAATATTTTATGTGGGCTAAAAAAATGTCAAAGTTGGATTACCTTTACATGCATGAATGTCCTGTATGTAAACTAAAGACACAAGTCTAAAGGAATACGTCTAAGCGTACATCTGTCAATATCTTTCTCCTTCATAGTTGGCTTTCACTGAATTCTAAGCTCTCTATCACATTTATATATAGCGGCCGATGAAGTGATGATAGTGCAGACAGCATTCAACAAACAATTTCTAATAGCCGCGAATATCGTGAATGCAACGAGATTTTTAATTGGTTCTAAATATCAAATATGGTCCCATGAATCTCCCTTCTTGATATATATAGTTAACTGTTTATTAAAGACTTAGTGAATATCATCCAACACAATTTTTACACATATATACCTATACGTACGGACATACACACATAGCTACATATATATATACAGTAGATATATAAGTACATATTTCAGTACAGTATACATGAAATATACCCGCTTCAAATAATTTCCTTGATCTCGAAGACAACAACTAGTCATGCACATTAAAGCGAACTGCTTTCTATCGCTTGCTATATAGCCAACGTCGTAGCCTCAGCCGCAATCTGAAGTTGATTAAAATTCAACCTTCGCTTATGAACGTATACTCCTATACTTTCAAAAGAACGCTCATATCTCAAAACGACAGTCGACAGAAGATACTTTTTATACATCATGAAGTACGGCTGAATTTACGAATATGCCGAACAAACTGGGTGATTCCGACAGACGTAAATCTATCATAGCGGCCTTGAATGTCCTCCCCTTGTACGGTAGTTTAAGATCATAGCCAAAATATGATTACAACACCGAACTTTCGTGTGAAATACAAAGCAAAATTCACTTACACTTTTTAGACCAAGTACATATTGACCCCTACATCTTGTTTGTCTGACTTAGCAGTGTTTGTAATATAATCTCCTCTTCTTGCAGTTAGTCAGAACATATCTTACAATATTATAGTATCGAATCCATTAGGTATTCCTGCTTTCAAACCACAACTTAAACTCTACGAAACTTATATAATTTATCGGACGCTTAAACTGTTTCTTATACAGCTTCGTCGAGCATCTGGTCGTTCACTGACGATGATAATGTGATCTTTTGTCTCAGTTTGACAGAACTGAATAAATTTGCATTTACGTATTTTTTCTATCCGAAATATATTCATCTCATTAAGATAAAGTATAGGGTATTTCTTTTTTCCGTTGACTGCCTCGCCGTATTTGAAATGTTATTGAGGCTACATGAAAGGCTATTTTTCTCGAAATATTATATAACAAACTTAACTTCAGTATAAAAAGGATAATACTCATTGGGAATAAACAACGTTCATGTTGTTCGACGCTCCAGTTATTCTAATCTGCCAGCTGTGTGTACTGATGCGTGGGGGGAACAAGGAGTCTTCAAGATATAGCAGATGTAAATCATATATAATTTTCTCCTCCGCATAATAAATAATTCCTTCCAATCAAAACTGTCTGCGACTTAGTAAACATTTAGTTGTCCCATTTCCGCGCGTCCTACTCATTCCATATATATTATTTATTAAGAATGACTCCAACGCTATACTATTGTTATCCCATTATATTGTATTCAGTTACTCGAGTCGCTTAAACTCGTTTCTGGGACAAAACTTTCTCAATTTCTTGTTCGTTGTGTTAAGGCCTAAAGGACAAAATTGGACGCACAACGACACAGTACTGTCAGTTTTGAAAGTGACTAAATTTTCATGCTATAATCCATATAGTTTTTAAATAAACTACAACGCCAATAGCTGCATTATTTGCTTTCAAAAATAAAAGAAAATGCCTATAAGATTGATAAGCATGTGAGAATAACTAGTTAGCTACCGGTGGTATAGTGTACATATTTTATATAATGTGTTCACGTCAAAGATTCCATGTTTCACAGATTATTTGCTATAGTATGTAAATTTTAAAGCAAGTCCCGCTACGCAAATTTTATGCTGTCATTATTTCATTCATTTCTTTTGAAATTGTTTTCACGGGCATGCAGCGAACATCAAAGTATATTCGAAAAGAGCAAACCGTACATGCATACATGGCTATATAGCCATACGCTACTGCTTAAATAAGTGGGTTTACGTAGACACGTTAACGTCGATCTTTATACCCTATAATGGTCAATAGAACTGCAAGAAAGGTGCAAAAATACTAAATTTTACCCTTCTTTCGAGTTTATAAATGCGCACTAAAGCCTGGTTCACACGAGTGAAATAAGCAGAAATACAAAAGAAATCTTTAGCGATAATTATAGTGCTCGAAAGTGCCGATCTCCTTTTGCTCTTCACCCAGGTCAACATCTCGCAACGCTTCTTTAAACGCATTGAAAGGAGTTAATTTCTCGGATCAAGTTACAAGTCGGTCAAATCTAAGCGCGACTAGTACTTATTTTATAGTCGATATTTCTGCGAAATCGTGTAGATTAACACGAATGCGTACACTGAATCAAAAAACATTTCAAGAGCGGCAATCATTCAATATTAGCCTCCAAATTTTATTCGGATTTCGCCGAGAAAAAGCTCCTCAGGAAGGAATTGATTTGTGTTCTGACTTTTGAGCCATCAGGCCTTAAACAATAGTTGTCCGATTATGTAACTTTCCTTGCAACTAGCAATGAAATCCTACTCCCGAGGCATCTGAAGTTGTCAAATACGAACATTTCTTACATTTCCTTTGCAAACGTTTTCTTTGCAACACTCTTTACAAATTAACATTCCTCAAAATTATATAATTGCATTGCAAGTTGCCAAGGAAAATTGCATAGTGTAACAGCGCGGCCTTTACTGACATCTCTTCGGTGGCATGTGACTAATATACTGACTCATATACTTTCAAATCCTTCGGTGGCATGTTCTGACAAATACTTTCTGATCAAATGAACAATCCCTAAATTGCTCGACCGCGTCACCATGCAAGTACTGTGATTAACATCAATTAACAAACTAATAATAATTATGTAACTGTTTAAAGTAACGCGTTAAACTTATCGTGTTGTATCACCTCCGAGAGATTCCGACATGGTTTCATTCGCTAGAGACCATGCACTAAAAGAAGCTATGACCAATTGAGACAGTACCCGACGTTTTCGTAGAATCACGGGAAACCCTATACTCATCGATCGAGCAGCGTCCTGAAATACGTATAGGAATTTTTCGAACTTCGAAGTGAAATCGACGATGCGAGATTCCAAATCACCGTACCACAAGCAGCACAACCAGCATGAGTTCACTGGTATGTTAATAGCAATTCATAACTCCACAAAAGGTTTGTTATAAATTCCGTTGGCTTGGTATTTTGTATTACAATAATTCACAAGTCAACATATCAGCTATGACGATTGCATTGGACTAGCGCAGTGCACAGAGTTGAGGGTGGATTTCCACTTATAGAGAAATAGTTCGCTAGCGAATTATTTGCATATTTCCTTTTGAATTGAGAACAGTCATGTTGAACTAATTTATGCTGTTTTCAAAGCAAATATGCATATATTTCGCTGTAAGTGGAAATCCAGTATGGTGAACTGTGACTAGCTTGCATGCTTATGAACTGACGCCCCGCCCACCCTGAGCCGCCCGCTCGATCATCCTACAGCCGCTGATCTCCACATAATAGCTGAATGCAATCCTTTTTGTTTTCAATAAAGTACTCCGGCACGATATCAGTGGCAACGCCCACGAATTAGTTTTTTTCCCTGAGAGCATGATTTAATCTTGACCTAATCATCAGCGGTTGACCGTGTGTAGGTTGCCGTACGCATTAAACTTTCGTATGGTTTTTACGGTTCCTGTTTTAAAATTTCCTATGTGCCAGTTAGTAGTATTACCAAACTTCATCGAAATCAGTACTCTCTTCTTGAAACAGTCATTACGAGAACCAATGAAACAAATTGAATTGCTGTGAAATTAGTTGTTACGTCGCTATTTTTAATTAAGGAAAAGAACTGTCATAAAAGCCGGAAAACATATCTGACATTTCTCCCATCAATGCTGCTAGAAATACTTGTACTTCACCCAGTCACGTTCGAGAGTCTCAAAGACACGTGTAATCCATCGAAACTTCCCTAATATAATAATTCTGCTTCCACTACAACAAAGTTATCAGCCGCCACCACCAACTCGGATAGATCGGGTACTCTATTAGTATATGATTATAGTAACTCGTCCGACCATATAGGCATAGCCACTTATAGACTATATACTTTCATTGAGTCAGGTTTAAGTATTGGATCTAATTGACTGAAATAGTCAATGTAGAACCCACGAATATAATCTAAATTCTAAACCTACAGGCTATAACCTTAACCTAACAGTAAATTAGACACCACTAAAAACACGAGTTTAACTCGAGTGTACATGCACATGTACAACGATATAGGAATTCTAAAGAGAAATATTTTCACAATTTGATTCGGGTATTTTTATGCATAAATATCCACGCACGTACTGCTATACCTTGATGAAAAAACCGGTCTTGTATAATTTTAAGGGTTTCGTTATTATATTATATAGGCCTATAGCCACCATATACGTGCAGGTATCAACACCCGACATGCAGGTTTAAATCTCAATTTGTAAACAAAGCTCTTCGCTCTTTTTATTTCTTTTGTATGCTGTTCTGAACAGTTCATGCAGTATTATATATTTAGCTATATAAAATTAGCTAACCTGGCTTCATGACAGACGAATAGGACTGTCTAACCCTTAGCTACTTCTTGAATGATAAGGCTATAATTACATGTTTTGACTTTGAAAATACGTGGCGCGAGCCTGACCTCATTCCAGATTTTGCTTTGTTATAGGATCTAATACAAGCCTATATAGCCTAAGAAAGCCGAGTGTATATATCCACACATGGCTATTAGTATTATTTACGCTGGTTTAGGCGATTCAAAAATTTCCTATCAGCTATAAATAAAAAATAACATTACTCACCATAAACAACATAAACTTCGTCCTGACAAGAAGCCATGATTTTAAGTTTAATTAAGGTCGCTGAAAATACTATTCGCGATGAATTTTCATGCCAAGAATAGACCTTGAGAGGTTATACGCTGTACGTTGAATATTACACCAACATCTAAAGTCTTTGTTGCACGTTCAGACTTATATTTCATATTGCTTCTATAAATCTTTGACCTCAAGTGGTTGTCTTTGTAATACAAATGCGTGTGCAGGTAACCGAGGCGACAAGAACAGTTATTTAGAGCGAAACTAGTTAATGAAAGATGAAGAGAACTGTTATGAGACTGTCGTTAAATTTGTATGCCTAACATCCCGTGGTTTATTTTAATATTTTTGTCCGTTTCAGCAATTCCTGTTCATATCAGTTTCACCGCATACGTCATTGTCTTTGTACCTTGATCTTGTAGCGGAATATATGAATTTGTGATTAAGCTATCGATGAACGGAATTGAAGTGCATGATTGAGTTGAAGCTACGTTACCCATGGTCACTAAGTATTGGGCCTTTACAGAAAGTTAAAGGTAATGGTGACAGCGTTGTTGTGTTAAGTGCCATTGAGGAGCATGACTTCATTTTTAAAACAGCGCAGCGCTGCACTGCAATCTCATTATCTACGCTGGTAGGTATATAAGACTTGTCGAAAGTCGAAACGCATAACGCAGTAGCTAGTACAGCTAAGTTGGGCCAAATCAGTTTTTTAATCTAAAACTCAGCTTTTAGTGATCGCCTCGGCCAACAGACTTGTAGATCGGGCATAAAAATGGCGAAAGAAAAATAATGAATTATACTCTATATAGTTTGATCCGAGCGTTTGTTTGCATGAATGCGCTTCTGAAACGTAAACCAAGTCCTGGTTATATATTTCTTGAACAGACTATTTTATTAAGAGCGATATTTTTCCATCATACGTCGTACCCACGCTAGCACCACACGAAAGGGATAATAAACCTATATAAAGTAATTGAAAATCCCATGTTGCTAGCTATATATCGTATATATCGTATATATATATATATATATATATTAATATATATATATATATATATATATATATAGCGTGGAAATCGCCTGGAGGGCAGTTTTGACCCATGCCGACTAAAAATTCTTAAAAAGAATTTGACCCTGTCATAGACTATTAGCATATTACTGAATACACTGCATATATATATACAAATTAAATATTTACATTGCACGATTGTTTCTGAAATAGTAATTAAGATCCAACGCAATCGGTTGGTTTTTATCATTTAACCAAACTTTGAACGTTTCACGAAAAATCGGACTTCGGTCACAAGAGATGCATGTGTTCAGCATGAATCTGTAGTTCTTCACATGTGGATCAAACATATTTCCCCATTTGTCAGTTACATTTTTCAACTTTTGTTGATTTTTGACTGAAAAGGCAACAACAGTAAAATTTTCGGTGAAATTCAAAGAATGATGTCAGTATAACTTTTTAAAAGTATGATAGGGGAGTTCGCGAGTTCCTTACTGTAGCCTACTGGGTATTGATCTGTTACTATTAAGATGTATATCCTCTTGTTCAGTGTTTTAAATTGTCTCCTATAGGAGCCATTTCTTCAATTAGCAAAACATATATCGCTCTATTGAAGTGTATTGTTTTAATCAACTGATCTTAGATGGCATCAAAATCGTCCCCAGACCCCAGAGACTTTTCTGTCAACGTGTAAATGACGTTGATATGGATGTCATTGTCGTACCCTTAGTTGTGTAATTATAAATCCTAGTATAATGTTTGTAAAGTGCCATAAAACAAATACCTTCCAGTCATCGTTCTGACCTGTAGACTGCATGATAGTCTTTGCGTTTAGCGTTTCAGAATGTGTTCATGTTATAGTGTCTAGCATTTGTAGTAAATATATTTTCCTGTTTGATATTAAATGAATAAATTCCTTATCCATCACTTCAACGTATTATTATTGTTCTAATGTTCTCGTATGCTGTGGTATCTTTAATCGGTGGTTATCCTTAATCCGGTGTTCGCAGTCATACCGCTTCGACACTGCCCAATAAATAAGATAGATAATATATCATATCTGTAATTATACCTTCTTCATACTTCCGCCAAGAAGAGGACTTCCTCCAAGCATCATTCCACCAGCTCCACCTAGACCACCAGCTCCACCCAATGAACTACCACCTAATGCTCTATTCCCAATGCCAGCATCACCCAGTCCTGCAAGTCCCGCTTGGCCACCAAGTACCCCAGCTCCTCCCAGACCACCTGCCTCTCCAAGCCTCCCTGCTCCTCCAAGTACCCCTGCTCCTCCGAGACCACCCGCCTCTCCAAGTCCTCCTGCCTCTCCAAGTCCCCCTGCTCCTTCGAGTCCCGCGGCGCCCCCGAGACCTGCTGCTGCTCCAAGTCCAGTTGGTCCGCCAAGACCACCAACATCATTAGATATTCCAAGGTGAGGATTACCAAAAGCAGCATGGCCGGCACCGGCTGCTAAAGCTGATGTAGCAGATTGTATGGTGTCTGAAAAAAGGGTAAAATTGGGAATGAGATAAAGCCATTAAAAATACCTTCAATAATGGGCACGCTAAACCCAAGAAAATGTTTATGAATTCCCTAATAAACCTGCCTCCTTGCTGCCCTTCTAAAGTTGCTTGCCCATCTCCCATCTGTTCTGTTTGTCCGGGGTTTTCCATTGCTGATAGCCCAGCCACGCTCGGTTCCATATCAGCGATTTGTCTTTCCTCGCCAAGTCCTGTAAATGAATTTCCACCAATTGAGTCTCCCTCTTCATTATTTAACGGCGAACTCGCAAATCTCGGATCACTGTTCATATTCTCAGCGTTTGTTAAAGCGTGGTTCAAATCTTAATTAAATAATCCCGTATAGGGCATAACATAGTTAGGGCGTAGGTAACAGGGCGAATCCCCCAATAATATATCTGGGGGTTAATATCTTTCGGCCGCCCAATAATGAAAACTTTATTGGAATATATAATTATTATTATATAAGTATTTTAAATTGTATATAGGTTGTAGTGACACATGTACCTGCATGGGTGGGATAGGTTATCAATCAACAATAGCATCTCAAAATTAATCAAAATACTTAAATTCATCAGAATGAAATTAGACAAACCAAACGTTTACTTAAGTAATTTTTTAAGATATTTTATTCACTGCCAAAAACTGTAAGTAATGTCAAGACGTTACATTAAGCGCGGATGGGAAAGAAACGATATCAACCAAGCTATTCCAATACTGATTCCACCCGAAAAAAGGGAGAATTAGGAAGGCACTTAAACAGAAGTTTTGCAACATTGCAAACCAATTGCTAGTTTATTAGTAGATTTAATTAATCGAATCTGACATTAATAGAAATAGTTCTAATAAATCTCATGAGCTAGGTTAGCCATAGTAAAAAACTTTATGCCTTACTTAGGTATAGCTTACCTGTTTGTAGTTCCATCATCCCATTGCGCGCCTGTGGTTTTTGCTGAACTCCTGCTGACTGTGGCGAGGGATTGTGAAACATGGCGGCTGCATCCCCCATCGTTGTCTTGCCTAAAGAATTCTGAGACTCGGCGTTAATTTGGCGCTGTATTTCCTTAAGCTCCCTTGCACTCTCTGTTGCAACTTGATTTTGAATGCTCTACCAACAAAAACATGTCATTAGTGCAAATTGAAGTCTTTAGTATCGTATGTGCTCGGTGGAAATATGTATTTTTCACCCAGAGATCACAAATGGCAAAAATACAATCATAACTATGTTATGAATACCTGTGTAGCATCTCGACCTGTCAATGAAGACCGAGAGAAAGTGTAATCGCTATCGTCGGGGAATTGTGATCCAATCTTTTTATCCTCCTCGGCCTCCAACGCCAATCTATCCTCCAAGGTTGTGTCCTCCTGATAATTGTTTTGAGGAGCGTGATCATTCGCCAAATCGTTTAAGCTGATCATATGCGAAAATGCATTTCTGCAAAGTAATTTCACAGGATCAATGATATTAATTCATACTGTCTTAAGATATTTGGAAACATTTCAGTGAAATATTCCTGGCTTCTCAATGATAATTCTCATGGAGTTTATTTTCAACACGTGCATGGACATAGCAAAAGAATAGAGAAGTAGCTACACATTAACTTTACATACCTATGCAGCGGCCGTCTCAAGGGGCGGTGCACAAGCGGTAAAAGCCTGTTCACGTGTCTGTGGTTAACAAACTGCTTCATGCTGTTCTGCAAATGAGCTACAAACAATAAGGGAAAACTTTATTGCCTGCATGTCTAGAAAAAGTGAAATTGTTATAACCTATACATGGAAGGCATATAATATGATGAGGAGGGGGGGTAGACTTTAATTGTTGCCACAGTACTAGTTTATTTTAAGAGTCTGATATCCACCTTTTGCGTCCCTTCTTCCCAGAAACATTTTTAGTCTTTTTACATCCGCCATTGATTTGTCGTGGTAGCAAAGAGCAGCGACCAAAAAGAAACTAGGATTTTTTACTTACCTGGACGTGGCCATTTCCTGATGGACTTTAAATTTGGACGTATTTTGTGCGTGTCGTGCAGCCGTTGTTTAATAGCTTTCTGTGCGGCAAGCTTGGCCCTGATTGCAGCAACTCTCAATTCAGCTGCGTTGTCTCCATGTTTCGCAGATTCTTCAGCAGCTTTCTTTGCCGCTTCTTCGGCCTTTCTTACAGCTTCTCGTACTGCATCATTGGAAGAAAGAGGTCAATAAATTACTTTTCAGTGTGTTACCATCATAAATTCATGCATGACCTGAAGTCATCACACCTTGTGTCATGGAAAGTAATTATGCCTCACACCTCTAGCCTTTTTTTGCGAGGTTTTACTCGTTTTAAGGAACAAAATAACAAAGTGGACAATCAGAAAGAATTTGCGCGTAAGAATGAACAATAACGCTTACCTTGGTCTGCACCAGATTTACCTGGAAGTGGTTCCAATGGCAGCGATAATGCTGTAGAAAATAAGAAGAATTTACCTGTAGAATTAGTGAGAAAAATCTTGACGCTATTCCATACAATATATAGCTAATTTAAAACTGGAATTTTTGGCCGCGAATATTATATACGAAAATAAAATAAATGAATGCGTATGACTAAGCAGAACAACTATGAACTATTGAACCAGAACCAACCACCTATACGAGATTGAATGGAACTTGGCTGTTTTACAAATTTGAAGTTGTGTTTGAAACTCTCCAAACAGAAATTAAATAGTAATTTTTAGTAATTTCATAGTCCGTTTAGACTAATTCCATGAAGTCCCTATATATGACTTTATCCTTCATATTCCAATGCCAGCATTATTGTACGTTTGTTCATATATGATTATATTCAGAGAATAAACAGGAAATAAATTGATGTCTTCTCTAGAGCTCACGTGAACTTTTTTTACGAGATAAGCTATCATGCTGGCCGCCGTTTTGATTCTTAAAACAATTAATTGAAATACCAAAACAACACCGATTAAATTTTTCTGCTTCACTGGGTTCAAATGTAGTGTATTATTTTATCTCCTATAAATGAAATACTCCATTGTCATTGACAATATTAACGATACGATAAAAATGATTTTCTAAAGATAAATAATTTTTTTTAAATATTTTAAACAACACAGATTTAATTTAAATGATCACTATATTCATTTTGTCGGTGACTAACAAAACTTGAATTCAAGAGCACAATGCCCATGTCAAAAAAGGGGAACAAAACAGATACTAAGCGTTGTCTACGACACAAATCTATATATACTGCCTAATGTATGTATATATCTTTTACGTTACTACCAACCTCCAATTGCTGATAACAAGATCAGTAATTTTGCCAACGCTAACGTCGCCATTTGTAAAATTTCGCTACACTGGCGACCTGTTGCTCACGATAAACAACCTGCAAAGCGTAATTAGGTGCAAAATACTTTCCACTCTCGCTACATTTTCTGCAGGACAGAAGGACTTATAGGAAAGAACGGCTTAGCCTTTCAAAAAAGTCTTAACGATGCGTCCGAAGGCAAGCATTAAACAAAATAATTACTCAATTCCAACGGCATTATTTTAATCTCATGGATTTAATCGTATACATCATGGGATAATATAGGACGGATCGAAAAGCACTTTGGGGCCTGAAGAAGTCACAGCGAGAAGCTGCTTTTGTTAGCTACGATGAAGATTTAGCTAAAATATCAAAAGGTATAAAAAGCAAGAAACAATTAAGATATGGCTCGTACATGAAGCAAATAAAATGTACAAGTTTATCTTTGGTGAATATATAAAAACTATTGAGGTCAGTGAACCATGTCGAAAATGGGCTCGGAAACAGTTTATGCTTTATCGTGCTATGTGAGAGATGTATAGATAGCACTGCGGGGCACGCGGAGCGTAAAGGGCTCAGAGAGAGAGATCAGAGAGTGGGAGGGTAGATCCCAAATAGAATCGCCCGGTAAATTTTTGAAGCTGAGTAATTTTGGCCGCCAATGCACTGGGAACCACTATATCATGTCTGCACCAATTTAGGTAAGTCACAATACTGTACAGACATATTCGCAAGTAGATTTAATCTCGAGCAACTCCAAGATCACTTTATCAGCAAATTATATAGTACATCATCAATTGCTTGAACTTTTAAAGATAACGTCTCCCTCATTTAGTCTAGAAATTTGATGAACCCGTTTTCAAATCGAATGAGATTACAAATAACGCAAAAAGAGGCATATTTAAAACTCTATTGTCATGACAACCGAGCTATCCACAGGCCTATTATAGGTACCACTGCGGCCTCGATTCTGGTGTGCTCATGCCGTTCCGTTCAACTTCACACTTCACTATGTCTACCAGGGAAAATATAATACGGAATTTTTCCTCCTTTGCTCGCTATGATCCGAGATCATAAAGTTATGTTTCCACCTGGGTTCTGGGTTAGAAATATTAAACGTGAGATTATAAAACTGCTTAGGGACCGCGCGAACGGCAAAAATTCTACTCTCATGATCATGTCCCAGTTTCATTCCAAAACTGCATGCCAGAAAGTTTACACTTTCATTCTCCCAATATATGCATTATCATAAATCATGATCTAAATATATATTTGTATATATAGATAAGAAGACAATTAGACAAGGAATGACCTGCTGGTACCGGAAACAGAACATGTACCGGTCGAGATGTGCCGGGATGTAATGTATCACGTTCGTTGATAAAATGAAATTTATACTTTATATTCGAAGTATTTTTTCGAAATAAGGTAAGATATTCTGTACGTACTAGCGCCTGAGATGATGGTTATTAGTGCATGCAGTCTGATACATGCAATTATATAATAATCTATATGAACATATTGGCCTATAACATATAAAGACTATAGTATAATACGGTTTTTATATTTCTTCCAATAATAATTTAGAGCTAGCTAATGAGTAATGTTTTATATCTATGGGTAGGATAAATAAACGCAAACCCAGGAAATATTACTGCATGTTATTAAAACTAGACAGTTTCTGAGTATATTTTTAAATAGTACGTGCTTACACCTGCAAAATTCATTTCTAATTTCACTTTTGTAAACAAAGGTTATATATCTGGTGATCATGAATGGAAATCTTTGCCTTTCGCTCTTCATCTTGTCTGTGGTTTTTATAGTAGTTTGTGAAGCTGGTAAGTCTAAGGATATATTACTAAAAACTGATCGAAAGCTACTGTTCTTAAAATTTGCATTTCTTAGAGGACGTACGTCGGCGTGCACGCATGCTGTTATTTTGACTGGTTAAATCGCTTTCTTTAAAACACATAAGTAACACTAGGCAATGGCCGGCATCTTTTCGGAGGCTGTACATTTCATGAATGTCCGATGAGCGCTACTTGGACAGAATGATTGTGACATGCATGAAGGGGACAGGTCGTGTATATAATACCGTCGACGTCGACCATCAGAGGCATAATTTAAGTTGCCATACGAAATTTATAATGAAAAATGAAAAGATCCAAACTCCATGACATGGACTATGATACAAAAACTTATGATACAAATATTCAAGAGAATTCACGGAGAAATTATAATGTTTTCTTGAGTTTTTAGCACTTCGAACATGAAAATGCGAAGTGATGCAAGCGCCTGCGTTTTATTGCTCCTTGACGGCTCCTAAAGGCCGATCTACACGATGCAAATAGTCGTACACCATTCTTATCCTGGCGTATGAAAAAGATTGCTGACGCCACTCTTTCGGTTCACCTGTTTAGAACGAAGTTTTTAAATGTCATTATACACGCATTTATTCAAGTTGACGACGTACATTACATGCACAAACTCATATTCCTTGGACAGCCGGGGGGGGGGGGGGGCGGAGTAGAGTGAAGTATATTAAAGAAGTCCTTTTAGAAGGGTATCATAATATATACCGCTTCATTAAAACTCGTACTTGCCTTTCAGATAATCTGAGAAATATTTTGGACGATAAAGTTAACTATGGTAAGCGCGGCACACATAAAAAAGTACCATATCGGCTCAGAAATTGTAAGGTCTGAAAATGTATTTTCGTCTCTAGCTAACGCCATAATTTTGTTTTGATAATAAAACTCTGCTTAATTAATTTGCTCTGCATGCACCATGCGTACAATGTTCTGCAGCAAAATTCTTCGAAATTTCCTCAGCTGAACATGCTGTCCAAGGAGTGAAGAAAACTACAACTTTGCACAAGATTTGTTCCAGGCTTAGGAAGCACTCCAGACACACCCACCACAAAGAGAACAACAAGAGGAGGTCAATCAAACATACATGTGGTGTTTTGTACGGTTATGATGAACAATACAACAAGCAGTCCAATAAAGTTGCTGATATAATCCAGAACAGCCATAAATCTGCAACTAGTCTTAAGAAACAAAAAGAAAAACTCATTCAGGAAGTTAACAAACTTGCGAAATTATCAGGGCCATTACCTAAACTAAGGTTAGCGGGGTAAACTATTAATAAGTATTTTTAACAACATAAATATATTCTGTTTTCATACTTAAAATGAAGCGATTGATTCGCCATGTTCATGCCTTTTACAACATAATATTAAAAAATATAGAATTAACTCGCATATATTTGACATCAATTATTAAATAATTTCGTTATTTCTGAAAGTAAATAAGAAGTCACGAACAGTATAATTTGAGTATAGGATAGGCTCTATTCCCACGGAGCCCCTGCTATGCCTTCTTTACTTTAAGACTCTTTCGATTGCGTAAGCCTCGTAAGAATGCGCGAATACAGCAGACATGAGTATGATATCAATCTGTAGCTCAGCCTCTAATCTCGTTTAAATCTATTTTCCCTTTTTTTTCACCTCTACTATCTAACCGACCACAGCCAAATCCGAATGAGCTTTTATTTCTTAAGGCTCATCTCCATGCATATCAAGATCCTTATAACCATTGTATTTTCCTTGCAATGGCCACGACGGTATCTCGGCCTAAGGCTGTCCATACAGGGCGTATTTCTAGTTTCACTGTCCGATCTAGTTTTGTACCAGATTGGGCAAAATGAACTTGAATGGCTTCTAACATCTGTTGGAAACTTTAAAGATATTCATCCAGTAACGAGGGTACATTAATTATTACCGATACACTGGCGTCCATATATTTAAATCAGTTTACATATGCTTTTGCAAATTTTTTTTCGAGTTCTTTGGGCTTTTGGCAATCTTGTCTTTTCTATCAAAACGACGAGTGTACTCAATTTCTTCACCAGTATCGTCGACGTCATTGTCATCATCCTCATCATCGTCATAATAACGATGTCGATTAACATAGGACCTTGTTCTACCTTGTCCCACTTCTTCATCGTCATCCTCCTCATCATCATCTTCATTGTCATCGTCATCGCCATCATCATCGTCATCCTCGTCATCGTAGAGCCGTCGTCTCGCACTAAGCCACCCTCTTCCAGAAAGCCTTCTTCTCGGATATGGCATACGACTACGAACATAGCCTTGTCCATCCATCATGCTGGGTATTCTTGACAAGCCCATGCCATTTCCCATGAAACCGTTCTGGTAGGCTTGTCCTGTATCCATATCCTGTGAATTTGAAGCCGGCGCTTGGAAATTGGATACTCGATCATTGAAGTCACTAATATCATTCGGACGCGACATTGTATTCATCATTTCACCTGTAAATGCATGAAGACGTTTCAATGAAACTGTTATTATATGACGTTCTAGTGAGAGGTGGGAAGTAAGTATGACATTGCTGATTATGCTTAAAATGTAGTGATGTAAACTCGAAGTGATGGACACAGACCTGTACTTATATATTTTGGTTATTTGATGGAAAATAAGAAGGCTTCGACGGCAAAATTAAAAAATTGAGAAATTTAACTATAATCTCCTGGTTTCAAACACGTCGAGAAGATCAAATGGAGAAGGCCAGCGACAACAACCAAGATTCATGACTTTATGATTCAAAGTAGTTGTAAACAGCTGAGATATAAGTATAAACTATCACATCGTATACTTTGGGATGATCAGCAATGTCATGATACCTTACAAACATCACCTCCAGCGCGTGTCAATTGCAAAATGATTTTTCCATTGATGAAATGTACGTTTAAAAGTTGTACACGGTGGTAGTTGACACTGTTGATAGGATCGATCAATTTGAGTAGGCTGTAAAGGACAAAACAATAGATAGGATAGCTATACTTAACTTACCAGCTCCTCCTCCCATTGGTTGAAGACCAATTGGCATAATGTTCGAGTGCGCATGATCTGGATCCTTTTCACTGACTGCTGGTGGTAATTTTGGTACATCTGGACCACTTGCTATATTTGCATAAATATCACCGCCATCAGTTTCATCAGTTTTGTCCTTTTTTCCAGACTGCTCGCTCTTTATATCCTTTTCTTTATCCTTCGAATCATGCGATGCGTCGTTTTGATGATGGACAGACAAAGCACTCAAAAGCTTTTTCAAATCGGAATTCTTACCCTCCTTCTTAAGTTTAATCAACTTGCCAAGAATCTTCAAAGCTTTAATCTTTTGATCAACTGTTAAGTGTCCTCCTGGAAAGTGCTTCTCGACGATCTTATGCAGCATACTGATGGTTTCCGTTCGTACTTGAAGTTTATGTAGCTGGCTACTTGTTCTTTTCGATCCTGCTTGATCTTCTGGTTTTTCGATAAGAATGTTTTTGTGTGAAGACGCTTGCTCTTTCAACTTAGTTGTATTATGTCTATTTTTCTGCTGCGATCTTGCATGAAGAAGACCATGAAGACCAAGAACAGCGCCTGAACTTTTGGAGGATGCGTTTTTTTTCTTTTCGCAATCTTTCCCACCAACTTTATTTCTCTTATCAAATTCAATTATGTGATGCAAAGGCGCCGATTTACTCCCTTTGTCGTTTCCAGGACATTTGTCTAAAACAGTGTTATCGTATTTATCGTAATATATCGCGATACAATATTCTCACTACGTTAAAGTGTTTGAATTTGTTAACTGTTAACTGTTTCAAACAATTAATAATAAACACTCGTTTTTTTCGTATATTGGAATTTGAATTAAGATTTTCGTACCTGCGTTGGATGACAAAGGTAAAATATTCGTTACAGCTAAGAAAACTAATATCCACTTCATTGTTCAGCGTTCTTCATTATTCTTCTATTTAAATTTACACCCAGGCCAGAAACGAGCTAAAAGTTTAAAATCATATACAACAGCCATGTCAGTGCATGGTTGTGCGTTATTTATTGGAACAATTTACGTGCACATACAGAAATAAAAGTTGGCATACTATATCAATAATGTTTATATGTTGGAAACATACAATAGAGGTTTTGGTCTAAACAGTCATGTAAACTTGTATATAAATAGCATTTACAGTTAACATTATAGTAATCAGAACTTACTTTGAAGCGAAGCATCTAAAAAACAACAACTGCTTTCATCAAATGAAACTTAATTCCAATTTCAAATCATTCTTCTAAGTTCTAAGCCCGGTGTTTTAAAGGAAACTACGTAGTACTTTAAAGAGACTCGAACGGTTAAGATTCAGTTTATCTTATTGTTAACAGGTATTGCAGTTTCTCACAGCAGGTGATGTAATGAACTACTGATCTTAAGTTTGTTCCTATCCAGACTATCATGATCGATATTTTGTTTGTATGTGATATGGAATCTTATCTATGGTGAAATGACTGGTAAATTGGTGAAATTCCTGAAGTTGTTCTAATTAATAATTTGCAAACACACATTCCCTTACTTCCCTGGTTCGTAAAAATTAATAAAGTAAACCGATCGTTGAATTTGAAATATTTTTTTCTTTATAATATTGATCGAAAATTCTTCGGAAACTGATGTTTTTAAGATCAATAGCAATCATTGTATCACTGCATGATAACAATTATGTTCATACAGGCTAGAGTCCATTCCTGGCCTATATATTTGAAAACGTTTTATGTGCATCCAAGGAACATGTTGTAAATAATTAATGAGGTTTAACAAATTACATCATACCCTATTTGGTGGAAGGACGTCTCAATTTTTTTATCAAGTGTTTCTCTTAATATTTATACTAAAAGACAGAGTTAAAACATGAAGAAAATTATAGTTGCCTATATGTAGGGGTAGAAAGTTGATAATCCACCGGGAGGCATGATCTTAGTCGGAAGGAAAATTATTGATACGGTAAGTAGACATGTGGTCAACCGTGAAGGTTAATCATTGCATATACTAAGTCATTGGATCTCAATATTAGGCTAAGATTGAGACTATAATTATAAGTTTTCGAGCTTAACCTTATTTAGGTTTAAAGTGTGATTATATGAGCCATTTTCTGGTTAGATTTATCCTACTCCAACAGTTTTACCGAAACTGTATAGTAAATCAAACATGGCGAATTCATAATCATGGCAGGCATATTTCATTCACGAGAAAAGTAAATACTTAAACTTCACTAATTTCATGCCGAAGCTACCGCATAATTTAATGCTATTTGAAAAGCAGTGCAAATATATTTGATGATCAGTGGCATAACTAGAACGATAACTGGGAGGGGAGGGGGGTGCATGAATATTCATATATTCAGTTTTGCCCGACGAATTTCTAGAGTAATGATAGAGTAACCAAAACGTTCCGAAACCTGAGACAAGTACCATTTGACGTTAACCATTCAACTATAGTCAGACTATATATTAATACGTAAACTGGAATGCCAAGTTGCAGGGGTATTATATATATAAAAGCTTTTAGTTTTTCTGAGTTATGAGCACAAATACTTCACACGAAAAGTTGTGCAGCATATTTGAAGTTACATTTTGTTTTCACTGAGTATCAAAATTTTTTAATGCCCCTCTCTGCTACTTCATATTTGTTTAATTTCATTAGGGTTAGCCTACATGACCTGTATGACAACACCTCGCCTATGAACAAGCATGAAGCGGATTACGGTATTGATTGTGCTTCTTGTAGTCAAACATGTCCAGAGTTACGGTAGGTAAAAAAGATGTGGAGAGACTGACGATTGTTTAATAGCTACAATTCAATCGTTAAACATATCATAAATATCATTCGCTTCCATTTTCCTTTTCAGTGCCCAATTCCGATAAAACATCACGATCAGAAGTTGGCCGGAGGAGAATGCTGGTCAACTTACTACATGCTATCCGAACGCTACGAGATCATAAGAAAGTAAAATCAGCAAGCCTGATATTTCCGAAAATCGATAATATACATTCAGATGAAGTCGGAGAAAATTACATAAGCCCTGAATCAAAACTCGTTTCACAAATCGAAAAAAAAATTGAAAAAGTTCGAACCACAGGAAAAAAGAACCAGATTAGCAAGCGATCAAAAGGGATTCACAGCAGATCAAAAGGTAGTTTAAGGCTAATAACACAATTAGAGAAGTACATTTCTCATACTTAGCAATGCAATTGTCAAAAAGAACGACATTTATCAAATTATATCAATGAGAATATGAGAAGCTGAAACAATCTACATTCTACACTCGCATGTTACCTCGAAGTATAAACATGCACTCTGACCTTCTTACTCAAAACACAACTTTGACCAAAAGGGAAAATTTTCATATAAATGAAAGTAGGTAAAAATATTGGAAGAATTCCATTATTATTTTCATTGTTTTGCCTAAGGAACTCATCACAGAAAACACAGAAATGGAAAAGAACTGTTTTTGCAATTACTCCAAACACTGAGGAGCCTTAGGACTAAAAAAAGTAGAAGTAGAGTCAACCTACCGAAGGAACGTAACCAGCAGGTGAAGAAAGAAATGCAAGTGACTAAAGGAGACGTTAAAACCACGATGCAACAGCGGCATAACAACAGATGGCTAGATTTTGATGAAAGATCAAACGTATTAAAGCCTGTGAAACACGTCGCTAAAATTGGTACAAGTCAAACAAACAAAGCCAGGTATTCCTTTGCACAAGCACGTATGTCCTTCCTGGAGGCTCTGGAAACTGCCCAGGATGAAAAACTATCAAAACTTGCCAATCTTGAGAAGAGATTTTCGTATATATTACCAGAAAAAGAAGAAAATAATCATTTGAAAGTAGGAAAAGTAACAGGCCATACGTTTCAAAATGCCAGAGAGGGTCAGTCAACAACAAGGTTTAGTCATGTACGTCGACCATACCACGATTTGGTCTTTAAAAGGCCTCAAAATGTGATTCCAACAAAATTGTCGATCTTAGAGAAGCCATTTAAAAGGCAAAAAGCCTCAACTGGTTCTAATTCAATATTCTCATCACATTCAACTACACAAAACAGTTTTGAAAAGAAAGAGAATGTCGCTCCGTTCGCTAATGATGATACAAACGACAGAAACATTTCAAAAGTCATGGAGAATCCTCCAAATGAGTCAAAGAGACGAAAGGAATTATTTTTGGATGAATTGTTGTCGATAAGTAATGCTCACAGTAAATTCGAAAAACTAAAACGTCTTGAAAAACTTAAAGAGAAATTACTGCGTAATTTCGACAACGATAAAGCAATCGAGAAAGAAGGTAACGTCTCGTCACATAGCTACAAGAATGAAAGAAACAGACCGATAATCCGAAAAGGGGGAAATCCTACGTTAGATATGAAAAACTATACAAAATCTTCACGGATCGTGTCTGGCAAACCAAACGATGACAATCAACACAATACTATCGCTGGAATAGGTTTACCTGGCAAAGTCGGTTCTTCAAAGCAAGGGCAGATAGACAACGAAAACAATGGGAATCAGGGAAATGCTACAGTGTTGGAAGAACACCTAACTACAAATTCTTCACAAACGGTAGCGAAAAGTGAACCAAATTCCCAGGACGTTAATATAATTGGTGCTGCTCCACAGGCTTCTGGATACGTCTCCACTAAAAGCAAGAATGGATCTGAGAGTGACCATTCTTACCTTCCATTGGACTCATCAGCGATAGCCCAACGGAATGAGGGCGAAGAATTAAATAATTCGCTGTCATCAGTTGTTACCGAGCACGATAAGATAATTTCAGAGTTGACCAAGTCAAAAGAACTCTCGAACCAGATGTCAAACGATAAAAATAGAACCGAAAATTCGCACAAAACTCTGTCAAATATATTACAAAAGGCGCAGAGTATTTTCCTCAAGAAGGTTAAAGAAATCCTTGCTGGCAGTAAAATAAATGGTAGAAACACTAAACTTGCAAGTAATGAAAACTCAGAGAAAGCTCCTGAGAAACCAAAAGGAGGTGTGATTAATACGTCAGCTTACGTGATGGATGAATCACCGCATGACGAAAAAACGGCAGCACAAACGACGCCGAACAATTCAGGAATTGTTCCTAAAACCCCAACGAACGACGAGCTTCTCAACTCAGTTAATCGAAATATAGCCCAACCAGCAACACAACCGCCAAACTCTGGTATAAATTCGCCTATGCAATCATTACAAACTTCCATGGATCATACTCCTCCTCTGCAAACAGAATCCGTTGGACAACAAGGACCAGGGAATCCAGTTTCAGGACAACCATTGACTTACTCGCAGTTACAAGACGCTCACGAGGAAGAAAGAATTGCAATGCAACAGGAAAATGTTTTTCGTAGTATGCAACCTGGAGCAGGCTTACCATCAAGTAATGGCGTGAATTCAGCAATAAATAGTGCTACAATGCCGTCTCAAAGGTAAGAACAGTATATATATGCCTATACTTCAGGATTTTTTTTGGTAAAGAATCAAAAGAAGCTATATATTTCGAAAGAGATTTAAATTGTATTAATTTAAATTGTATTAATTTTTTTACGAGGGTGTCCTAGACCTAAAACATTTCTAACACATTTTTAACTTTTAGGTACATGGGCCCAAATCCGTTACCTCAAACGAATCACAATCCTTTACAAAATCCAGGATTCCCTCCAAATGTTGATGACCTTAGTGAATACAGAGGAGGTATGGAAAGATATCAATTGAGCAACCGTTTAGGTTACCATGCAGATATAGACGATAGAAACGAAGATGACTACCTTCCACGCAGGCACAGGTTACATTTCTACAGACATCGTACTGACGATGAAGACGACTATGATGATGATGACGATGAAGATGATGATGATGAAGATTTTGATGAGGATGGGGACAAAAAGTCAAAAATCGGAAAGCCTCATCATGTAACTGGAAAAAAGAAACATTCGACGAACCATGGTTTTGGAAATCCGTCAAATTCTACCAAAGTAGAACATAAGAAACACAAAAAGGGGCATGTAAAAAGTACAGGAAGATAACATCATAAACATTATTTTTCTTCAGTAGGGAATGTATATCAGTTTAGAAAGATACAAGCTAATAAGCAATGTCTCTAAGTAACTATGAAGGCAGGCTGTGCAGGTTTTATCAATGACCTTAACTTTTTTCGATCTATTATTCGTAGAGGCATGCGGTGATGAGTAAGAAAATTTAGCCCTCTTTCAAATTCAGCAATAGATCAGCTCATAAACCAACACATTTAAGGCATTCAATGTCTCGCATACATTAACGTTTGTTTACAGTCTTTAGTTGTAATGTAACATAAAGCACAGCGCAAAATTATCATTAATAACTTGAAAAAATGCCCTCTTTGCATGTGGGAAATATAAATGAAATGTAATAAGTCAACCAGAGGGCAGTGACAAGGGTGCCAGACAGGTTTTAAAAATCATTTCACATCGACGCGGTTTAGATAAAGAAGGCCTATAAAATATGAAAAAAAAGTCCGCCAGACAAACAGTGATATTTTCTATACAAACAGCAACAAGTAGTCCAAGAAATATGCTCAAGTCTAGACAATTATTTTTTGTTAAAATAATATCATATATAATAGTTAACCTTCCACGCAAATATTAAGACCTGACTCAAAATAGTCATTTCTGTCAAAACTATCAATGGCATCAGTGGGCCATAAGTGTTTCCTCAAAGAAAAAAAATGGACAAGCTTAGACATTCTAATCCAATGCGCATTCACCGTAATAAATGTGTATATAAGCTAGAAAAACATGCTATAACTGTATAGAAACACATTGAAAGGACATTATAGTGGAGCAGGTTAAATTGGCAAAAAATAAACCAACAGAAAGGAAGAAAAGAAATTTTAATTAATTTTATTATCTTTCTTTATTTCGTTTTTAACAGTATACCTGTTTTATTTATTGAGAACGTAACTTAAAATTCGTAGTCATAACTAAGTGATAACATGATAAGATCATCCTATGCATTTAATAATATTCTAATGATACGCGACGTTTGGAGAAAATTCAAAGGATTTTTTTTTCATGAACAAGGTATACTATATAGCTTTGCATGTATATCTATATAACGCGTAGCATAATACCGTTTTACTTTTGCGATAAGAGTTTCTAAGCTATTATTGAAAAAGTCAATAATTTCCAATATCTCTTTAAATGCTACCTGTATATTTAGCGTGGGAACATGTTGAATATTACAAAATGGTTGACTGCATAATGCACGATGATTAAAAGTCGCTTCAAGTGTGAAACGGTTTCTTCACAACAATATTCTTAGACCAACGCATGCTCGTACACATGCCACACCCATGTAAGGTAAAAGAGCAACTATCAGCATCGATGCATGTTTGCATTCACGTTACTAAAGTGTTCATACAGTAACATGGTATTTTATTCATTTCACAAATAAACAACTTAATAGAAGAGAAAAGCTGGAAATAGACCGAATAGCTCGAATTCATTTATCGACAAAATTAATATGCTGCAATAATTACAAATGTGTAAATTTACCCCAGCCGAACACAGATATCACTTTTTACCTTGCATTGCATGGCAAAATTAATGCTAGCTCGAATTCATGGTAGGCGATAGTAGTATCATCCCACTTTAAAAATCTCTTTTGATATTTTTGGGAATAATAGGAAGTTCTTCAAGCGTTTCATAGGGCCTAAAGATATAAAGAAAGTTTCTAGTGCTTTTCAGTTTTAAGAATTTTTTCAAGGATTTTTTAAGGGCGGTGAGATTTCGACCTCCATGTGTACGAGAACTATATTATGGAGTGATACGAATACGCCACTCGATGGTATAAATCCATTACAATGTCGTTCGCACGTGGCGGTTAATTGACAGTAATTGAGACTTCGTCGAAGTTCCTGTCCCTCGAAAAGTCGACCACCGTTCTATTGCCTTCAGTCTGCAGCAGATTGCTTCCAAAAGTCTCTTACGGAACTGATTACTCTGAACAAAGAATATCAAAGGGTTGACGCAGGTTGACACAAGTTGAATTAGAAACACGATTTGTGGAAACCAGTGCCCGTACCCGATAGCGCCGAAACTGAGCATAAAGTCACCAATGAAATTGGGGAAAGTGCAAAGATTGAAGAGGATCAAAACAGAGCCGAGCAATTTTGTGATCTTCTTTCGCGACCGCAGCAACGCTTTGTGGGACTCTTTCATCTCGTTGTTCTCTTCATTGCACCAGAGGTACTTCACAATCTTCACATATGCGACACAGATGATGATGTTCGGGCAAACATACATGAAGCTAAACATCAGGGTGGTCAGAAGCTGCCGTTGCCATTTTCCGAGAAGGAAAATGCATATTTTCGAGCTATCGCCTTCGACGAACTGTATGAATATAAAATATGGCAGGGAAAAGATGATGCTCAACGACCAAATCACAAGAAGAATGATCCTGAAGCGAGACCAAGACATCCTGTGCTCCAGGGGTTTGAGAATAGCATGATACCTTTCCAGCGTGATGGCTGTCAGCGTGAAGATGGACACAAGTCCACTGAGGACAGTTATGGAATTCGCAGCAACGACTCGACAGACCCAATCGCTTTTCCATTTCGGGGCGACGTAGTTTGCGATGTACCAAAGAAGCGAGAAGACACCAGCAAGGAAATCAGAAAACGCCATGTTCACGAAGAGATAGTTCATTGTGCTATGAAACTTCCTCTCTGCGGTGATCAAACCCACCACTAAAATGTTGCCGATGAAATTTAGAGCCAACACCACGAAAAATACGCCAGACCATATCTGGAATGATGTGCTGAAAGGTCTTGTTGCTGTGGAATTATCCGGTGCGGACGATAAATTCGTTGTGAGATTTGACTCCATGGGGAAAATCACATTAATGTTGCGTACTGAGTCGAAAGCGGTGGAGTAATGAAGATTTATCAAAATTCGCTTGATATCGTACCCTCTAATAGCAGTTAGCTTTACCAACAACTGATTGGGAGGCGCGTAATAAGTATAATATGTCGGCGAGGTGTTAATTAAAAGCGCTGCTTAGCTTAAACTCGGGGTTTGTTTTGCTTGAGACAATTGGAAGAACAGCTGCTTTTCAAAATATATGATTAACAGCTAGATTGTGTCTCAAATGACTTCTCCCACACTTGCACTCGGACGTAATTTACCTTTGAATAAAATATTCTTGGTCTAAATTGAATAGATTGCTTCGCTTTTGAAAGGTAATGTACCGGCGCCTTCAAAATGTTGAGCAATCTGTATATCTTATCTTTTTGAGAATCAATTTTTGACAAAACGATTGACGAAAAACACTGCGAAGCGCTGATTGAGCTCTGTCGAAGCTATTGCATTGTTAGAAACCACATTTTGCATCATGGTATTGTTTGCACTTTGTTCGACATTTTCAGCACACAAAAGCCAACTTTATATCTTAACGAGGTTAAAAAGAAAAGAGAATTTCCCACATATTAAGCACATTTTTTGTCTAGACGCCCACATATCATCAATCTCCCTGTTCGACGCAGCACCGTAGTAACTTTCACTGTACTGTGATATAAATAAAGTTCATGACTTTGCTCTCAGCCCGATAAAGTAACATATAGAACAGTCATATGATTAAAAACCTAAATTGAATTTTACATGCAGCCATGCACAAACGACAGCATGTTGCAAACGTATGTTGGCCATTAGCTTGCGAGAAGAGAAAAATATAGTCAGTGTTAAATCTTGCCATCGGGAACTGCATGTTACTCATCTGCAGGAATGTGCATTTTTTAATCCTGTCAGTTTCTTTGTCTGATCTATGAGAGTCTACCGGGAGTACAAGAATTTTATAACCTAACTACCTAACGATTACATCCCATCTGCTGCCAATTCTGTCTTAATATTTATGAAATATGGATTTAGACCCGACGGAAGCATTCCGACCAAGTAGCTTTTGTTGAAATACAATATCCTTCACTACAAATCCCTACCCCAGCCGTTACATCTGACAGTGTCTCAAATAGAAAGAAGAAATATTGAGATAGAAGCCGGGTATGTACAATGCTGTCTTCCACCGTTTTACTTGATATGAAGATGTTATACATGACACAAACAGAATGACAGAATGAAGGGTATATTGCACATGGACCAACTGTTTTGTGGAAGGCCTTCACTGAAAGATTACTACATCCGCTGCCATAATGGAATAGTGTGGTCTCGAAACTCGAAAGATTGCTACTTAGAGACCGAATTCTGTTCCAAGTGCTAGTGCTAAACGTTTCAACAATTTGCCGTACGACACACTCGCAAAATTTCGTCTTTTTTCTAATAGCATGAATATAAGCTTCAAATATTCATCACAACTTTCACACATTTAACCGTTTGAAAACAACCGCTAATTGGATTTATAAGTGGGTACTACATAGAAGAGGCACAGCAGGACGCCTCTTAAATTGCTTGACATATCGATCCCGAAATGAGAAGATATTACACTTTCTTAAGCATCGGCGGAAAACATTATCTTCATCTGCGCGCGGCGACTGTTTATTTTTCTTAGCCGAACTAAGTTTTGCTTTAATAGAGAAGAAAATGCAATCTAAATATAGCAAACCGTTAAACTTTCACCCGCGTCGTGAAGTCCAATTATCCGAAATCCTAAAATGTTTTCATCGCAAAGTTTTGATGAGGTTTAAATCAGGGCAATGGGAATGTTTACGAGTTATCGCTGTTCCCACAATCATGTAATTTCGCCGCGAGTGGTTTATTTTAATTGGAGACAATTTGCATTCGTTTGAATGAACTGACACAAAATTTTCGTAGCTCTAAACCTATGATATCAAAATCAATCGTTTCATGCAGGTATTTCAATTCTTAAATTCAGCAAAAAAGTGAACTGTTCAGAACATCACTACCGTTTTAATGTACAGGCAGTACAGCTGATCAATCAGAATTTTCGATCAATTTAATGTCTCCTGTTGCTGCATGCATATAGCATTGATTTTTTTCGATTTTTTTATTTTCTCCAATTTCTCGGATATTCCGTGGGAATCAGCCCTGAAGGGTATTTTCTCGTTTGAACCACAACACATCATGCAGGCAATAACAAGGATCATGCTAAATCATTGTTGATTTTTATCGCCACAAAACAACGCGGCCATGCACGCAACTTTGCTAGATTTTTCAAGGTGCTGAATCAGCATTCCAATTTATTTCATTCCAAATTATTGAACATATAGCTGACATTATTCCCTCCCCCATTCGTCAATAAGGAGAAGGCAAATTCGAAATGTTCAAAGCCAGATCAGTCTGGCGTCACACAAAAACACTTAATACAACAATCGTGCGCAAAGATGTCCAGTCATCCTACAGCGGTCTGGCTCAGTTATATCATATTAGAAGGTTCAATCATGATGAATGCAGTTAAAAAGTTTTAAAAATTGCGTGTTTACAGAATACGCTACTGACGTGCTATCATGCACAATTTGTTGCCTGCTGTGTCTTATAAGTCATCTATTTTTATAGTTACATGGCACCATATATTAATAACCTAAAGTTCCACGCAGGCATCACTCATAAGCATTGTCAAATTGCAGATGTGCGATGATACATATGCACGAAACTTTCAAGTATAAATAAAAAATATATACGGACTCGTTATACTCAAACGTGCCCGATTCACAGGTTTAGGACTTTAATGCTCTATCAGATTGTGTATTTTCTATAAGGTGAATTGACCGAATGAAAAACGGAAAGGATTGACTTTCGTCTCTATTTGACAAACATCGACATTACATCATTTCACTAAGCGTATTGTCATCACGCAGTAACTATATTATATACATGCGGATTTGGGCTATCGAAGATCATCTTAAAATTTGTTGAGAGTTGCTTCCTCATTCTCAGTCTACAGTATGTTTAGAAATATAAAAATAAAAAAAAAGGGAAAAAAAGTGTAAAACAAATTGCAATTGACTGTATTTGCTTAGCGCAAACATGAAAAGAAACATAACAATCGTATTTATTTTGCTACTGTATATACTTAAACCAACACACGCAGGGTAAATGATTCCACATTTCAATTAAAAAGGTTAAACACTTCACTGCGAAGACATTTGATTAATAATGGACGTCAATTAAAAACTGATCAGGATTCAGCAATCCGCTTTTAGAGAAGTCCTTAAGATTTGTAAATTTTACATCCGCCTTCAGCTTTGGTTGAAACCTTAGTTTATGGGCTGCATACGATGTATATAATTTATGGGCGTCTAGGGCGACGCCGACACCGACATGGAAAATATCTTCTACTTTCCTGGACTATTATGACTACTGCATGTTTGATCATGAATATACCATAATAACTTTTCTTGCCTCGGGTACGTCCACCAGACTTATCATCTTAGAAATCCATCATTTGTAGAAAAAAATTAAAAAATCAATTTACAACATATCCCCTTGTCGACAGGTGCCCCCATGCATTGCTATGGATTCTAGTGTATATTTGATAGTTTTTTTTTTCACTTCTTACTTCATTTTGAATAAGAGACAATATCAACTTGTTTCCCTTTCGTAGCTTTTCATTTGCGGTTACACCGTCGTTATTCGATATAATGAATTATCAAACACGCCGGGAAAAGGTGTAAAACGTAAATTATTTTTTCGTGTTTCAAAAGGATCAAGCCTTCTTATCACAGTGGCGACAACTAAATTTAAGTAATTAATACAAAAATCCAGCTCAATTAAGAGTCCATTTTTCTATTTCAATTCATTATTTCACGTTAATTAAAAAATATTTTATTCGCAGCACGCACCGAATGACGAATGGATTTACATGCCATGTTGCAGCATTTGTCTTTTGAAGTAAATAAATTGCAGCTTGGCGACTTATCAACGGCCTCGTTTGAGATGAAGGAATTATTATGATCGCGAAAATTGCGAAATACATACTCGTGCTATATTTGAACTACAAAAATGATCAGGTTTCCGCCATAAAATATAATAAATAATGGAAAATTGTTAAATAATAGGTAATTTTTACTGAAATTTGGGATTGGAATAATCTAAACCACTTTCTTCCGCAAACTATAATGTTGCTATCAAGTGTTTTATTCAGTCTCCAATCAATTAAGACAAGATAACGTTCACTATACTCTATATATACTTCAGGTGATGCGAAAGCCTAGTAACGTGGCCTAAAAGAAAAGTTCATTGATTTTATATGTCGAAGCATGTGCCTGTGAATCAGTGTGTTAACGAGTGGAATTTAAGGCGCAGCTTTAGTGCATCTTACCACCTTTAACTCTTTGCTTACATTTTTACATTTTACACAAATCAGAATGCTACGCGTACGCTATGCATACTAAATACAAAAGACTTGATTGTATTTTCCATTGTTCAATCTGTATAGAGGGATGTACACTGGATTGTACTCACTGTTCAATGTTTAATGACACTCGTAGGTTTTCTTCTTGATACTGTCGTTAATTCACGAGCCACTTCGCCCGCTGCGACTAGATTTCTTTTTCGATTTGGCCCAGGGTTAAAATACATTTTCCCGATGTAGTTTTTGTGGTAATGTAAGGGAACAAAATCTTTCTTAGAAACTGAATAATTTCCCAACGCAATAACCTTCAAAATAGAGGCTATCCCTATCTCAGCACTCTTCTTTGCCACGGGGTCGGCTAGCTTCTTTGAAGCCGTTCCTAAAACTCTAGCAGCTTCAAAATATTTTTCTGAAAGAGCAGTTTTCACGTCCCCACCAGTCAGCGGATCATCTTTCGGGGAAGATGTAGTCTTCTTTTTGTTTTCTAAATCAAGAACTTTCAAAATCGAAGAAATGGCGATTTCAGTGCTTTTCTTGGCAATAGGATCCTTTAATTTCTTCGAGGCACTCTGAAGGACCCTTGCAGCTTTCTGGTATTTGACAATATCGTTATTCGTCACATGGCGCCGGAGTAGTACATTCCTAGCGTACGACAAATCGACACCCTTTAGATCTCTCACTACAGCTGCTGCTTTTTCTCGGTTTCCTTTTTCCACCGAAATACTGTTTTTACCTTTTTTTAGTATATTGTTCTCAGACACAAGATTTTTCATTACTCCGTTTTCTTCCTTCAAACTGCTTGAAGCAGGTGACACGTCACTGGTAAATTTCTTTCCCAATATTATATCGTTACCCGGCTCTTGCGAGACCACAAATTTTACTCCTTTCAGAAATTTCACCATGTCATCAGAAAGCGGTTGATCGTCATCTAGTTCGATTTCTGAAGGATTTGAGGTTGCCTTGGTTACACTATTTTCATGACTCGATGCTTTTGACTTGACGTTGGCATTGGACGTTTTCGCATGGCTGCTTGTAACGCTGGCGTCCGGAGTGGCTGTGGTGTGGGAAGGTGAATTTTCCACTCCACCACTCTCAGGCGGACTAACCGATTGTACGTTTTCATTGGAACTGGATTTCGCTCTGGCAAGGCCTGTCAAGTTGTAAACAGGAGTAGGTGTGGTTTGGTTAAGGCTGGGAGTCTCTGGACGAGAGGAACTCGAGGCAGGAGGGGGATTATTATTGGTCGGAGGGGTAGGAGGTGCATCCGCCTGCTGTGGTCCGGCCGAACTTTTAGAATCACTTGTATCAAGATATGGCTGCACTGCTTCTCTTGCGTTGCTGAATTTATTCTGCAATTGATCCCACATTTGTTGTTGCTTAGAGCTGGGATCAACTGGAGAATCTCCAGGCATTTCTTTCCCAACAATTTGATTCAACATCGCTAAAACATTTGTGTTCGCCGAACCACCTGGTCCAAATGCTTCCGCGTTAGTTCCTAAGGCAGCATTAGTCCCTTGAGTATCTAACATCGATTTTAAAGTTCCCATTGGATCTCCAGCAGGAGGCTGGTTGGAATCAGACATCATTCCCTCGGATCCACCATTGTTCATAGGATTCATTTCATTGTTCCCACCCATGAGTCCTGCTAAAGGATTGGAACCTCCCTGCGAATTGGGTATCCCACCCATGTTATTCAAAGCACTCATTTGATCACTTATACCACCTTGTCCTCCCATACCAGCCATTTTAGCTGCATCTTCAAGGCCACCACCTCCATTATCTGAACCCATTCCTTCACTTCCACCCATAGCAGCCATATTTGGCATCCCTCCGCCCATAGCACCCATAGCACCCATAGATCCCATTCCCCCTTGGCCCATTCCTCCGGGTCCCATTCCACCGATTCCCATGCCACCCTCCTCCTGGGAAGGCCCTGAATCCATTCCCATTGCGCTCATCAAATTTTGCCTGGTTTTGCCAGTCACTTCGTTGTGGGACTTTCGCTTTAAGAAGTTGGACAAATCATTAGACGAAGATCGGGCCTTGAACAGCGCAGACTGCTTCAGCATTGGGATAAATTTGTTCGGGATAATCATTTGCCTTGGGTAAGCTTTCCGTTTATTATCATTCTTCAAAGGAAGGTGCTTTCCTGAAATATCGGAAAGAAAGAAATTCTACATTTAGTCGAATAAATTTAAGGCGGCTTTCGAATGATCCAGGCAGCGAAGTTTCGAATGATTCCGAAGAGAGATACGAATGAGATGATAACCTGCCTACGCGTACCATAACTGGTTTAATTAAACAGTAATTTCTACATGGATTATTCGCTTACCCCAGACAATTATTAATAGTTGGTAGACGATCAGCAGCAAACTCAGCGGACTCATTTCCTTCAAATATTGTTACCTGGATGAGATTGACTTTAATTTTAAGTAAAGAATTTACGAATAACGCTGTGGTAAATTATTAAACAGGGATATCACTATTAATTCACTATCATGATTGCGATGCAGCCAAGTCGAGGTTCAAATCATCTAGTTATTTATCTATAATATTGTTGTTTGGTCTTTAACAGCTTTTAGAATGACTGTTTGGTCCAGGAAAATGTGAAAATTTGCACTTAATTGTTAAAGAGGACAGAGTTTGTAACCCTTACCCTCTTCCCATAATCTGAAGAACAAATATTGTAACCGAAACACTGGAAAATTAAATGCCATTAACATCCTCGTATCCCACGGAGAAAAAGATTAATAATATTAAAAGACACAGCCAATTTCACCATAGATTGTTATCTATGTTTGACGATATTAATCGACACGAAATTTATCGCGAGAGCAAATGAACTCAAAATGTAAACAAACGAAAAAAATACCTCCAGTTCATTTCACACTGTCGCAGCTACGACTTTCATCTTGGATTTCAATCGAAATTCATACAATCAATCTCCGGCGTAGAATATCTTTTAATTATAAAAGGTTTTAATCCGATATATTACTTTGATCAGTGGAAATTCAAACAGGAAGCTGTTCAACCGTAATGTACTAGCAGGTGGCAATGATTAGCAAAATCCATCAGCGAGTCTTGCTCGTGACTATACTGACGTTTTAGGAAAGATGTTCAAAAACAAAACCTAAAAAAAAGCATTTCAATTACTGATATATGTCTTGCACCGTCGCTCAAATTCAGTTTTTTCCAGTTATACGGTACAAAGTGAAAAAGCGAGAGGTGCATGATTGCGAATTGTTATCGGTTATGGTCTGCTTTGTATTTTTTCATATATCCTCATGGATATCTAATCAAAAAGGGAAAAAAATGTTGATGAAACAATTTTTTAAACAAATGAAAAGAAAAATCTAATCTGAAATATATTTTCTTAGCTTAAAGGCTGTGGAGCGGTGAGGGAGGATGGCAATCCGACCCCTGCGTACACCTTTTTAGAAACATTTATGTTAATTATAATGCTATATCCTACCTATGATTTATAAAAGCACTGCATGGCAGTGTATATAAAAATTGTGCATCTGCATGATATCTAATTTCATTATCTATGTTGTCGGCATTTCATATTAATTTACGTTTTCTTTTTTTTCTTTTTCAGTTTCGCTTTCGTCTGAAGAGCTAACAGTTTCTTTTGATCTTTTTTCCATAATTATATTAGTTACAATAAACAAGCATAAGACAACCAAGCACGCTTCGCCAAACATAAGAAATGCTGCACTTGTCCCCAACTCGTGAACCAAAATCCCCCCAACCAACCCCCCTGCAGCGTAACCCAGTCCACCATACACTCCACTGACAACGCCCTGAAGTGTCGTGGGGTTCCCTGAATCATTGCTGACGTAATACACAAACGCTGACCAAACGGCCGCAGACGTGATTCCGTGAGTTAACTCGATAGGTAGGAATAGCCAAGGTCTTTCACAATAAGAGTAATAAAAGAAACGAATTCCATAACATATTAGACCCAAGTATATGACGCGGCAATAGCCAAGGGCAGTCACGAGCCGATGGGAGATATGGTATATGAGGACCTCTGCCGATGAATTGAACAGGCTAACAAAACTAAACAATAGCTGAGGACCGCCCAATTCATGAATGTGCCAAAGCAAGAATGTTCCAATGAATCCGGAGGCACTTCCACAGAAAAATACTACAAAAATAAACACAATGGAATCGAATGTTATCTCGTTCCTTTTCTTTCCATCGCTGGGAACCTTTTTTGATTCTTCCTCTTCGCGGACACGAAAACGAAAACATGTTGATACAAAAAAGCACATGACCATAAGAACCCCAAAGCATATAAAACAAGGCAAGAAGTTCGTGTCCATAGAACCGCTACAAGGATTCTTAATCTTCAGTTCGCTCACGGAAGCTCCAACAATAAATGACACAAGTCCATAACCGACAGACCCAAAAAGTGCTTGTCTTCCATACTCATGTGAGCGGCCAGCACCTAGTGACTGCAGGGTAGCGATATCAGCCAGTGTTTGAGCTGGAGAGCCAAATATATAACCTATTGTAACAGCCAGAAGAATAGAAAGATACAGAGGCGACGTATCCGACAAATGTTTATTTACGTCAGTCACCGAGAGTTTAACAGATTTGTGATTCCTTTCTAATTTCTTTTTGTCCACTGGAGGTGCATAAAACAATGACCATGGTAAATAGTAATAATCCTCTTCTTCGTCGCCTCTGGGTGGATTTACAGACATGGATATCTCATTCAGTTTGGAAAATGAAGACAACGGAGCACTCGTGTTTAACGGAATGTCGACGCCATCTTGTTTTGGTATTGTCTTCGTTTGACATGCCGGAGGTTTCTCGTCAGACGGAATAAATGGTATTGTCAAATAACATGCAGTATAAGCCAGAACAGCAACAAGTATTACTAGAAGTCGTTTATTGTAGCGCTCGGCTAAAGCGCTTAATATAGGCGCAAATATAAACTGAACGAAGGAACGAACTGATACGATAATCCCAAGTTGACGAGGCGAGATGAATATCTGTTTGAAGTATAACGCTAAGTACGGAGCCACACAACCGAAAGCCGAAAAGAAAAATAAATAGAATAATTTTGAAACGAGAAGTTGTTTATCTGTTCCTGAGCAACATCCTGTATCATTGTTTGGAATTCTGTCTGTCACGTTCTTGTCAATATTTACAGATTCGTCTTCCGTCTCAGGCTCCAGTAGTTCAACAATCTCGTCCTTCCTCCCACTCATTACCATGACGCAAGAATAAAATTCTTTCCCGACACAAAAGGTATTATTTTAACCAACCCATTTCTCTTGCTGAAGGGTAATTTTAACTTATTAAATTATTTGTCTGCTTCAAGGTCAGGGAAGCATAACAGCCATCTGAGGATCGAAAGTTTCCCGGTACCTGCAGACATGTTAGTTGAGCTCTATTCATAGGACAAGGACTGTTGATGATCAACAGGTGTACACGATGTTCCAAAATGAACCATTCGAACCATTAAATCATGCTGGATAACTATGTTCCTGCTTGAAACATCTGTCTGTCTCTAAAATATATCTGTCAGTCTATAATATATCTCCCTGTCTGTTTGTCTGTAGACAGTCTATGGTGCAGTGATAGAGATAGGTAAAAATATATTCATGGTCATACGGTAGTTATTGTTTTTGCTTCTATTTGGCTGTCACTCCTAAACGTAAGTGCCTTAAAAGGTACAAAAGTTATGATAAACGTAAATAATATCATATTCAACGATTATCAGTTTCAGAGTATTGGATGTAATGTTACTATAGCGATAGGATTTTCAATTGGCATCACGTGACTGAAAGTAGAATGATAGGCCAAATACATAGTGTAATGTGGACCTTATCGAGAGGCAATCAACGTTAAGTAAACTGAGAAGGCATTCGGTTATCAAGCATGATAAATTTTGGTGTTGATATCGCTTCTGTCAATCATACTAGTAGTATCCATTCATAAAACGCGCCTGAGGTTTATATTCTGGCAGAGTTAAAGATCTACAGCTGAATTTCCTTTAGCTGCAAAAAGAATGTCCTACAAAACCTTTCGCCTCCTTTTTCGTCCGAGTTTGAAAATAGATTAAAATTATTCTACCTGCCTGTTTGCGGGCAATTTTAATATATACGCCGAGTCAAACTAGTCACGCATAGCAGTTTTCATATCAAATAGGTACTGTTCGCCAGGTGGCTTGTGTGTCCAGCCGAATTTGAAATAAAAACTTATTATTAATTCAGTTCATAAACATGTCGGCCATGTTCCTTAAATTAAGGAAATGAAACCCCGTAAAGTTTACACATAAAATTGATTTTCATGACTATAGGAATACGGGAAAATGAAAAGCGAAAAATAACGTAGAAATTATGGAAACGGAGAGCAAAGAGGAAGATGTTGATGGAAATGAAAATGACGGTGGTAAAAAATGTTGTCCAAGAGTGAACCGGCCGCTCTTAGTCCCAAAACTCTTTTACTTTTTCTTTTTTTCCGGATGGGGTTCTCTCCTACCATATTTGGCTCTTTACTTCAAGCAACTTCTTCTTACACCGACCCAAGTAGGAATCCTTATGGGCTTGAAACCGTTCGTCAACTTTCTGGTAATACCTCTATGGGGAGCGATCGTTGATCGATTCAATAAAAGTCGCCTAGTTTTAATAGCATCTCTTATTGCCTTGATCATAGCAACATTTGCAATATGCCTCGTTCCGCCTCCAGTTCACCGTCGGATTATAACTCACAAGCTATGTAATGACACGGAGAAGATAAACAGGGTCACTGACTTAGACTCAGAAATGGCGGAACCCGAAATTGATAAAATGGTCGAGGATAACAAAGATAAATATCGGAAAGTTATCGATAACGCATTCACCGAAGGAAATCCGTGGCCCCTCAATGTACTCACAAATTTCAAAGCGATGGAGGGCACATACGTTGATAGCGAGAAATGTTTTATAACGTTGTTTATAATAACATTCATTGGAACACTGATTTCGTCCCCATCGCTGGCATTGGTAGATACAGCAACGATGCAGTTGTTAGGACCAAATACTCATAAATATGGCATGCAAAGATTAACTGGTTCGATCGGCTGGGGGTTGGGCGCATCTGTGGTTGGAGCAGCGCTCAGAACGACTCATAAATGCGACAAAAACCGGCGAGTGGAGGTGGTTGATTTTATTCCGTGCTTTTACACCTTTGCAGGTTTAATGACTACCGCTCTCGTTATTGCGACAAAGTTCAAATTCAGCGATGACAAAAAGACCGAGAAAAAGAAAGTGGGTTTGCGGGTTGGCCTCCAAGCACTTAGGAACTCCAAGTATTTGATGTTTTTATTCACTGCACTTTACCTCGGATTTTTGATGGCGTTTATTAAGACATTTCTATTCTGGCATTTAAAAGATCTCGGGGGACCACAATTATTGTTCAGTGTCATTTCGGCCGTCAACTGCGGTGCCGAAGTAAGCATGTACTTTCTCTCCTCCAGACTGATAAAGTGCATAGGCCATGCTAGGGTCTTGTACCTAGGATTAATATGTTACTCGGTGCGCTTGCTGTACTACGCATTCATCAAGAACCCCTGGTACGTGCTGCCCGTAGAAATCCTTCCAGGCATAACGACCGCTGCAGTATGGGCAGCTTGCTTATCTTATGTTAGTCAAAACTCCCAGCCTGGTGCGAAGACCACAATGCAATGCATTCTTCATGGTGTGCATTGGGGTCTGGGATATGGTGCCGGAGAGATCATCGGAGGAATATTAGTTCATAGATTTGGCGCTCCAGTCACTTTCGTGATATTTGGCGTATTGTGCATAATTATTCTATTAGTATACATCTTGATCGATACGTTTGGTAAAGAACCGGAAGGTAGTTGTTATGAAAGTATTGACGAAAGTTCTTCAATTGGAGATGCAGAAGAAGTAATACTTGAGAATGGCTACACTGGATCCCCCGAGAAGACGAAAATAGATGAAAAGAATTGATATATTTATATCCCACTAACTTTGCTACCAGAATAAGTGTAGTTATAGCTAGGATTTTAGTATTAAATCTAATTTCTCATCAATATCTATATATCTTAGGTAAACAAAAAGCTTTGCAAGGCCCTTTCAGTAGCAACACTGCATGTAAGCAATTATTTAGTCCAATAGAATTCTTTACTTCTATAGTGATATGTAATGAAATAAACACACGAATTCATAAGTCGTTTTTCAACTTTTCCCATGCATCTACACGAGAGTTCGTGGGATTGTAAGGCAGTAAGCAGTCTTGTTTTTGCTTCCACAACATTAGCTACATAGTAATATTACCATGATATAATCAGTATGTAATATATATCTTCTATAATTTTTATATCACGTAACACTTATTCTTCCAAATTAAAACTTATTAAACGAAAACTCAATGCTCGCAAGCCGCGAGAGATGATATAGTTTTTTTGCTATCTAGACTTGTTACTGACTTGGAAATGTGGCTAGACCTACACAAGAGCAAATGACTTGGAAATTAGTGACTTGAAAATGTGGCTACACCTACACACATAACATGATACAACCCATCATTCCTTTAGCGCTCAGAGTCAACTGTTTACATGTTTAAACTGATGGCAATCAATTATCTTTTCAGTGTATAAAGCCACATAAAAGTTATAATTTTGGGATATAATATGTTCTAGCGGATCTTGCTAACCTAATCTAGGTACACTTGATGCAGTGACTCAGGAATCAGTGTGTGTGAAAGCATTATTCTTATTCTTTCAAGTCATTCTGTAACAAATCTTCATCTTGCTTTTGTTTTTTATTTTCTCGGTAACAGTATATAACGAGTATATAAATTAAGAAGTTCATGGCACTAATAATGGCAAAAAGGGCGAACGTGTTTCTAGGTCCAATATTATGTACCAGAATACCTCCTAATACAGAGCCAGATCCATGGCCTAGGCCCCAGTGAAGGGAATGAATTACTCCTAAAAAAAAATAATTATCTTGAAAACGAACAGATGGATAACAGTTTTGTCCACAGTCACATGCGTTAAAATCACATTATGTTACCCAATATTATGATAACTATGATACCAACTGTTGCACGGCTGTAATCTAATTCATTCAGTGTATTTTACATTAAATACATTTTTCCAAAATCGGAACTGTCCGGAATTAAAGTCCGGAATTAGTCCAGATTTAACAGTGATAAAAGCAACTTACCCTGAAGTGTGAATGCTGAATCTTTTGCTGCTGTGTCGCCCACGTGAGACATAATAGCAGCCCACAGAGCCGCAGTGGTAATGCCAGACAACGGTTCAACGACGAGAACAAGCCATGGTTTTACCATGCACGTATAAAATGAAAATCGCACAGTGTAACACAACAATCCAATGCAAAGCACGCGAACACTCCCCAGACGTTGTATCAAATACGATGAAAAGAAATACACAAGCACTTCTACGGAGCAGTTCACTGCGGTTATAACACTAAACAAAAACTGTGTGCCTCCAAGATCTTTGAGAAACCAAAACAGAAAAGCTTTGATAAATGACATGGCCATACCATCAAAGAAGACGGTGAAAAGAAATATAAGGTAGTTCGCGTTTACTAGTACGTGACGTAGGGATGCACAAACTCTGGTGGTTGCTTGCTTTGAATCAGTTCTCGAGTTGAACTGCAATCTGCTGCCGGCAATGATTGAAAGAAACATAAACACGGCAAAAGTATAAAAACACCAATAATAATTCACCTTTCTCTCTTCACCAGGGCATAAGTCCGTTTGACTGATTGACGCCCCTACGATAAACGCAGCTAAACCGTTACCAATAGAACCGAATAGTCGCTGATTGCCGTATTTGTGGGTTTCAGAATTCCTCGCGAGAAGGTCGACTGTTGCCGAGTCGGCCAGGCTGAGGCAAGGACAGGAAAATAACGTCCCACAAATTGTGACGATTAAAAAAAAAATAAATAGCTCGGTGTGGCCGAAAGATCCAGTTTTTGACGAAAGCATCAAGGTTTGATCTTCAATTTCTGGTTCTGAAAGATATCTTGATCCGAATTCAGTGTTTACGTCGCCTACGTTGTACATAGAAGGGCTATAGTTGAAGACTGGAACATCGTTGGCTAGACCGTCTCTACGTGTTCTGTCATGTCTCGTCATGCAAATATTAGCTGGGGCCATGGATATGATTAACATTGTCGCCATTAATGCTGTAGACGACATGATAAACACAAGCTTTCCGACTTTGAATTTATCGACCAACATACTCCACAAAGGAATGATTAGAAACGCGGCGTACATCTTGGCTCCGGAGACAACTCCAGCTTCGGCTGCAGACAAACGCAACTGTTTGTAATACAACGCAAGATATGGCATCAATGAACCTTGCGCGGAAAAAAAGAAAAAGTAGAATAGTTTTGGAGCAATAAATTGAGTTCGTATGCAGCCATCATTCTTCCATCGCTTGTTCTCACTTTCCTTTTTTTCCAATAATGTCACGACTTCATCGTCATCATGGTCAACTTCAGTCATCATTTTCAAACAAATCTACCGGCACATTCAACTTGCGCAACAAGCGTTTAGCTGTGCTGAGACGGTAGAATACTGGCGTGTACTTAGATGTACATTTTCGTATTTCTTAAAGGAAAAAGCGAACAATTTACAGTATCGTATTTCAGCCTTCAACGCTTCTCATAGCGGCTTGACGTATGCAAATAAAGGATATTGTACCTGTCTAGTCAAAACGGGTATCCTCGTGGTAGAATGAAAAGAAAAACGGAGTGAATAGTAATTCTTGATCCTTTCTAAACAATGCTGTACCTGCTTTATTTTATTAGCAAACTTAATTCGCTACAGCTGCGGTATATTTAACCATGACACATAATTATACGATTCAGTCGAAATTCTTCCATTATTAGCTGTTAAATGCTGTTAAACACTTATGATTGTACCAGGTTTGGTGCAGTTGTTGGTATAGCCGAAGAAGCGATGAGCAAGAGGAAAGGGGGATAGATATTGCTTGCATGCATGTATTAGTAGATATGTTGCAATAAGAATACCACGTAGTGGTGCCAGCTTATTATAGAAGTTATAGAGATTATAGACGTAGACGTAAATAGCGAGATATGTTTTATAACGTTGTTTATAATAACATTCATTGGAACACTGATTTCGTCCCCATCGCTGGCATTGGTAGATACAGCAACGATGCAGTTGTTAGGACCAAATACTTATAAATATAGCATGCCGGCAAAGATTAAATGGTTCGATCGGCTGGGGGTTGAACGCATCTGTGGTAGAGCAGCGCTCAGAACGACTCATAAATGTGACAAAAACCGGCGAGTGGAGGTCGTTGATTTTATTCCGTGCTTTTACACCTTCGCAGGTTTGATGACTACCGCTCTCGTTATTGCGACAAAGTTCAAATTCAGCGATGACAAAAAGGCCGAGAAAAAGAAAGTGGGTTTGGGAGTTGGCCTCCAAGCGCTAAGGAATTCCAAGTATTTGATGTTTTTATTTATTGCACTTTACCTCGGATTTTTGATGGAGTTCATGGGATTGTAACGCAGTAAGCAGTCTTGTTTTTACTTCCACAACATTACATAGTCATGCATATTACCATGATATGATATATGTAATAAATATCTTCTATAATTTTTATATCACATAACATTTATGTAATATTAAAAAAGCTTGTTCTTCCAAATTAAAACTTAGTAAACGAAAACTCAATGCTTGCAAGACGCGAGAGATGATATAGTTTTTTTGCTATCTACATTTGTTACAGACTTGGAAATGTGGCTAGACCTACACAAGAGCAAATGACTTGGAAATTACTGACTTGGAAATGTGGCTAGACCTACACACATAACATGTCACAACCCATCATCCCTTTAGCGCTCAGAGTTAAATGTTTACATGTTTAAACTGATGGCAATCAATTATCTTATCAGTGTATGAAGCTATATATAATTTTTCGGATACAATATGTACTAGCCGATCTTGCTAACCTAATCTAGGTACACTTGATGCAGTTACCCAGGAATCAGTGTGTGTGAAAGCATTATTCTTATTCTTTCAAGTCATTCTGTAACAAATCTTCATCTTGCCTTTGTTTTTTATTTTCTCGGCAACAGTATAAAACGAGCATATAAATTAAGAAGTTTATGGCACTAATAATGGCAAAAAGGGCGAACGTGTTTCTAGGTCCAATAGTATGTACCAGAATTCCTCCTAAAACAGAGCCAGATCCATGACCCAGGCCCCAGCGAAGGGAATGAATTACTCCTAAAAAATAATAATTATTTTCAAAACAAATAGAATGGATTACAGTTTTGTCCACAGTCACAAGCGTTGTAATCACATTATGTTGCCCGATATTATGATAACTATGATACAAACTGGCAACTGTTGCACGGCTGTAATTTAATTCATTCAGTGTATTTTACATTAAATACATTTTCCAAACTCGAAACTGTCATGCGTAAAAACCACGTTTCCAAGTTATTCTAAAGTCCGGAATTAGTCCAGATTTAACAGTGATAAAAGAAACTTACCCTGAAGTGTGATTGCCGAATCTTTAGCTGCAGTGACGCCCACGTGAGACATAATAGCAGCCCACAGAGCCGCAGTTGTGATGCCAGACAACGGTTCAACGACGAGAACAAGCCATGGTTTTACCATGCATGCATAAAATGAAAATCGCACAGTGTAACACAACAATCCAATGCAAAGCACGCGAACACTCCCCAGACGTTTTATCAAATACGATGAAAAGAAATACACAAGCACTTCTACGGAGCAGTTCACTGCGGTTATAACACTAAACAAAAACTGTGTGCCTCCAAGATCTTTGAGAAACCAAAACAGAAAAGCTTCGATAAATGACATGGCCATACCATCAAAGAAGACGGTGAAAAGAAATATAAGGTAGTTCGCGTTTACTAGTACGTGACGTAGGGATGCACAAACTCTGGTGGTTGCTTGCTTTGAATCAGTTCTCGAGTTGAACTGCAATCTGCTGCCGGCAATGATTGAAAGAAACATAAACACGGCAAAAGTATAAAAACACCAATAATAATTCACCTTTCTCTCTTCGCCAGGGCATAGGTCCGTTTGACTGATTGACGCCCCTACGATAAACGCAGCTAAACCGTTACCAATAGAACCGAATAGTCGCTGATTGCCGTATTTGTGGGTTTCAGAGTTCCTCGCGAGAAGGTCCATTGTTGCCGAGTCGGCCAGGCTGAGGCAAGGACAGGAAAATAACGTCCCACAAATTGTAACGAGTAATAGAAAAATAAATAGCTCGGTGTGGCCGAAAGATCCAGTTTTCGACAAAAGCATTAAGGTTTGATCTTCAATTTCTGGTTCTGAAAGATATGTTGATCCGAATTCAGTGTTTACGTCGCCCACGTTGTACATAGAAGAAGGGCTATAGACGTTGGCTAGACCGTCTCTACGTGTTCTGTCCTGTCTCGCCATGCAAATATTGGCTGGGGCCATGGATATGATTAACATTGTCGCCATTAATGCGGTGGCCGACATGATAAACACAAGCTTTCCGACTTTGAATTTATCGACCAACATACTCCACAAAGGAATGATTAGAAACGCGAGGTACATCTTGGCGCCGGAGACAACTCCAGCTTCGGCTGCAGACAAACGCAACTGCTTGTAATACAACGCAAGATATGGCATCAATGAACCTTGCGCGGAAAAAGAGAAAAAGTAGAATAGTTTTGGAGCAATAAATTGAGTCCTTATGCAGCCATCATTCTTCCATCGCTTGTTCTCACTTTCCTTTTCCTCCAATAATGTCACGACTTCATCGTCATCATGATCAACTTCACTCATCATTTTCAAAAAAAAACCGCCGGCACATTCAACTTGTGCAACAAGCGTTTAGCTGTACTGAGACGGTAGAATACTACCGTGTACTTAGATGTACATTTTCGTATTTCTTAAAGGAAAAAGCTAACAATTCATAGTATCGTATTTCAGCCTTCAACGCTTCTCTAGCGACTTGACGTATGCAAATGAAGCTTTTGTACCTGTCTAGTCAAAACGGGTATCCTAGAGGTAGAATGAAAAGAAAAACGGAGTGAATAGTAATTCTTGATCCTCTCTGAACAATGCTGTACCTGCCTGATTTTATTGGCGAACTTACGTCGTCGCTACAAGTGCCGTATATTTAATCACGACACTTAATCATACAATTCAGTACGAGACTCTTCCATAAAATTCCATTAGACATCAGCTTGCCGTTAAACACTTATGATTGTACCAGGTTTGGTGCAATTGTTAGTATAGCCGTGAGCAAGAGGATAGGGGGATAGATATTGCTTGCATGCATGTATTAGCAGATATTGCAATAAGAATATCACGTAGTGGTGCCAGCTTATTATAGGAGTTATAGAGATTTTAATTAAACTCTGTATCCAAAATCTGACTCAAAGACAGTGTCGTAGCCAGCCTGACGATTTTGTCCCGCCATGTAAATTTCGAGTTATTACTCCGCCTGCGTATGCGAAGTCTTAAAATACCATGGTCTTTTTTCCTTTTAGTAGTCGTAGTTTTGGGCGACAGAAGTTTGCATTTCTACAGGTAACCCAAAACAATTTTATTTTTGACCGAGAAGCCCTGGGTTACACGGTCCACGGATGAATTATGTACATCAGTTGGCACGCAGGCGGAGTGAACGCCTTGAGCAGGCATCTTGTTATAATTATTGATGTCCTTAGAAATCTATTGTTTTCACAGTGAGTGAACAGCAAAATATTAGCATAGCGGGACAAATCGACAGGCTGGCTACGCTACTGGTCAAAGGTATAATATATCAATAGTATTTCGACATGATTTTCAACTATGCCAGTGCCGACAAATTCATCCATGCATGTATAGAAAAGTTTAGTACATCCATGCAGGAATTTAATCGCCATCTCAGATAAATAAAGACATTAACTGTACGATTAATCATCAACTATACGATTAATCGCATTTTTCTGCCTTACTTCTCCTAAAACACCATTGATTTTCATTTACGTTCGAATGCAAGAAAAGAAATGCAATTTCCACTCCATATGTGACACCTCTTAAACAGCAAGCACTACCAAAACATCTTTACATACACGTAACTTCATGCATCCTCCACAAGCAACATTCTACGTAGTTTAGTGATAAGAGCATGCCCCGGATTCGCAGAGGCGTGATCACAATCGATTCCTGCCAAGGGACCCGAGTTGCATTTCTGGCCGGAAACGTTCCCGATCAAGTCTTAATAATCGAATGTTAATATACCTTCCTGCTCCTAAAACCCCTTCAACACTTCACATACACAACACTTTGCACATAACGAGACCAAATTGTTCAGCTGGCTACGTCATTGAATTTACGTCTTATGCTGTAGGGCAACGGTAAAGATCGTTTGTTCTTCTCTCGCAAAATCCACCCTTTTGGCAACAATGTTGTGTTAGAAAGAATTGGTTATTTATTGTGTGTATATTTCAAAAACATAAGTTATATAGCGCAGATTCTTTTTTATGACATTTCGCTCATGCAGTTATAAAAGACTATAAGGAAATTTTCAAATTTCCCTCGCTACCTCTCAGTCATGTGACCAGCCTGGGCATCGGCAGGATATCTAAAAATAATATGTCTTTAATATTCACAAACACGCCACACCTAAAGAAGTGATATTTAACGATGTTTTTCGTGAAACGACATCGCTAGTAGGAAAACTGGATGTAGCCGCGATAACGAATGACAGGATTTTGCTACGGAATCTGGGCAAAAATTAATAACATTCTCGCTCTAATGCTTTTTTCCTTACGGTTGAACGAAGTTAACAGGTTCCACTCCACTTCACAAATTTTATGTTGTTTGTCTCCTGGAGAAAGTATCGGAACAAATGTCATGTAAGTGAAGCATTATATAAAATATCAACAATCTATTCAACTGCCTCTCTTCACCAACTCTGGACAACTTTATTTTAAAAGAGCCGAAAGAAATTCTATAGTGAACACGCATGGATAGTTTAAGCGTAAAAAATGTCATCCATCAGTTACTTAATCAGTAACCATGTAGAAGCAAAGATTATGCTCCGTTAATCAAAGCTACAGAAGAATGACAATTGACGAAAATGAGGCAAATAAGTTACAATTGTACTACTTAAAATTAATTTAAGATTTAAGTTTAATGATGTACAGATCGATATAGCCGGTATCCAAAATTGTTTACACTTACACAGTATAGGTGCAGTTTGTCAGTGCAGTGTCAGGGCAATAAAGATAACTAAATAACTAAATTACATACTATTCGGTTCGCCATACGGCTTATACTAACCTGAACCGAAACAATGTATATGTTTTCCCTTTTTAAATACAATCACTGTGGGTTGAACGATTCAAAAAATGCAGTCGTTCAAACAAATAACCGCCGGTTACAATATTATACAAAGTCAAAGAAAGATAATTTTCCGTTATACTAAATACACCGGATATTGTATAGTAGACTAGGAGTAGTATATGTATTACATGATTAGGAATTAATTTAATTCGAGTAGATTGAATGACGTTTCCTAATTGAAGTTGTATAGTGTGTGCAATGCATCTGTTTGCTGTTTCAACGTATTCTTGTCAGTAATTACCACGTCATACTTAACGAACCAAGATGTAGTGGATACAATTATTTGTAAATCCAGCCATAAGGTGATCATTAACTCTATTTTACATTACTTTTAAACTGTTTGTAGGAAGAATTCGTGTAATGGTATCAGGAAATGTTGAAGAAACTGAAAAACAAAGCAAGGCTGATCGTAAAGCCAGCTCGGGAAAGGCCAAAATATTTGCGAACTTCAATAATGTTGTGGACTCATCTTGCACAAAGTTGCATGAACTTTTCAGCTGCCAAAAGGTTGCTCATTCGGTGATATTCTATGTCATCATTTTTCTCCTTCTTCTTGTGCTGGTATACATATTTAGGAAGCTCGTCTCACTACCCAACAACAATCACGGTAAATACCACAATCGAAAACACAACAGCAGCACAGTATCAACCGGATCACGTCCTTCTAACAACGAGTCATTGTCAAAAGGATTTCCAACAAAATGGCCTAAACTTAGTACGGTCTTAGGCAAAGTATCTACCAGCATCACTGGATCAACAGACCTAAAAACTGCGAGGGAAAAGAAGACTGACATTTACGGTGTGCCTGAAAATGATTGGCACAGCCAGGAAAATTTCAACTACAAAGGTTACTCGAATTCCGGGGAAAATCACTATTATGGCAGCTATAGTGGTAATGATAATCAAATCCATCAACCGAAAATAAATTCATATTCTTCCTCCTATGCCACAAACTTTCCAAAGGCTAACCAAGGCCAAGCATCTAGATCTAATAACCCATCTACCGATTATTGGAAATCTCCTAACCAAATCAGTAATTACGGATATGGAAGGACAGCTGCCGAGACTTCAACTTCAGGAATTGCATCAATTAGTGATCCTTCTTATAATCAAGACGATCAGTCTTCACGACAGTATATTTCAAACAGTGGTTTCAAATCTGACTCAAACCTTGAAAATTCTTGGGTCGGTGCGACTTGGGACGTTAACTCAAACGTTCAGGCGTGGCCCTATTCTGGGAACAGCGCTTCAGGGTTAACCAAGATCAACCAAAAACTACAGCAAAATTCCGGATCAACATTTCGAAGTCGCCATAGAGCCATATCAAATATGAATAATTATGGCAAATGGGGATCAACGAGTTGGTCAGGGATAAAATTAGGCAAGCCGGGAAGTGGATTTGGTTGGATCAAAGAAACAGATAACGATCATGTAGATTCGTTTAAGCCGACGACCACACCTAATTGGAATAGCTATTATTACGACAGTGCCTCGGGTAAATGGACTTCGAGTAACAAAGGAGTGAACACGTATGGAAATGCCTGGTCTGATCAAAACATTGGAAATACGTATCTAAGAGATAATAATGCAGATTTTGGTTCATATACTTGGAATCCTTATGATAACTATTGGAGTAGCAATCAAACCCAGGAACTGAGTGGTTACAATTCACCACTAGTCCAGGTCAATAGCAAAGCAAGGGAAGACAAACTGAGTTACCACAAAAGTTCGCCGACAAACGATGCTAATTCAAAATCGAATAAACATTTTGATAAAACAGGTAATTCGATGGTCCAAGATGAAACTGAGGATAGGATTCATAGGTGGCCTTTGGAAGAGGGTCATAAACAAGACGACTTTCTAAAAGGTCTCCCCAGCATTACTTCATCAAGTAATACAAAGAGGACGAAAAAGTTTTGGAAGAAGAGGAGAAAACTAACAAATCACAAGAAGAATAAAATTTCTCACCAAGAACGAAAAAGGAAAGCGAGCAAGAAGGCATTCCGAAACAGAGTTAGAAAGAAAATAAAAGAGGCGAAAGGAAACAAAATCGTCAAGAATGATAAGAAATCTGTGATAGCTCATCCTAGTAATTTTGAGCCAACTAAAATGACGCGTAGAAGGAACAGAAAGGGAAAATTAAGAAAAACGAAAGAGAAGAATCGAGGTAAACATTCTCATGCAAAAGAAAGACACAAAAAGAAGAAAGTGTCCCGAAAGGTCACCAAGCACCAAAAGTCTATTCATGTTCACTCAAAGCAATTTTCAAACAATCACAAGGCAGTGAGTCATAAATCAAAAGTAAGGGGGTGGCATCGTGATATACATCGCGTTAAACATTGCAAGACGTTACAATCTTTCAAGACAAACGGCGAAGTCCATTTAGATAAGAAATATTTGAGTAGACAAAGAAAGTATAAGTACACAATACTTTCCTGTAGATATGTTCGTGTTCCCGGTAACTCGATAAAACATGAAAGTGATGACGATGATTTAGAACTCGACGATGGCGATGATGATGATGATGAAAAAATCGCCATTAAAAGAAAACAGATTTGTCAAAAATTCTATTTTATAACTAATGGGAAAATATTGCTTAAGAAAACATCTAGGAGCCAAGATCAAATTTCATACATAGTTTCGTTATGCAGGGCAAATGATGAACCTCAAAATCCAAAACATAGTAGAATTAAACATCGTCACGACACAACGCTTGATGAGGGCGATTATGAACCTAGAAAGCCAATCCACATGCGGAAACACGTGGAAACAATAGATTATGATGATAATAGTAAAGTAAAAAACAAAGTGGAGAACAGTGATAGACTGCACGACAAAAATTTAGTGGATGATAAGCATAAAGATAAGATTCGAGTAGCCGAGGAACCTAAAAGCAACCATAACTCTGATTCTTACAAAGAGAAGCTCAGTGACGATGATATGGATAAATACGACAACAATGACGAGGATAAAGAAGGATTAGATGAAGATGACAGTGATTTTGACGAAGACATGGACAGTGACAGAAAACGCAAACCTCAAAAGTCTACCAGTGAGGATCAAGAAGACACGATGAACGGCGCCGATGACGATAAAGACGATGAATTTTATGCTGAGACAAGTGCAAGGAATACTAATTCAAAGGGGAATAGAGACGAGAAGTACAATAACAGACACAAGAAAAAGAGCAGACCACGCAAGACTAAACAGGGCGATGACGACGAAATTGACGTTCAAGACAATGATGATATTGACGATGTTGATGTTAACATCGACTCCGATACTCACAAAGTAAGTAAAACAAGAAATAAGAATATTGCAAACGTACACAAAGTTAATGACAGGGTAGAAGTCGACAACGATGAACTTGATGATTTCGACGAGGATTTTGGTAATGACGATATTATGGATGTGAAACTTAAAACTACACCACGCCCTGAGCAAGTTATTTGGTCAAGACTAAAAAAGCTAAGAAATAAAAATAAGGCAAAAAGCAGAGTACAACATAAGAAGGCTAACATAAATAACATTTATGAACGTATGTTGCACGAGTTGTCAAAAAAGACGAATACAAAAGACAGGAGCGATGACCCAAGAAAGTTGCTGATGGCTTTATTAAAAAGGAAACTGGATTCTGTTGTTCCTTCCAAACACGTCAAATCTAAAGTCTCCAAAATAAAATTCCCGATAAAAAAATATAACAAACAAAGACATCAGTTTGCACAAAAACCACATAAAGAACAAAATGAGGGAAGCATAAAAGCCATATTGAAAAATATACTCACTAATTCAATTAGTGTAACCAAAACTAAGTCACAAAAGAGACTACCTGTGACCCCTAAAGCACATACAAAGCCATCTATTGAAGATCTTTTCAAGAACTTTCTTCCAACTCTTCTTGCACAACAAAATATTGGCAAAACAACCATTTCTCCTACGAAAGAGCCTACAAAGGGTACAACTACACCAGACCAGCAAATGAAGATTCAGTTTTCAAAGCTTTTGGAAAAGTTTGGTATGCCGCAGAATAATGTACAAGCAAAGAAGACATCATTAGGGCCTTCCAGTAAAGAGCAAATGAACAATTTATTGAAAGAGGTTGGTGATACAATTAGCACCCGCAAATCAAAAACTACAAATAAGGCACCTCATAGAATTAATGTGACACCAAACACACCATCATTGCCACCAACGATGCAAGTATCGTCACAACTATCAACACCTCAACAAATCCATCCACCACAGGAACAAGAACAAGAACAGGAACACGAACACGAACAACAGCAACAACTACAACAGTCACAGCAACAACAACAACAACAACAACAACAACAACAGCAACAGCAACAGCAACAACCACAGCAACAACCACAGCAACAACAACAACCAACAACAACCACAGCAACAACCACAGCAACAACAACAGCAACAACAACAAAAACAACAACAACAACAGCAACAACAACCACAGGAACAACAACAAAAACAACAACCACAGCAACTGTTGGAACAACAACAACCACAGCAACCACAAAGATTCGGGGCATTTACACCCAATCTTCGCTACCTTAACACTGAGCCGAATCAAGAACAAGAAAATACTCAAAGATCTTTTATTCCCACCGTTACACCTCAACAAGCTGAGAATTCTCGCTCTCCGCAGCTTAAAAATCGTTATGGTTATTCTTCGTATTCCTCCAGTAATAGTCGATACCGTTCGTATCAAGCAGGACAGTCAATCAACATACTGTGTTTCGGAGATAGTTTAACAAGTGGTTTCTTCAATCACGGTCGTGGAAAGCATCCATACAGCATTAGATTAAGCCAATTGCTTAATACAAAAGGAAGCCATCGATACCGTATTGAAACTCGAGGCGTGATCGGTGAAATGGTTCATGGAAGCATGACAAAACGATTACCAAAAGTTCTAGATGAAGGCACGCGATTTGACTGGGTGCTAATCCTGGGAGGAACCAATGACGTAGCGCATGTGAAAAATTTTGGAGATGACCAAGATTTCACTCAACAGTTGATAGGTGTTTGGAGTCCTAAGATAGTGAAGGATATCGAGAAGCTTCATGAGATAGCACACAGCCGTGGAGCAAGAACGATGTTAATGACAATACCCGAAACTGCATACGAATTTTGGCCTGAATTTCGGTCCATACGTAATATGAGACTTAGCGTGAATGCGGCTCTAAGAAAGTACGCGACGGAAGTAAGAGATAATACAGTTCTCTGTGATCTCGCGTATAAATTACCACGGAGCACTCTTCCAAAACAAATGCAAAAGTTGTATTGGAATGACCACATTCACCTAAATCCCGTGGGATATGACAAGATGGCCGAGGTTATCCAACAGTGTATTCAAGGGTATCTTCAGTAAAAGACTGTGGCGGAGCATTGACCGCATGAACGCATTTAGTCTTGTATATTGTTTAGGGTTTGTATAAAAAAATAAGACTTTTATCTGATTGTGTTTTATTTTGTTTTCATTGATTCACCGCAGAGAAATGCCAAATATCTATATAAATACGCAATTTAAGTTGCGATATTTTAGCGTATAACTCATTTAATATATACTCCTTTACATCTGAACTTCCATAATAAAAGTATCGGGATTTTTGGTGTAAACTTTGCAAATTTATATACCGTCCGCTCCCTATAGAAACCTCATTCCCAGGGTTTCTCAATCAGAAGCAAAATCCCAAAATAAAACTATTTATGTGCTTTGTCAAAGCCAAGCTAAGGGAATCCCAGCCTGGGAACGAGCTTCCTCATGAGTATTTATAGTCGAACTACTCAGTACTCACATCGTGATAAGATTTAAAATAAAGTATCCGTTATTAAAAAACCAGTAGTCAGTACATAAATATCGCCAAACAATATAATATAATATAGCATTTGCCTTTTTCGATAGGATTACTCATGCACTTCGGAGGAATCATTAGATGCCCACAATGCTCGTTATTTTGATTGACGTATAAATACAAATATCGCAATAATTAGTAGACAATATCATTCCAACTTAGAATATGTTGTTACTTAGTACCGGTACCAGTTTGTAGTCATCACATGCACTATGGCAGACACGGCTGATCAGTACATGCATAAATTAAATGCACTGATTTATTCAAAAGAAATTGCCACGAACGTAGAAGCTCGAAATACATTCAACTTTAAATGATTTTATCGTCATTTCTTTGAGAGTCGGGCATCTTCACAAGACACAAATCATCAGATCACCGGATGGATCAGCTTAATCCGCTTCGACAGGAAACAGCCGAAGAAGAATCACCTGCAACAAACTCGCGATGTTCGAAGATCAACGTGAAGCTATTGCCATACAAATCATTCTACTTTCTATTTTTTTCGGCAGTTGGTTCCCTGTTCCCATACTTAGCCATTTTTTACAAACAGCTTTTGCTATCGGCCCGACAAACCGGAGTTTTACTCGGAGTAAGACCGATACTACAGCTAGTGAGCAGTTCCACATGGGGAATTGTGGCTGATAAAACGCATAAAAGCAAGTGCATATTCTTGATATCCGTCGTAGGTTGGCTTTGCTCCAATTTCTCGCTTTCACTGGTGAAGAGTAAGACAGATATTGAACCGTGTCACGATAACGGCTCGCTGACGGTGTTAGATAATGTTCTTGGCGCAGTGACCGCAGGGCCATTTTTAAGAAATGGGACCCTCTTTGATAAAATTCTTTTAAGAAGATCTTTAGACTTGATTAGCAGCCGGCGTCATGGGAAGTGGAAAAGAAATTTTAATGGTCAGTCGAAAAATGAGACAGACCACATACCGGGTAGTAATGTCACTTGGAATCAAGTGATCTCCGAAGTAAAATCGAGTTTTGAGGACGGAATGACTGAGAGAAAGATGAATGAAGAGAGTTCTATGGGACATTCGCCATGGTCACTCCATGCAGTGTTAAACCTCGCAACGGCAAATGGACCGAAATCTGGGCGAAACACAGACAGGATATTTATTATACTGCTGATCATTACAATCGTAGGCACACTGGTAGCAGCACCGGCCATTCCCTTTGCCGATACAGCAACTTTACAAGTTTTAGGTAAACCGGATTGTTATTTTACCTCTTTATACTATTGAAATTTGAAAAATATATTAAAAATATATTATTAGGTTTTTTCAGTACCTAATTTGTTAATGCTTTATACATGTACTTGCGAGAAAGAACACGCATCTCCCCTCCCCCTCCACAGAACAACTAATTATGATTATATATGACGTGCTTATATCAAGCACGTGAAAACTGAAACCCACATAATATGTGAATACCTCATTTTGTCGCCAAAAATCTCGTGATAGACAAGCAAATCACTCATAAGCTGTATGAATATGGGGTATTTTTTCCAAACAATTTTTCAGAGGATTTACTTGCAGAAAGTTTCAAACTCGAATTTGAAATCGGAGTAAGCTTCTATACAGGGTGTCCCAAAAAACCCGAAAACTATTGAAATCACCCATAACAATGTAATTGTTAGAGTTTGAATGCCTAAGCACTCTGTTGGGACCCACAAGTGTGTAAATGTTTGCCATAAACATTTTTATGCATGCATATGATGCAGTAAAATTTGCTCGTACGCGAAAATTATATTTATTAACAATATTTAAATGTGCATCTCAATCGGCACCATGACCTTCGACATGTCCCCCTTCTCCAGCAACACAAAGCATTTAGCATTTTACTGAGTTGCATTAAATCCCCAAGGGCTAAAATTCGTGCACACGGCATTCAAATTTTAACAATGAGTGATTTCAATACTAGTTTTCGTTTTTTTTGGGACACCCGCATGTATATACACAAACTAGAGTATAAACTATTTCGTTTTTAGGCGATCAAAAGGATTTCTACGGCAAACAACGTCAGTGGGGAGCTTTGGGTTGGGGCATATCATCTTTCGTGGTCGGTTCACTGGTCAGTACCATACAAGAGAAATTCGAATGTAATCTGCCTAACCACATTAATTACCAACCATGTTTCTACGCATTTGCAGCGCTAATGACATTGGCATTCATCCCAGCGATTTTTATACGTTTTGAAGGTAGAAACTTACCGACGGTAAACTTTACTGGAAAAATACGAACCTTGATAAATTTCGATTCCATTGTTTTCCTGCTAACAATTCAGCAATTTGGCAATTCATGGGGTCTTATACAAACATTCCTCCTATGGCATCTTCAAGACCTTGGCGGGACGCAGTTCTTGTTCAGCATTGTTGCGGGCATACAATGTCTATCCGAAGTCGTATCTTACCATTTCGCTGGATACGCCATAACAAAGTTAGGACATTATCGAGTACTATACATTGGATTCTCGTTCACCTCGCTTCGGTTTATCTTGTATGGTTTGATCAAAAATCCATGGCTGGTCGTGCCGATCGAAATCTTCCATGGTGTTTCGACAACCTTAATATGGGCGCTGGCCGTATCTTTTGTTGGTCTCAACCCTGGCGTAGCTACAACAATGCAAGGGATTTTATCAGGTGTTCACTGGGGTTTAGGACTAGGAGGAGGAGCGATATTAGGCGGAATACTGGTGAATGCTATTGGATCGAAATATACCTTTCTTGGTTACGGGGTTTTTACATTATTGAACCTCTTCGGTTTCATATTGACACAAAATCTGAGATGTTGTGTAAAACAAACGGAAGAAAGCCAGTCACTACTTAGTGAAACTGCCCGGGAAACGTTCGAGTTAAATTCTATAGAGCCAGAGAATTCCTCGACTACGGAACCTTTCCCTTAACTGCAGAAACTATTTTACCCGATAATGGCTTCGACTAAATTGCCCTGGAAGATCGCGAACGAGTCGACCTTCGTCCAGAGAGTTAATATAAAAGTAAATATGGGAGAAACGCATGTTTGTATACAGCCAGGCAACTCATATTTTTATCACGTGTTTTGCCCCCATATAAAATATGTGTTCTCCCTTGTTTGCTTCCATACTAACGAAGATCCTTGGTCGAAACGTCGAGAAAGTGTTTTGAGGCAGTTGTTATACCATATTTGATACGAATTTGTTTGAAGACGTGGTCACGCTGCTCCCTAGTTATATTGGAATATAATAATAGATCGTTGTTTAGGCTATGGTTTAGGCTTATTATTTAATACCGAAGCCACTGGCATGCATATAGCTTAATATCTTTATACATGTTAGTCCATAGTTAGTTGTTACCTTCCTGGAATAGGGGTGTAGTACTCCTCCATTGACTAGAATTTGTTTTCACAACTCTGCATTCAACAGAGAAAAAATAAATCGTACTGATACATGATTATGGCAGCACGTTTCTCAATTCAACCCTGCAAAATTTATTTCACGCTTCGTTTGATCGGGTAGGCAAGATCGTAAAAAAGCCCCTAATTAAGTAACACTGGTTGTTCCCTCAAAAGTACTGCCTGTGTAACCACACTTTTGTTTGACAATACGTGGAAATTATCTCATTGTTCCTAAACCACTTTTAAACGGCTATGATTATACACAAGGGTATTTGATGATAAACAGTGCAATAAATTTATTGAAATTGTCAAAATTTGAACACTTCAACATTGTGCCTAACCAACAAGCAGATAAAAAGGCTATGGTTGCGTAAACATATTATAGAATAACTTTATGCATTTTATCATTTGGGACCTTTTTCATTTGGGACGAATATTTATACGTTTAGTTCATAATCAGTACTAGGGTGATGAAGACGACAGACTATGCGTTTGGACTAATCTAGGAAGGGAGGTTAAGTCAGGAATTTAGACTAGTTAATCCTTCTGTAGGATCATACATCAAAAATACTGAACTATCCCGTGAATTTTTCATGACTTCACTATCAGATGAAATATGGACAGATGCCTGTCGTTAGGGAAGATCACCTTTAATTTTGTGTCTGCTTAAATTTTGTGTCTGTGATTACTTGAACCTCTGAGTCCCTCTAATCTTCCCTCTTCTTCCACGTGTTCCCCTTCCACGACTATTTTCTGCCGGTATTCTTCCTCCTCTTCCTCTCGCTCCACCCCTCCCTCCTCTTCCTGCAGTCATTCCTAATCCTTCAGATGATGATGGGAACAGCGTTTCTGTAATATCATTAAACAAAACGAAGTAAAACACCGTAAATTTAAATGACACGCCATGAAATTTGCCTGAATAGATTTGTATATATACTTAATTTGCGAAGTCAAGTCCCAGAAATCTAATTTATTACAATATGCCAAATTTTTTGCAGTTCCATTTGTAAAACTCTATCTGTAAACTGTAACTCATTAGGCATACAGAGGAATAATTTTGAAGAATAAATTTTTCACCTGAGTCAATAATCAATTTTTCTTTTTCCATCCAGTTGACCCATTTCTTCCAGGTGGAATCGTTTTGTGCTAACGTGCTACCATTTCCAATAACAATGAGACCTCTACGAGCTCGAGTCAGAAGAACATTCATCCTTTTATCGTCATCAAGAAAGCCAAGTTTACCAACATCATTTGAACGGACGGCAGAAAATATAATAAGCTCGCGTTCTTGCCCTTGAAATCCATCAACACTTCTTACAGAAATGCCCTGGTAATTCTTCTGTATCATCTCCTTCAGGAGTTTAACCTGACAGAAAATGATAACATTGTATTCAATTTGGATAAAACTTGCCTTAAAGTCGATAACTAAGATACTAATAATTGAAAGGGACTTGGACCGCTCAATCGACACTTTTTGTTTTAGTTTATAAACAACGGCACTTTTGACACTGTACTATACTTCATTTCTGTAAAAGCAAACCCCCTGATGCAAATTACACATATCATGCAGATCATGGTGACAAACCTGTGCAGAGTAAGGTGTAACAATTCCAATTTCCTCTTTGGAAAGATCACCAGCTATTATCACATCATCAACCACGCGTTTGACGATCTCTGCCTCTTTAAGATTCTTTCTTGATCGACCGGACCGTTTCTCCGTGTCTTTTAGGATAGTCACGAATGCAAGCGGTCTCGTCTTATCAGGCCAAGAAAATCCCTTGGGAATTGGACGGTCCTTCTCCGTCACACCATTCTTCAGTTTTCCCTTGTAAAATGTTGTAGAAGGGAATTCTGAAATACAAGGATGCATTCTGTATTGTGTGTCCAAAAGGTGAACAGGATAACCAAACTTCCGAAGGCGACTAAACGTCGTATCACCAAGCTGTTTATTTTCGTTATTTTTTATTGTAGGCGGAAGCTGATTGTCGTCACCAACAAGCACCAATACGCGACTTCCTAGAAAAAGTAGCTGAAAATTTGTAACATCCCAAATTAATATACTCTACTGAGTACACCAATATAACTATAAAGCCTCGTTTTTATGTAAATTACTAAAAATCAAATACCTCGGCACATTGGAACAAGTATCGCGGGTTCGGTTGCTTGAGATGCCTCATCAACAAGAAGCTTTTCAAATTCCACTTCCTCAAAGATTTTTGAACCAGCGCTAATGCATGTTGTACAAACAACTCTGGCTTCTTTTAGGATCTTTTTGACAATTTTCTTATCCATCCAGTCTTCTCTAACCCGCTTCCCTTTTGATCTCTCTTCGTATCGTGATTCCAATGAATACTCTCGCAAACTTTCCCTCACCATCCAGGTTGAACTACCGATCCGGAGCATTTGACTTTGCGGAATATCATCAGACACTTGAACAATTTTCTCTAATAAATTATCCACACCCTCATTCGTTTCCGCAACAGCGAGAATTTTTTCTTCCCGATTTTGTGCTAAGAGTTTCCTAATAATATTTGCGCTCGTCTTGCTTTTTCCTGTTCCTGGTGGACCTTGGATCAACGTTAAGGAATTTTCACATGCCTGTTGAACGGCGTTTTCTTGACTCGGATTAAGACCGGAATCTCTACGACTAGCGCCTGAAAGTGGGGTTTAATAATTTAGGTGATATAAATAACACTAGTTCTTTATTAGTGGCAAATAAACCAGAAAATTCAAGATACCATTTTTTTGTACGGCACAATCAGTGGACGCATGCAATAAAGCTGGAGTTTTTCCACGCATGGCAACATTTTCCATGCTTCGCAGCTTTTACTTTTATGTGCAAAGTAATGCCAAAAGGAAAATCTGGCTTCCTGGGAAAAATTCTTCCGTATCAAATATTTAATCAGTTCAATGGTTTTCAATTCAATGTAATCCAGCAAGCTGAAAGTTAAATAGACATGATAAATGCATGTATACCTTCATTAATTTCAGGTTCTTCTCCGTCTTTGCTTCCACATGCATCTTTTTCGAAATTTTTCGGTATTCGCTGTTCATCTTCATGGATTTCTCTGTCGCTTTTTGTCCCACTCCAGGTATTCAAAAGCTCACCAAAGATACCCACATTTTCAAGTGTGGTTTCTGTACAGAGTTTCTTCAGCGCTTCGAGCATTCTGTTGTACGATACTAAATTTGGGAATGGCGAAATTTTCCATCCGGGGGATCTTGAGAGTCTGTCCGGAACACCCTTGTCATTTGGCCATACGGGATCGGCGTAAAGATGTTTTCCCGCGCTCTTTTTCACTTCCATTATGTACTCTCGTTCACGAAAGGCAGAATATGCGTTTCTCGGACTAAGTGCAAGGTAGTCGCCCACCAAGCAATTAATTTCCCCATTAAATACAAAAATTGTACACATAGGCTGATTGTTGTTCTTAGTAGCTTTAGTTTTACCATCACTGTCATCATTACCATCTTCTTTTTCTATTTCCATTGAAACTTTACCTTCGCAGGCAACAGATTGACCTCCCATTTCTAAGTACTCTTGCTCTTTTACATCTTCAAGGATCTCCATGTACAAGAGACTACTCCAGTGGATAAAATAGGAGTATGAATCCTCATGAACCGAAAACTCGTCTTTCGAAATGGGAAATAAACCTGTATTTGAATAAAATGAATAAGTAAAGTTGTCTCTCAGATGTAATATCAGCTTAAAACGATAGATTTATAATTATCTTATTCTTTTTCTACCTTGCTGAAGAAGACGCACCACATATATCGACGTGGAATAGTCGTGCACAAATAGTAGTTTTCCAAATAGTTCCATGATATTTTCAACAGAAAATTGAACGTCGTTTTCTCTCATACGGTTCAAAACTCTTCGAACTCGGCCAAGTAGGGTTATGTTGACCTTAATACCTGAAATAACACGAGAACTACACTTCTTCAATCCCTCCAAAAGATACAACATTAAAGTCTGGTATTTCTCTGCATCGCCATATTTTATACCACATTCATCAAGTAAAGACTCGAGCTTGCATGTCCAATCGTGACGCTCCTGTAAGATTTTAACGTGTAGTAAATAATACACTCAAACCTTCAATCTACGGGGTTTTCGTTGATTTCCCTGTCTAGATAAGTCTAGATTTAATGGAATTTTAACACATGATCAAAATAGCAACAACAATATCGCCTCCTTCTTTATCGCCTCAATACGAAGCACTTCTCATCACCTAATGAACGCCTCAGAGGAACGGAGCCTCACTTCACAGAAGCCACAAAATCCAGTGACTGAGTGACATTAGTGAAAGGCAAATGCATTAAGCAAATTTGTGATGGCAACCTCAGTACGCTATGTTTTAAATAATGGCAGGATTTGTAAAATATAGGAAGTTAAAAAAATAATATTGTCTCGCTCACCAGAGGATCATCCATTCTCTCCAGCAGATCACTAAAAATGGTAAAAGCGCCTGTTGTTAAGGAACTGGTGTCATGAAGATTGTGTAATCTAGTCATTTCCTCCTGTGCTTCCAAGTAGATTCCGCTGTACTCATCTCCCAAATTTGGAAAATCTTCTTCGACGCTTTGAAATGTAACTTCCAAAGTGATCTCAGATTCGTCTCTTTGAGCAAGCGAGGTTGGGGGCTCAGTGAAGTGAATTTTTGATATTGGAAATCCATAAGGATCTAGACAGTAAACTTCCAGCTCTACAAACGCTTCTTTTCTTACTCGGATTCCACCAAACTTTCTTGACAGCCTTGTATCAAATCGATTTAAATCGACGCTGACAACAGATAGGTCATTTGCGTCGTTAATATTGAAGCTAATGAAAGTTCTTGTTTTAGTTCCTTGATAGATTTGCAATCGTTGATTTTCCAACAAAAAGGAGTACGTGGAATCGAGAATTAACCTTGAATAAAATTAATCAATTCTTGATGTATATGTATAACACACAAGTGCTTGCATTAGTTGCATACATCTGCTTGTCAAAACGTCAACGTTATTTGACATCTCATCCTACTATATACAATATTTACCTTTCTGAAATTGGATTTTCTTGATGAATGAACAGGAACGCTCGTGGTAGAATATGTTCAGATTCATCCACCTCAAGTGTATCCCGAGATTGGAGCTGCTGTGGTATATTGAGCACGCAAACCCATTCCACGCTCCCAATAAGGAATTTAAAAACCAATATTTTTGCGAGCCCAGATGTCAGAATATTGTTGAGAATATCCCACGGGAATTCCTCGGCGCAGGCACGGAGCACCAACGAGTAACGAGAGTGTTGGTCAGAAAGTTGTGAGATAAGAACCTGCCAATCACTTTCAGAGAGAATGCTTGAACGGATAAAAGGATTTAGAAGAACGTGCTTACCTAAACTAGGGCAATCGATTTGAGCTCGACGAAGCTGGGGTAACGAAAATGTAGTAAAATCGATGCATTCTTTCGCAATTTGCGACACTTGTGATTCTGATTCTTCATCATGTTCCAGATCTGCCCACTTACAAAGAAATCTAAACAACTGGTAATCACTCACACTAATGAGCTCGTTTGAGAGAATATTTTTCAAAGTTCCCGCAGTCAGTTGCATATCGTGATAAATCTCAGGTCCTATCACCTTATTTTCGATAAATAACGAAGCTTCTGCGGCCATTTGGTGCCAAACGAAATTTCCCTTCAGCAAATCATCTTTTGGGTTTGACGCTATTTGAAGATGTTTGGGAATGTTAACCCTCTCTCCAGTCTTAGCTGAATCCACAGCCCTTGAAAACAATGCTGACAACTCCTGGCACTCCATCGAAGCAACGCCTTTTTGGTCGGCCCAGCGGGAAAAGAGGAAATCGATTTTGCCAATGGTTGAATTAGAATACCGCGCAAAATAAGCTATCAAATCTTTTTGTTGAATATTCTTCTGTGGGGGCACTTTCGCTGCGGGATACGAAACAGGATCGTGACTCTCGTAAGGAACTAGATCAGGATCCCAGCAAACAAAGAATTTATCACCATCGAGATCACTTCCGGCTATCTCGTCAGGATGCGGTCTTTCTCCGTCCGTTGGAAATACAATACAGTCGACTAGGTGATGGCAGCAAGGGACGTCTATGCAATCTAACACGCGAACATCTCCAGGACTATAACAGGGATTTTTTGCGGCTAAAATTCTACCCACAACGGGTTTTGCTTCCCCACGAATGGTGGGTTGAAAGAAACAAGTTCCGTACTTCAAATCATTTTCTGAGGGATCACTTATGCCGTAAACATTTCTCGATTTTTCTATAGGAATCTTTAATCTCAATGCTGGAGTCTTCTTTTTCTTTTCCAATTCGCTGTCGCTCGTTTTTGGAGAAGAATAAGCTCTTTGCTGGATGCTATTTATCTTTTTTAAAACGATGTCATCAATAGAATCAATCTCCTCAGTGGATTTCAGCAAACGTTCCGCGATATCAATTTCACCAAATGCACAGAGATAGGTAAACGCTGTTTCTTTGTTAGTTCTTAACGACTTTATTTCCTGAAAGTAAGTCTTTTGTTTTTTAAGGAACACCTCATCTTTAATACCAAGAGCGGAAAGAAGCAAAATGAACTGTTTGTTCAACGATCCAATTTCATACGGCCTCGAATAGCCTTTGTCTACGACACCAAGTGGATGTGGACCCGGCAATAACCAATTGAATTTCTCCATAGACTTGCGAACCTCCACCCCCTTCTCTAAAGATGGTTTGAGGGCCAACACCCCTTTGCAGCCCAGTAAACGAACTTGCAAAACTGAAGGAAATGGGTATTTTTGATGTTTGAACTTTTCGGAGATGCCTAAACATGTAACAACTTGCTGGGCTACGCCAGGCGAGATGTATCCACAACCGTCGGTAAACGTGTACCCTTTTCGCTCTACATCACCAATGCGGGAGATATCTTCGTCCTTTAGTTCGACTGTCTTGCCCGCGGTGGAAAGCAGCAATCCAATTCGAGCAGCACGTTTCGCAGACGTTTTTATCTTATCAAAATCCCCAAACTTGGATATAATGTCTTCTGCCTTTCCAACATTTGGATTATTGTTATAAAGAAGGCAAACACGAGAGCGCAGCTGACTTGCACTATGTGCAAAGAACGTGTACCGTTCTATCGACTCCGGTTTCTTTTCATAACACACGTCAACGCCTGTGCTTAAAATCTGGGTCGTCACCTGCTTGGGGCATTTGGAATCAAATCGAGCGATCATAAAGTCTCTTGAGTCGTACTTTCGAAAAAGGGGACATATTTGATTTTCATTAAAGCCTTTTGCCTTAATGTCGAAGTCTGCAAGTTTTAGTTCTTTTGAAGATTTATACTCGTTTGAATTTCGAACAATCTCGATAGTTTTAATTATAATGTAGTTTTCTCTACTTTTCTTGTCTTCATCCTTAAATTTAACCCTTGGAATCGGAATGTCTGTAGACGTTGCATAACTTCTACTACCTCTCATTGACATAATTGTTGTCTAGATCCTAAAAAAACAAGAACACAAGGAACCTTATGACATGTGCTTTTCTATAGTGATGTGCTGGTGTTTTGTTGTTAAGTTTTGATATCACGCAGTGGGTGTTTGTATTTTGACTAATTTAAAACTACGTTGTATGTTTAGGCAAGGCTGCTAATGATAAAATATGAGAAGGCCGATCTTTATTTCTATTACGAATTTATCCATCTTTGTACAAATACTACAACAAATCCTTCAAGTATAATCGAAATTAGAAAGTCGAGTCTTTACACCGAGACCGAGTCGAATGAACTAAGTTCCTAAGTAGATGAATTGAGTATCTAACATTTGGAATATAACCGTTGGCTCCGGCTTCAAATGATGTTGACATCAAATTTGTACAATTGTACATTTTTACGCCATATGTGCGCCAAGAACTGATCTCATACACACTACTTTGGGATCTTCAGCCATAGCTTTTATTACTGATATTTTACATATTCTCACATATTTTCGTAAGACTATGCATATATACTTAATTGCATCATCCTTCGTACTCTATATAGAGCAAAATACGATAATTCCAAGAATAAGGAATGTTTCTACAACTCTGTAATCGCTAAAGCCCAGCTATATGAAACAATATAGTAAAAAATAAATATATACACGTATATTATTCACCTGATTTACTTCATGACATCATGTCACAAGCGAGCTGTTCCGCTTTACAATAAAAACCACAATCACCCGTTGTTACGAATTTTACGTAAACATTGTTGTGCTGCAGTACAATAGAAACTTTGAATAAAATATGTTCATAAAATGTTTTTAAGTGGTAAAACTTCCTTCGCACAACGCAACGCTATCATAGAGTACACTCTGTTGGACGTTTTGAAAAACGAAAGGCAAGCTAGGATTGGCCGCTCGGGATCCTTTCAAAGAAGTTAATCTATTTTCCTGGAAGGGCTATTTATGGCCATTGTCCAGGATAACGTCATTCTGCATGTATGTACACTTTTTGTTTAGGGTCTTTTTGATCGCATATATAAATCATATAACTAGCTGTTTATCATGACAAACCAGGACTGTAGGTAAGTAGGTTCATGTACAAACACCGCAGATTATGTTCCCTCCACGTACATGGTATTATGAACTTTTCATGAGCTGAATAGTGCATAATTATTTCGAAGTATACACTCTAAATTTCGAAGTGTCCGACAAACACCAAATAAGTGTAAATACACACAATTTTGGTGTAAATCAGTATGTTACATCCACAAAGTGCAAATTTACCCTTCGAGGTGTATTATTACACCAATATTGTGTTTCCTCAACACCGATTAAGTGTATAGCTAAAGTTTACCTTCTTTGGCGTAAATTTACGCCAAAAGTCGGTAAATAAACACCGTTCTTGTGTAATAAAGCACCACTTTGGTGTAAACATTATCGCTATAATTTTGTGTTGAGTGAGAGCTTGGGCGTGCATGCATTGGAAGCTTTTGTCGGAAAAAAATTGCAAATGGATTATCATTTTTTATATTCCTAAATAACTGGGCAAAGAGTCCCAAGTCAGGAGCAAAAAGCAATTGTTTTCTTAAAATAAGCAAAGCTAATTCCAAAGTCTTGGAAAAATGATTTGTTCTTTGTTTATATCTTTCTTTTCATATTCAGAAGAGATGACGGTTTTGATGCAAACGCGACGGTTTTGACGGTTTTATTTCAACATTCTGAATAAATCCCGTAACGCCGTAACTCGCGCAGAGAAATGTTGATAGGATTGCATTTGCACCACGCTCTCGATGCATGCCGGGATAGCGTCGCTTCGCAGTTCGCACGACGCACGTTGTTGTTTGTTCCTTTGCAAAGTATAAATCGAGAAGTATTTTGAATGTATATTAAATTTTACTGGACATTATGATACAAGATTGCCTGGAGAAGATCGAGGAAATTGTTTTAAAAGTGACTGGGAATCTCAGTCATCTCAGAGGTAAGGTTTTAAAATTATACGCGCAAACAGACGAAAGCTATATATTTTGAATTTCGAATTTGCCGCGTAAACAGTGTACGTATTTAACAGAAATATTCACAGTTTTGCTTCTCATTCCCACCAAAAAAAATGAATGATTTATAGAAATATGTTATGCCGTGGTTATACTATAGGTACTATGCCATATTAAGTGTGATATTGATGTAATGATGTTGGCTAAACCATGGTCAAATACATGAATTTATGTTATATATTAAAATATGAACATGAAACTGATTGAAACATCTGCCATAACAGACTTACTCAATCTTAGGATTATGATGTACGGAATCTTAGGATCTACATTAATTTTGATTAAGAATTTGAATGACATAGCTGTTATATTGCCTTTTAAATAATTTTTATATGCATCCTTTATTAGATGGTGGATTAACAAGTGCCAAGTGGTGATGTTTATAAGTCTAAGTCATCTAAGTCTGTAATGAACAAGCAGGAAAGTATGGTAAGTAATGCATTATAAGGAATTGTGCAATGCTGTTGGATTATTCACCAACCATATGGCTCAGTTTTAATTGTATAATAATATAATAATAGCACCAATATGATATATGCCTAAAATACCTGTGTTGTATTTGTATTTTTAAGGTGCCAAGGTCTTTCATTTGATGAAAAATATCAACTTGATATTAGTTCAGTGAAACAAGAAAAGAAGCCATTTGACTTGGTTTAAGGAAATAAGGTAAGGAAAAGATCAGTTCAATGTTCATGTGTCATACAAATTGCAAATTCATTGTGTATTAATTTCACCTCCATTATTTGCTTCTTATTTATAAACAATTGGTTATATAGTTAGTTATCATGTAATAGATATATCAAAAATCATTGACAGCTTACCAGATGAACATTTGCTATCTAAATTTTCTAATATGCTTGCTTTTTTGTTTTTTTTAGGAACATGGATTAATTGAGGTAGTACTAGTGTGCGAGAAACTCAGTGGATGAGTGGAAAGTCTCCTCTGTTAATGGTTAGTTGGATTCACAGTGTTGCAGAACTTAATTTTCCAGGACAAAAATACTCCAGGTGATCTTATAAATATGCTCATATTTGGGAGGACATATACCAACTTTACAAACAACTAGTCAGTAATCAAAGAGGAACATTGCTCAGGAGTTAATTACTTTAGCTTACGGTATGTGTTAATAACAATAATTGAAGACATGCAGTGAGTTTGCATAGTTCTAGATGCACTTGTCTTCTTTCATAAATATTTTTATTCAATTACCTCTGGGTTCATTATACAGGGGCTTAATTTCAATAATTTGAGTTGTTTCAGCTAGTTTCCTAAACTTGCCAATTGGCAATTTTAATTAAGTCCTTGAAATACTTGTTTTTTTGAGCAAGGTATGCACAAACCTAGCAGTACTTTGAACTATTTCTACATGTAAATATTTAGAATTTATTCATTCATTCATATGGGCACTAAGTAAATAGTTTTAATATTTTGGACTGATAAGGAATAAGAATAATGTATAATTTTGCCTATGTGATATTTCAAAGCCTACTAATAACTTAATTTCATTGCTAGAAATGACAGAAATGTATAAGTAGGTTAGAGGGCATATTTGTCCATTCAATTTTGTAATTTTTTATGCTTTATTATGTTCCTGCTTATTGTGCTCATAGGTTTTTAAACAAATACATAATTTATTTATCTTTAATAAAATTGTTTGTTCAATATAGAAGTTCACGTCTGTTCATCATGTAACGATCATTACATCAGTGAATGCAGTGGTTATCAAATACACCTTATGGTGTATATTGACCCCATAAAGTATAAATATACACTTTTCGGGGTAAATATACACTTATAGTGTTCCCCCCAACTTGGTGTATAAATACACTCATGGTGTATATTGATACTGTAAAGTGTAAATATACTCCTTACAGTGTAACTATACACTATTCGGTGTACATACAGAGGCAAGAGCATTTACACCAAAATTGGTGTAAATATACCCGGTTGAGTGTATATTGACCTTTAAGAAGGTGTATATTTGCACCTCTTTGGGTGTTTGCAGGGAGGCAGGAATTTACACCTTTTTTGGTGTTTGTACAACACTTGGAGATTTAGAGTGTAGAATCCTGGAAATTCAATGACTTCCTGTATCTCATGAGATACATGCATGGCATCGTATATAGTGGTCCCTATATATAGGCCTAGTTTAGTGAGGACCATACTGACGTAATTGTGAGAAGGCACATATCAAACAGAGAAACACATTTGATTATACATTTTAATCAACTAATTCATGCCTAATGAATGTATGAAAATATAAACATAATTATTATTTTATTACAATAAAACCAATCGCTCATCTTAAAACTAATAGCAAAAACATTTGTTCTTTATTCAAACTAAAATGTCAGACTTTTTCTTGCTCATTCAGCTATAGCTAAAACATAGATATATACCAGTGGACCCGGTAAAGCAGGCAAGCTTGCATTGTTTAAAATATTGATTAAGTAACAGAAGCACATCGCATGGCGGGATTGTAACAAGTGAACCCAGTCGCATCGGATTCCTTTTTATAAGCGGCTGAATGTCATTGTGATCAATCTATGGTTTTGCTTTGATAAATTTTGAATGAAAGAATTTGAACAACGATGTACGCAAGTTTAAACTTTTGAGATATGGTAAAGAGAATAAATAATTTAATGACGAAACTATATATTATATAACACAGTCCTATACACAAGGTGTCATATATAATATATAGTACACAAGGTGTCACTATATATTATATATACACAGTCCTATACACAAGGTATCATTTCTCTTTGTAAACTCTCACAATTTAAACTTGCGAAGCCTAGACTCGTGCTTTATAATTACTTGAAATGAATTATAATTACTGAAAATACATGGAATTGCGATTTGAAATAACATCAAAATGCAATTATAAGAATTACATCTTTCGGGCTTTCTCTAAAAGACAAAGATGCAGATGAAACGTTTTACGCGTCGGATTCTTACATGCCGTAGAAATACCACAACGCACCTTCGTTATAAATATGACGGAAAGTGTATATGTATTCTGCATATATCGACTTAACACCAAGTATATGTACGATGATGTTACACATTAGCAGTAGGCATGCCTCTGCTGTGGGTATTATTAGACTGCTAAGATTATATCTCCATTACTTGGAGTTCCTGAGATACTTTTATGGAAAACAGATTACAATTGCAATCCCACCTGGGGAGAATATATACCATTATTACTTTCTTGATTTAAGACTCCATGACGGAGGGCCGAGGCATGTACTTCAGGTTTTACAAATATTAGCTGGCCACTTGCAAATTTTCCATGATCTGTTCTAGGTTTATATCCATGATCGCTTCGATGTCTAAAAGGTCTGGAAACACGATCGAATTCAAATCTATTGTTTCTAATGGGTTTTCAGTGCTCTCTGCCAATCTATCAGACAGGAAGCTTTCGCTCTATTTTAAAAAAAAGCAAATTACTGCGAAGAATTAGATTGCAAAGTGAAATTTAAAAACATCATAATCAAATTCCATTATATATATTAGCCAACTAAAGTGAAACAAATCAATGAATAAGACAAAATATTAATACTTACTGCTAAAGGAGAACTTGGGTCCATAAAAGACTCGGGACTACCGGGCATTCCCATCGGAGAACCGATACCACCTCTATTTTGTTTGGCTCTGAAATAGAATACACAATGTAACTTACAGGAAAATCTTCATACGAAATACCCGCGATAACGAAAAACATTATTTTCAGTCGACACAGCTATCTGTGATGTTATTTTGATGCATTTTTGATAAAAGAATTTAAGCCTTGATCAACGAAATGAAAGTTTAAACTTCTAAGGTATGGAAAAGGAGGAATGAGTGATTTAATTTTATCGTTACAGGCTGAAATACAATTGGTAATGTCTGCCTATAAGAAGCACCATATTTGTTGCCGCAACTTTTTACAGTTCAGTAGAGCAACACGAGTGCGACATTCCTATTCAAAATGAAAATAAAAATGAAACCTTGAAACGTTGCATGTCAAGTTTGATTTCACGTAATCAAGCGGACCGTCGTGTGGTCTTTCTGCAAAAGCAAAGGATATTCGAAAGTTTGACAATGCATGAATGCTAAACAACGCACTTCTAAGCGTGATGTATCTCTCCTACCTTCGATTTTGGAGTAAAATTTTCCAAAGGCATCATCTTTGGGCACGTCCGGATACAAATACTGAAGTTCTTCGAGATCTTTTATTCTGTTTGAGAAAAATTAACAATGTTTAAAAAGAACTTTACCGTATGCATGCAGGTCCAAGTAGAGAAAACACATACATTGATGTCATTGACTTCAACTAGTAAACGTTTCCTCCAGGAGGAACTTATCAGTAGAATGTTCACTTTCAATGCATATCACAAACTTTCAGTATCAAGAGCATTATGAAATTGAAATGCATGAACTATGAAGACAATTATGAAAATCTAATATATGCATATTTTATACGATACCTGTCGGAAAGATTCCGTCTTCCAAGATCTTTATAGCTCCATGGCTCAATATTCCACACATCCAAGTTGCCTGCGATGAAAAAAGAAATTTTCATACATGCCCGCACAGTCAGCCCAAATGTATTATGAAACAGCAAAGTAATAATAACAGGCATGCTCGTGTATGATACAGTATAAGTAAGTTATTTTCCAAAACCATAAGTGATTTACGAACCTTGTTCATTCACAAGAACATATGCAACTGAGATTCCACCCAAAATTCCATCACTGAACCTCAGCAAAAATGTTCCAACAGGTTTTTGAAGCAAAATTTCCCTGGCTTCGTCTTTCGCAATAAATCCCAAGATAAGACTAAGAAAAACAGCAATCAGATGTTCTCAATGTATTGCCAAACAGGTTTGGCGTAGTATGGTACACTATATGCCCTTGCGTATTCCCCAAACATTACAAGAAACACAAACTTTTTGTAATCACTGAAAAATTTAGATGCAACTTACAGATTCTACGCATTATTGTTACACATGATTGTTATGTCTATCATCAAATTTTGTTTGTTTAGGGTACGTAAAACTAAAGAACTGAAGAAATCTATCCCAAACCTCTCCTGCCATTCCTGTTGAAAGTTTTTCTTTACAAGGTCCAAAACGGAATAGAACCAGACCCAGAATGTGAACTGTCTGTCTGGAAGATTATCCTAAAAAATGGGATTCGTTTTTTATTCGTTGAAACAAACAGAACGGGGCAGTGAAAAATACAAAAATAAAGCACGGGCCCCGGAATCCCTGAAAAGCGGTAAAACAAAGCTACGGTATCTTCCACAATACAATATTAAAATTACCTTGTTAAAATGTTCCTTCTTCAACTGATGGTTAGTGTAACCTTCCATCATAGGTTTTTCTGCAAAACAGGATTGACTCAATTAATTGCAAGCTTGGAATATTAACTCGACCTATCAAGAGACAGCTAACGCCGCCCTTCCTGTTAATTCAGACTACACACGCTCCAGGTTTTCCAACCAGCAACAACTGTATCACATACTGTAAGGTAACACTGACCTCCATATAACTTCGAAGCAAGGTAGTCAAGATGATTATCATTCAAAGGATGACCGTTTGCCAAAGACCATCGCATATTTAATGCCATTGTAAACTGTGCCCAAGTCACGACTTCACAAACTTCAAAGGGAACGCGCTCCTAAAAGATACCGAACGTACGCGTCGTGTATCATCTCTCTAAACTAGTATTGCACACATTTTTGGAAAGTTATGATGAATGTAATCCAAATTTTCCTTTCAAATAGCGGGATACGTTCACTGTGTTAATGCTTCGCCAATTGTAAGTCATTTATATAATAAATTCGGGTCCTTTAAACAAGGAAATTAATATCTTACAATCACTGAGAAGGCATTATCCCAGAATATCGTTCCTTCAGCCTCGGGCTGTTGATTTCCGTGGACAATGACGGAGACTGGTAACGACAGTTGCTACAAAAGACACATTTTTAAATAAACGCAAAAAAATCTTATGACTTGATAACTATGCTAGAACTAGCAAACGTTTTTCAGGACTGTTTCCATAGCAATTTGTGAAAATTTCAGACCAAAACGATATGGCCAAGAAGATACACAATTAAAGCTTACCATAACTGGGAACTTTTCACCGCCTATATGCAGTTGAGCTTGAAAAACAAGCGTGGATTTCTCATCCATGACACGCTACGAAAAAAAATAGGATAAATGCTTAACAAACGTATTTCTACGTTGGTATACGTTGCATTTTCCCTGCATGAAAAATCGTTTTACAAGACATTTGCATACGGTTAAAAGTATACTTTCTACCGAAAAGAGTAAGTGTATAGCTGTTATAAAATCAATATAGACTACAATCGAATTTCGACGCAAAAAAATTCACACAAGTGTGAAAGGTACCCCAAACATAAAGTGAACAGCTAATAATTGACTAAAATTTATAATGTGCAAGAAAAATAATCAACATATGACGTCAAGGGAAGAGGGTTAAGGGAAGAGGGTTAGACGTTGCATGGAGCAAAAGAAAAGAGGGTTAGACGTTGCATGGAGCAAAAGTCTGATTCTATTATAAACCTTATCATTGGCGATGCCTATTGTTCGTGTATTCAAACATACCTCTGTGTTTTTCTTGCCCTGCCGATTAACTTTCTTCAAAGACTAAACATAAATGGAAATTTAACAGTAAAGTACCTATAGCTATAGAAGATGATAGATAATAGGTGAAAGTAATTTCCGTACTCACCATGTTTTTAAATTCGGCAACGACGGAATCCTTCTCTTGAATATATTCCATCACCTTAAAAACGTCATTATGTCAGTCAGTTGCCACGGAGGATTACAATAACATATATGTTATAATAACATCTATGCTTATAAGCAACTGTAACAACTAACGGTGAAGTTACCTTTTTGTTGTTCAAAATTTCATCCTGGCCCTGAGATTTCCTGTACCAAAAGAATACGATAAGTTTCCACGAATACATTAACTCTCCACGATGTCAATTAACCTAATAGGGCCTACTATACCCTGACTTTTTTCACAATTTTATCTCGTTAACTATTCACACAATAAAAAAATATTTAAAGAAAAATACTATCCTACTGTCTACGAACTATTTACTATATATCCAACGAGTGAAACATGAAGCACATACCATGTACCAGTCCGATGCAACTCCTCTGCTTGCCTCTCCCTAGTGTAACGAAACAAACAACTATAAGAGAGTATAATTATAAAAAACGGAGAAAAAGAAAAAGAAACTCCCAAATCGCTTCAAAGAATGCGTTAGTAGGTTTTTCCTGGGACATATTTCCTAAGCAATTTAACTAGTTTGCAAAAAATGATATATTTCAGACGACTGTTCTGCTGCATGTTTTCAAATACAATTTTTACAGTGGTCAACAACACCAACAATCGTGTTTACATAATATCTCAATACATACGTGTTAAAAACAACAACACTTACGTTATGATTGTGGCAGTCACTTCCGGCTTACTCATCTGCATATTCAGTTTGCTACCAATGAGATGTCTACAAAGATATTTGCTTATAGTTTTGCTTTAGTACTTCTATACCCCAATACATGTATTGCAAGTTTCCATATACGACACAAGCAATTAAGTTAGCAACAGTTTATTTTGGGGTTTATCTCAGGAAATTGTCAGTACACGAGATAGTATGAAATCAGTGACCTTCAGCAATTAATATGAAGTATACCAACCTGACAGTTGAGGTGAATTTCGTTTGCGTTTTCAAAACCTGGGGGGGCTGTTTTTCAATGACAAACGCGCTAAATGCAAAAAAAAGGTCGTTGAATACCAACGTAGAAACAGGGCAAGGAAACCACAGAGGCGTTCATATATAGTGACTAGGAAATTGCCGTATCATGTGGTGGTCTTATACATAAGTGTATGTAACTACTACTATACAACATGTATACAACGATATTCTGCGTGTACTCTCCCCCTTGCCGTCCTCTACCTGACGGTATGAACAATTCCAAAGAAAGTCTTGCATACCCTTGAATAAGCTGTGTCAACAGGTTTTTGTATGCATTTTTCAGCTCTGTCATGCGATTCAGCTCCATAGGATTGTTCTGCAAAACTTGCAGGAAAAGATTCTCCACCTATTACGAAAAATATTTTTTTATACTCCCCTTCCTGAGATCCATGACTCTGTATGGTGCACAGCAGCGGAATAAAATAAGCACGCTTTCCTTTATACGGTTAAAACAGCCAAACAAGTCCTGTTATATTTTAGTACAGACTGATTACTGGTATTTGAGAGTGTTTCAAGAACTCTGCATTTAGGTAAGCATGAAGTTGTTTACATCTGCCTAGCACGAAAAATGCAGTTTTGCCGCTACATTTCTAACAAAATACTCTAAACTATCAAGGGAACAGTTTTAGGAGAGGACAGTGAGGTGTCGAATGCTGGCATTTGATAGTTAAAGGCAGTTGGATTAGATTAAATGGCTTTTAATGGCATTCCTAAAGTGTCGAGAACAAGTAAATACTCGATGAGACAAATAGTTCATACAGGCACGCCTTGAAAAATGAAGATTTTTACCTGGGTTGTATGCGTATAACCACGCCATTCCAGCTCAGCTAGGGATTCGCAACTATAAAAAAAAACATTTAGACTGGAATTAAGCTCAGTTTCAAGGCAGACGAACTCCAACAAAGGCAATTTTCCTTGTGTGGAATATACATACTGTTTTTTTACTTCATCCAGGGTCCCTGGTTCTGGATAACCACAATGAGCTAATTTTTGTTGAAATCTCCAGTTTCCAATCTCATTGAGAACGCTTTTTTGATACTCTTGAAAATGCTCAAGTTGTATCTTAAGCTTTTCTATGGCATCCTAAATTTCGAAAAGGCAGAAAACGTGAAACAGACGGGAAAATGTGCCTGCACCAGAGATCTTGTAAGGACATATTTGACTTATTGAATTTTGATATATTGGGTTTTTGACTTATAGATAAAGCGAATCCAACAATTAAAACCAGCAGACAGGATGCGCAATGACTGACAATGAGCTGTCGCGAACCACTGCATATACTGATAGGGAAAGATTATGGAGGAAAATGGCGTTGTCTCAAGAATCAGACGTAAAACTGTACCCATTCATATCTGCCTAACTCGTTTATATATTTTTCATGTTAACTATCTGTTCATGGTGCATTAAATGAAAAATATTAATACATGCATGTGTACTTACATTTCGCCGAGAAAGCAACTCTTCTGCATGTTGTTTTATGGAGGCCCACATTTTCTCCATATTCCCCTTGCACTGCCGCAAACTCTCCTCCTGTTAGACCAATATAGTATAAATGGTTTGCCGTGATATATGCTGTATACGATATGCACTTAATATTTGAGAATAACGTTGAAAATTAATAGAACAAAACCCGAAATTCTTTACTCGGAAATTTCGTCCAACATCCTTTTTTATGTAAAATGTTGCCAATATCAAATGGAGAACTAGAATATTTTGTTAGCAATACGCTTTGCATGCATGCCACTATGCAACGACAATAACATACTTTCTTGGATGGTTCTCCAATTGTACTATTTTGAAGTTCCCGGTACTTCCCTTCCAGTAAGACTATAAAGAAAGAAAAAACGACAAAATGAATGGTATTGTTAATTGCACAGAAAAATAGAAATGTTGGTTTTTATTATGATTTTTACATCTGCATACAGTGGCCGTAAGCTCGAAAAATAAATATTTTACTCAAGTAGAGAACGTTTCATCATTGAAAAAAAATTCATATACTCCTATACTTGTATATATTATATATACTATACTTGGGCGTATTAACACATTAATTGATATGCCACGATATCACTAGCTCATACACGGGTGCTTTAAATACACCGTGGGTGAGTTAATTGCCATGGTTGTATCATCCTCGTACCCGGGACGGCAGTATACCAAGTTAAACTAAATGATTATGAATGAGCAAAATGTTTTCTAACCAATTTTGTTTCGTGTCTCCTCAAATTGGATAACGTAACTTTCTTTCTCCTGTTCTAAATTTTTGACAACGTTTTCCATTTCCTGCGAGAAAAACCCAATGATTAAGGAAACGTTTATATTACTATTAGGGAGTTAATTTAGGTTTCATGCACCTTCATACGACAACGTTAGAGTAAGATTTTACGCTATATCACAGTAGAGGAAAAGTGCTATCTATATAAATAGGCAATTCAAGCTATAAGACATATATTACTATGATATCATAAAGAGGTATTTTGTAACACTTGCTTAGCTTACGTCCCTGCATGGTTACGGTCTTACGGACTTTAGTAAGTTCATCCACACAGCCACTGCCACTGGCAGAAGTTGAAAAAGTGAAGTTACCGAATGCTACTTTATCAGGGGAGAGTGCACATTTTTTTGGTGATATGCATTGTAATTGAAGTTTCAGCACATTATAATTAAAAAAAACTGAAATTGCTTCTTTGGATTTCAGTGATAGAAAAATCGAGAGAAATTTCTTGCGCGGAAGACCGATTCTACCGTTTGCTATATATCGCGCAAATATGAGGTTTAACCTTCATAAAAGAAATATATCATCCTCTCTATTGCTGGCTCGAAGAAGTCACGTTTATTTTACTTGTTTCCAGTATATTGCATCACAATTATTTAACTCTCTCGTGTCATCCTATTCAATTGCGAAATCTCATGGAAACGCACCTGGGAATTCTGTGTAAGCACAGTGGCAATGAACTCTGATTGTCGGGCTTCATCAGTTCCATCCATGCCATCAACCAACTGCTCCTATACAACAAACAATTACACTTGCAGTGATTGCAGGAAGCATGCAGTGTTTAAAGGTTGAACCTAATCATACATTTATATGCACACGACATAAATCTGTTTCTAATGCGTAAAAATTGCATTGTACTATGTGGAGAAAGGGGCTTCTAGTGAAAATGTTACTCTGTGGCACAGCCCATTACCTAAGTAAGGAATTACCTCCACTATTTTACAACAACAAATTAAGCCACTGGACAATTACACATAAACACAACAGACTACAGTGCGGGATCTCACCACAGCACTTATTATACCTGACTCATCATAAGAAGTTGTGATTCTTCAAACAAAAGTTGATTTATTGTCATAGCAAGACCAGTCACGTTATTGCGATATTTCATCTAAAAAATGGAAAAGCTACCAGTTTAGATTGCAGTCCATACAATAATTCTGTTCCAGAAAGTGTGAAAAATGTCTTAATGTTAAAATGTAGCTCATTTGATGCAAGATATATACAGTATCAACATGTTATACCTCCACATTATTAGCAATCTCATTTAGTTTATTTACTAAGATCATTGACTCCAATGGTCTTCCAACATTTGTGACCTAAAAGCACAACACAAATATATAAAAAAGATAGGTTTGTGCCTGACCTCATCAAGTACATGAAGTACATACATACATGAGTTCATGGAAGGAATTACCTGAACACTTTAACAAAGAAATGGTGCGAAAGAAAAGGAGATATATGCATGGAAAGAAACTGAAATACCTGCTTAGCCTTCTGTCTGAGAGCTTCCACAAGATTCTGCAAAAGCTCTTGTGCCTTTTGCTCTTGTTCAGGCACATTACCATCAATAGCTTCACCCCTAGAAGACAAATCATTATGCATCAGGCACCACACAATCAACAATAACCTATTCTTGTTACGCTTTGGCTGCGGTGAACATGGCATAAATTTATGTAAGTGGTATTGTCTTGCAGGGAGCAAATATCTTTGTTTTTGGAGATCTCAAAGGCTGCAAAATTAGCTTATTAGATAGGATTAAGAAAACTCAATGAGCTTTTTAGCAATGATTGCATGGAAAACATGAACATTAGTTGTCATCATTTCTGATCTTTCTATACTTAGATGCTGTCTGACACTGTATAGACTCGATCTACACTTCCTCAAAGAAATCACAGATTCAAATTACTAATTCAAATACTAATTTGATTCAAATACTTATTAACACCTCAATCCACCCTCTAAGACACATTGGTTGGGTGAAGAAAACATTGTTTCATCATTTCTAGCTTATTCCAACAAAAGCTTATAGCTTAAAAAATAGAATGACAATAACTTGTTTGACAATTAACGAATAAAATTTTTCATCCATTGAAAAAGGAGCTGGTGATATTTGCTTGGTAATTACAAAATATATGAAAATGAAGCTATTTTCTTTGTAAAAATTGTTCATTCCAAAATTTCAAATCAAGATGAGCAGAAAAATCTCATAACAGAGCTTGCAGAGCATGTTCAAGAGCAGGGGGCTGATTTATGGATAGATAGCTACCCTCGATCCTCAAAAATATTTTGATTTTTTTGGCCCTTCCATGCTCTCTAGCCCCTAGTTGGCAAGTTAAAATGTTTAGAGACATTTGAACATAATTAATCAGAATGAGTATATATAGTGAAAGTACATTCAATAAAGTTCACATTCTCAAATACTTTTCTGTTCTATTTTTATGGATTCGCCCTTTTCATATTTTTGTTATTCCAAGAAACGCTTTACACCTTTGCTATCAGGAAGTCCCACATGCTGATTCCTAGAATCATCAACAGTTAATCAACAAATACCAAGAAAAGCCATCCTTCTTTATACCATGTATATAATTTCTTAGAAGAAACCTGTAGGGAAAACTCCTATTTTTGCAGCAATGAAATCCCTATATTCCTACAGTTTCTTAGTTGAGCAAACGTAGCATATTTTAGCCATTCTTCAGCTGAACAGAGTACCTATTTTTTCATACGAGAACATATTCGCCATATATCATGTGGGCGAGCAGTAAGTTCAAATCGACGTGGCAGAATAGTAAATGAACGTTCGGATAATCATCGATCATCGATGATTCCCAAGAAAATAATATGCTATATAAACGATGTGAAGGTTAGGTGATTTCGAACAATACCAGGAAGACATAAGAGCCAAGAAATTACTCCGATATGCCGGATTAAACACGTAAATCCCACGTGAAGTGTTAATAGTATGTACATCTTTAGTTGTAAATGTATAATTAAATAATGTAATTCTCTTCCAACATCATTCTAATTGACTGATATACAATCCTAATTCCCAAAGGAATACTAAAAGGAATACTAATTTATTCCATTATACAACATTTTGTCCCCAAAGGAATTCAAATATCTTACCAGGGCTGGTGCTCGAGCCAGGCAGCCAAATGGGATTGAACCTCGAGCTCAACGGCATACTTCCCGAGAAGTTCACCAATTTTGGCCTGGTCTTCTCCTTGCAGCGACTGAAGTTGCTCCCACAAAGTCATCTTGTTTTTACTATTGAATTTTAGAGCCGACCTTCTTCGAAGAACACTTCGCACGAACCTAGCAAACCAGATTTTGTTATCATATTTTTTAAGGGAAATCGAACACGCACACGCATCTAATTATTTTGCCATTCTGGGAAGAAGCAGGTGTGTGCAGCTTCCGGTTTTTCCCCGTAGCGTGAATATATCGATATCTGTATTATCTTGCTTGTTTGTTTTAGTTGTTGTTTCAATTCGTGTCAAACGTGATTTAAATCTCCTTTATTTCTAATTAAACAACTTGTTATTTCGCTTTTGTTTTCTTTTTATTTCCAACTCTCGTGGACACAAAAAATGATGAACTATGCTGTCAGTGTCATAAAGTCAGTAAAGCGTACAGCCTACTCAAGCTAGCGTTGTCTATTTATTTAAGGTAGGACTAAATTTGAGATTTGCATTTCGTTGTCTTTGTTTTTAAATTATCACTATATTAGAAATATATAAAGCCCGCAAAATATTCTGACCGGATGTAAAAAGAATTAACAACGATTTCCAAGTAAACCGGAAATAAATGACTTGATATTGAACCGCGTTCTTGGAAAAGCCCAACTGTTCCATCGGGGTAACAGTTCCGGTTTGAAAACAAGGCTTTACCACAGATCAGTGGGCTTTACTAAGCGCCATGTTGCTATTGACACAAAGAGAACCAGTAATAATCAGTGATATTGAAACATGGGCAAACAAACGAATGCTCAGTCAAGCAAATCATTTTCCTCATAAAAAAGCTTGCTGTATGCACATTGATGTATACTGAAATTGTTTTAAATCAGAATTGCTACCGTCTTATTTGCTATTCTAAGAAATTGGTAATATGCGATGCATTATCTGTATAGTAGGGGATTCCCCATGGCAGGGTATATTAATTCCACAAATTCTCAGAATGAACGTTCACCGTTCTGAGCACAAATTTAATTCCGTTACATCACGATTCAGCACGTGCTGCAAGATTCCAGGTAATAAAGTTTCGTTTATCACCATACCTTCATTCCAAGAATGAATCATAAGTTTAACATTTTTGAGAAATGTACATACAACCTTACATTTCAGCACAGCGAAACCTCATACCCCATTGACCCCAATGTCCTCTACACCTGATGACAACCAATGACAATCTCGTTCCCCGTGATCCTGCGATGATTCCATGGTTTGCAAATTAGTACCCAGACTGCTAATTTCTAATGCGAACTGGTAACGTTTGTTTTCTTTTTGGAAGGACAACATTTTTGGACTTTGTACATGCCTTAAATATCTCACTTACTGCTTATAAATTGTTTTAAATAGTTCTAACTATGCACCGAATGGTAAATGGTATACGGTCCTTGAAATGGCTGAATACAACGTCAAAACGTATGAAGGTTGGAATTTCAAAAAACCTGGAAGCTTTTTTTGCATCCAGCTCATCAGATAACATCACGAGAGAAAATATCTTCACGGACGAACACGTTGAACTACGACGTTCGCTAAATAAAATCATTGAGAAAGATATAAACCCTTACGTGGACGAATGGGAGGCAGCGTGTAGATTTCCAGCTCATGAGGTTTTCAAGAAACTTGGAAATGCTGGTTTTCTGGGATTAAACAAACCAACAGAGTATGGTGGCATGGCACTTGATTTTACATTTACCCTGGCTATGGCTGAAGAATTGGGTGTGTGTTTTACCTATACATATCTACATTTCCATCAAACATATATCTATATCTTTATCTCAACAGAATTAATGTGTAGATTAGAACACCTCAGAAAGAAAAATCAATTAAAGAGCCAATGACTCCCCTCATGTTTTTCAATCCCTCTTAGAGGAATATAGCTTCTTGTTATACAGAGGAAATCATTCATAGGGGTTGCAAGTATATTGAGTCAAAATTGTGAATATTTTCAACTCTGTAAATGATAATGGAGCATATAATGAAGATGAAAAGCTTATAAATCTCATGCACTGATGCCTTTAGTTGTAAATTGAAATGAATTCTTTGTTTTACTAAGACAATTAAAATCTGAATCAATATTTGATTCAGATTTTACTCATTTGATCCATATCTTTTAGGAAATGTCAACTGTGGTGGTATTCCAATGGCAATTGGTGTTCAAAGTGACATGTGTACACCTGCACTCACAAGATTTGGTAGTGATGAACTAAAACGGGAATTTCTTGCCCCCTCTATTGCTGGAGATTTTGTTGGGTGTCTTGGAGTTAGTGAGCCTGGTGCTGGTTCTGATGTTGCCAATATCAAAACCACTGCTGTAAAGAAAGAAGGTAGTGCCAGCAGTGTGGTTCTCTACAAGTAACAAGACCTAGGCCACAGCTCCTTTTATGGGTGCATTAAAATATACATTATAATACTCCAGGAGAAAGGATACAGGGTTAAAATGCCTTCCAAACAGTTCTGACACAATCTGTATAATTATATTGTATAATGTTTTATAATGTTTTATTACATTATGGATAGAGTTTACACTATATTCTAGCCAAAAGTAGTGCCCTGACCTGAAGAGGAAACATTTCAGAACAATGTGTTTATTGTGTAATTCTATCAAAAGAGTAAATAATGCCTTTTAAAAATTACAATCGAGAACCCCCAAATTCTTTACTGCTTCATATTAACAATGCTATTTTGTGAACATTGATTCTACTTGACTGTCATTAGAACAAGCTAATACACCAATTTCTGTTTTATTCACAAATCAACTGCAAGTTAATTCTTCTCATATATTTATTTTTTATTATTTCCCAGGGGATTACATCATAAATGGTGGGAAAATGTGGATAACCAATGGCATTCAAGCCGACTGGATGTGTCTTTTGGCAAACACCAGTGAGGGTGCCATACACGAAAATAAGAGTTTATTTGTTTTACCCTTAAACATGCCTGGTATAACAGTTGCCAAAGATATTAGAAAGATCGGAATGAATTCTTCCGACACAGCACAGTTTTTCTTTGAAGATGTCCGCATACCTCAGAAATTTCTGATTGGTGATGAAGGCATGGGATTTACCTATCAAATGTTGCAATTTGTTGATGAGAGAGTTTTTGGTGCTGCATCAGGTAAATGCCAGGAAATTAAACCATAATGAAAACGCTGATTTCGGATCAAAGTCACCTCCACACCATATATTGGCAACAAAAAGGTCACAGATATACATTTTACCAAAAAAACCAATTGACCTTCCTCAGACTGATTATTTTCCAGTCATGCAATCTAGTTAAGTGTACACCTGTGATCTTCCTCTTAATCCTGGAATAAACTGAATATTTCCAGCAGCAGTTCTTTCTCTTTATCTCAAACAAAGAAGCAATTCTTCTGCCGCAGGTTCTTGCCCAGTTTATTTTTCTCGTGTACATATGACAATCAAATCCCCTGGTTGACGATTAAGACAGAAACAGTTTTTACAGTTCCAAAGATGGCTGGCATTAGTCGCTCAAAAGCCATAGTAAATGCTCAAAGTGAAAACCCTACGACCTTCGCCTTCACCGTGGATGCTACGATCGTTTAATTCTTTTTTTTATAACATTTTTTAACTAGTGCTACTTACAATGGAAAGAGCGATCGAAGAGACAGCAGAATACTGCAGGCAACGTGAAGCGTTTGGCAAATCATTATTACACAACCAGTACATTCAATTTAGATTAGGAGAGTTGGCAACAGAAGTGGAACTGCTCAGGTCATTGACTTACAGGACTGTTGGTACGTACTGATGATGTCGGCCGCCTTATTTGTTAATATCTCACAATGACAATTGATATGCATCCTACAGGTTCAAGGCCCAAAGTCCGGCTTTGCGTTCCTCATGATCTGTCTTCATTTATAAAAGACGAGTGATTCGCAGGGCCTCAGGATCTTATATAGATTTTATCCGTTTTCAGCCGTCCATTACGATGATATGTTGGTCATGGGTTTTAAGCCGCGGCTACACGGGCGATTTTCTCTTCCTAGCGCATGTTTTTAAGTAATTATCTACACAAGCTTTCACAGTTGTATAAATTTTGCGAAGCACTTTTACTAATCTGTTAAATGTATTCAATAGCATACATCAGGAGGTAAAAAACCTGTCTAGCGTTGCAGCCGAGGCCGGCTTTCAACATTTCATTAATTGGAGGTTAAAATCCCTCAAATATCATCATTTAATTCTATCTTCGGTTTATTCTAGATCAATTTGTACGAGGAGAAGACGTGAATCTTATGGCAAGCATGGCAAAGTTGAAGGCGGGACGTTTAGCAAGAGAAGTGACTGACTCGTGTTTACAGTATTGGGGTGGCATGGGTTACAGTTCTGAAACATTAATAGGTCGATTATTCCGGGACTTGCGACTTCTTTCAATCGGTGGGGGTGCTGACGAAGTGATGTTGGGAATTATTTGTAAACTGGGAAACCTTGCTCCGTCCAAGAAAAAATAGAAGTATACAAAATTTTAATCGATTTTAGTGTGTACTACCATCAACACGTGCAGATGCTGATACACACAGACATAGCTAAATTTTAATGTAATGAGGTCTTTTTTCACATAACTCATTAAACATGTTTTATGTACTCAATCGTTAATTTAAATGTAGTGAACAGAACAGACACTGTTTTGCTCGTCCTTTTGTTTTCCTTGTGTAAATTTGTGTTTTGACAAAATGAAAGACACATATGCAATGAAAAACAAAACATGCTCACAAAACTAAACCGAAGTGGAATGTTTAGGCTGATTTTTCTCATTTGCCTGATTTGGTATTTGAACTCCTCGTACGGTTTTCTATATAGAATATTTGCGCGATTTTCACGAATTTTTGAGTTTTTAAAAGCAACCAAGCTTGTTCATGTTATGATATTCTTGATAATTACTGAAGGATAGCACATTTTGGCATGTCTGGAGCCCATAGCTCTCAAAAATCCTTCCAGATTTGAAATTACTTGCTTAGAAAACTGAAAGTTCGCGTTGCGTTGACGAATCGCGTCCGGTGTGTGTGGGCCTTAGGAAGCTAAACTACTCACCCCCTGATCTACCAAATAGCATTAATGTCATTGAATTTACCATAGCTATACATGATAACATAGGATTACACATTAACGCTACATGTTAGTCCGCAGTACTAGTGTGATGATGTAATACCCAATTTATATATTATTGTAATTCCTTAACTTGGTCAAACTGTATTATCTGAATAAAAATTGTGCAAGCCTTGTCATCATCAAATGATTTCGTATTATCACGAGTTCGTATTATCAGCGCCACAAGAAATACTGAACTGAAAACTTGTATGTTTTCTTCACATTTACCCGCGCATGCGCCTAGCTGAAATTGGGCTGCGCACTTCGTGACTACTTGACTACGTGTTAATCTAGAATAGGTATGATTAAAACATACAAGGCACATTAGATATCACTGATGTTTGCGAATTTGTGTTAGCTCGTTCGTTACATATTGAACGAGGTACTTTCCGCTCTCTTACGATTAGTTTTCTTCCGTACCGCTATACCACTTCATATAATTTTCCAAAATTAGATTCCAGACAACAAGCAGGAAGTTTAGGAGCAGGAAGTTTAAAATCGGAGCTCTGAAATGACTTTCGATAATCTCGTAATAGCTTTGACATTGCCGTTTTTTCGCAGATTGCTGGGAAAAACACCTGCCAGAATCCCACGAAACACTAGGGAAGGCTTCCTTTCGCAAATTAAACGACCGTTTGTCTGTTATTTGTAAGTATGGCCTTGATATATACACAATGAACCTATCTGCATGGGGCTTATATCATTCTTGTTCGTCTTCAAACAACCTGCTAAAATGTTTATGTTTCACTGTGATATTATGCAGAGACCTTCGGAGGCAGGTGAAAACAGCTGGATCCGTTTCCAGGATACAAACTCATCATCTTTGTACACAGTGAAGAGAAAAAATATGGATCGTCCTTCTACAGCTCAAGCCCCGATAAGTAGTAGCCTTACACAGAGGGTACCAAAGCGAGATATCCTTCCGCAGGAAGAGGGACCTGTTTCCCCGGAGAAAACTCGTCTGCCGACACTATTCATCGGATCCACGTCGGGACGATACACCAGGAAAATATGGAAAAAAGATCGTGACAGTATCAGAACTTTCTTCAGGCAATCGAGAAAAATGTTTTATGGCACTTTTCCCGATAGTGATTGTGCGATAAGATCCATCGACAAATACCTAAAGAAGTTTACCAAAGTTGGCTTCACGCATGTACGTATTATTTACAGCGGTGAGGTGAACAGCCTTGGCAATGATGACAATCGCCTTGTTTTCGACACGGGTAGAGATTTGTCCGTGCGTGGTCTGATCAATTTTGTCCTTGGCAAGGGCATGAGTCTCGATTTGGTGATAGTCAGTCTTCATTCCTTCATCTGGGCCGATGTTTTGGGTCTGAAACTGCATCCTGAACGCTCGTTGACTGTGTACTACCCCGAGTATCTCTTGCCAACAAGTCTTGAAGACTCCAGCGTTGACATGTTTGACAAGACTGGCACGAAAACTCTCAAAACATGGCAATTCTTTAAAGCTACATACAAAACCTGAGGTCGCAAAATTGAGGAACAGAATGTTAAATCTATCTTACTTATAGATAATTCCTTAATTTAGCCTGTACACGACTGAAGACATCCTAGTGTTTTCTAGCATGTCTGCCATGTCAGATGCACAAAGTTCCTGCAGCATTGCATCATTCAAAACGACGTACAGACCGATTTTAGATTGAGTTGTACATACATGCACAAATGAAGAATCAGAATATTTTGCCTCAGAATGCATCGCTGCGCGGTCATAATCTGGACTGCAATGTTTTAACAAGTACATAATTATAAAGACTTCCACTTATCGTAACAATTTTAAATAATGCCGGATCGTGAAAGCTAAGACGTTAGTTTTTAATGCTATCATTCAGCGATATTTTTAACTGACTTCACAGTGTTTAACTTGCAATTGTATTCCGTGTTTAGAAGCCATCCAACAAATTCTAAAGTCGATTCAATCAGGACCTTAGGTGCGACATCTTCACACCCTGAAGTATAAAGATAATCCCTGTTTTGAAACAACTATAAGTTTGCAAGCGCGTTCTGACATGATAGAGTTAAATAGCTAATATATGTATCGTTTTAATTGGATGCACACAGTCTGCTGGGGAAGCGAACCAGTTATATAGAAATGTATTGTATGTTCTAGTATAATTGTAGAATGATAAATTGACATTCGATTAAATTAAGTTAATAGCCAAAGGCTAAAGACCGTAAAAAGTTGTTTTCAGTTCCCGCCATTCATTAGCCCTAGTTTTTGTCACCGATATTGGAGCGATGTATAATGTATTGTCGGTTACAAAGGAAGTGACAAAGCATTTATTTCGCGAGCGATCGCCGCCTACAATAGCTATCGCCAATAATTGCGAAATATGAGAGCCAGTATTGGAAAAATGACATTAATTAGTCACAAAAATGAACCCATGGATATTTTTACTAGTTACCCCATACCAGCGATACCACAGTGCAAAACTAAAAAACTCTTGTCCTTCTACACTGCTTTTCTATTGGGACGAGGAAGCTATAGGGTACCACGTTTTATATTTTTATAACATTGAAAAGATCGTAGGCTGGCTATTTTCTATATGTTTGCCTACTCTGGATATAAGTGAAATAGTTGCAAGCTATAGAACATTACAACTTATATTAGTGTCAACTTCTTTACAGCTAGAGGCTGCGAAACTTTTACTTACACTTTTTAGCAAAGAGAAAAAGTGCCCTTTCTTAAAAATAAAGTTATTTTTCGTGACAAGAAAGCAGAGTAAAAAAAAAGATCTCGGTTTTAACGACTATTTCCCAATAATTGGTGTAGAAGGTAAGTAATGTGAACTCGGCAATCAGACTACACGGTATCGACAACATTGTGCTTTTTAGAATTGTGACCAAAAAAACTAATCATATAAGCAAAAATTGCTTAACTCAAAAACATTTAAAACAACTATTTAAACATTGGTTAATGAATAGAATAGGGTTATCAGTAAGCACTATTCAACAGCCATTTCAAATGGTTATGATAATCACTATTGCATTTGCGCTACATAAGTTGGCTTGTAAACATTCAGGTTTCTGTCCTGGGTCACACAGGAAGCAATGATGTAGGCTGGCTACCAACTAATAATGTTCAAATTTGTAGGTACATAGGCATCTGTGGGTACACAGCCCGTTGGAAATGTTAACAAGTCAACATTACAATATTTCCTAGTTAAAGATTTTTAAAATATACAACAGTGACAGTGATATCATCTCTTACCGCTCTTCTAACATGCTTTGGAGCATTAAGTAATTTGGCCACCTTAACTTCATCATCTCCACCTAATGCTTGTTGTATCAACTGACTAGCAGCATTGAATCGCACCACACTTCCATCCTGGTCATATCCTGAAACATTGCCACTGTCCAAAACATTGCCAACATATTGTACAGCATCATCACTACTCATCATATCCCATAAACCATCACTAGCAATCACTAGAAACTTGTCTTTACTTTCTAAAGTGTGGTGTGCCACGACAGGTTCAGCAGTAAGGTACGGTGGGGTACGATACACTTGTGGAGGAATCACAACCCTGCCATAAACTTTGTTTAAAAATTCCTTATGCATCTGGGCACTCCATTTAAATATGACATCACCAAAGGCCCTGAACGGCATGAGATGCCCAAGCAAGCGGCCATTCCAAATGATTAATTCCTCTCCAGGATGCTCCATTCGTATACGTTCAACCTCTTCATTATTTTGTGCATTTTGATCAAGTGACAAAGAAGTTGCAAGCCATTTTCCATCAGGGGACCTGGACCCAAGAACTGCACGGCAATCTCCTGGCAATAAGACATTTAACATTTACTATATATCATATGAATAAAATACATTAAAGAACCTTTTTTTCTCGTTAAACTGTCATATACATATACTATATTCTGTATTTAACTTTTTTATATTTAATTGACCTTTGCCTTCTTAGCAGTTCCTCCAAATCCAAACTAGTAGTGAAATTGTGTGTAAAAATTTACATTTCATGCTTTTATTTTGTATAGGAAAAAATCAATTTACATACATTGCTGACACTCACAGGGTGCATGCTAACACAGAGTGCAATAATGCATTTCTCTAGAAGCACTGCACTAGACAAATAAAATATCTAGCACATTGGACTAAGAAGCAAGGCATTGTCACATTAAAAATGGTTGGCATAAGCCACATAGAATCTATCCCGGTCAGTTCACTAAGGTATTACATGCAGTACTGTATGTGAAGTTTTGCCCTGATGCACAGCACATTCTTATATTACACCAGAGCTATAAAAGTTCCCTTTTACTTTCTTCTACAGCATATCTTACCTGAATTAGAAACATACAAATCATTATTGTGAATGTAAGCTGTTAAAGCACAAGCACCAGATAAACCCTTCATAATTTTCTCATTGTCATAACCGTTAACCTCAGGCAACGCTTCATAGACAATATCCTCATCGAGTAAGGTATATGCATTTTTCAACTGCTGTTCAACAGTTTGATTGACAGAGTTCACCGTTTCTAGAAATATGTGTGCCTTTGGCCCAAGGATGTCCTTCACATTTTTACTTGACGCTAGATTTTTGTCTAAATGGTTCACCCTAGAAAACGTTTTGTCAAGCACATTTTCAGATTGAAGTGAAAGCGCAGTATAATATGGTAATCTGTTCATGACTTCTTCAGCACATTGCCAGCCGCTGTGCCCATCAAAGACACCAAAAATTAAACCATCTGAAACACGGTACTCTCCATTTCTATCCTCCATGGGATCATTGGATGGCAAATTGTTGCTTTCATAGTGAGAAACAACACCAGAATTCACAGGAATAAACTTCTCGTTTCTCCTTATCTCCACGTGAGGTAGCTTTCGAGATGTCTGAGGATCTCTAGAATTCTTCCACGGTAGGCTAGGACTACTGCTAGATTTGAGGAAACTTGGCACCAGGTAGTGCCACAACAAATTGCTGTACGAGTTACTGTGATAAAATTGATCCTTGCATGTTAACCATACCAAGCCAAACGCAGCAACAACGCCTGCAGCATATGGACGTCTTCTAGCTACTGTAAAACGGGGCATAATGATCTAATTGTGCTTAAAACAAGTCACAAGAACGAAGCCCTTTAGCGAGATTTTTTAGCGCAGTGCGCCATTCCCCCCTTTCGCTATATTTTACATGACGTTTCAGCTTGGCCCGACCAAACGCATCCTCGTTCCCATGGTTGAGTTGATGGGTTGATTGGCAGGTAAAACACCGCAAAGCAAGGTGTTTTACTTCGCCCTGATTGGTACTATTATTGAAACGTCATGAACTAATGAATCTTGATTTCAAATTTTACTATTAATGTTTTTGTACTAAAAATGGCCGATCGGCTAATAACAATGTCTTACACAAACCGAGATTAGTCGTCTGTCGGAGAGTAGTAGCCCTGAACACACACTTAACATTAATAGTAACGTAGGTCTGTTTTGTGTGTTCAGGCTAGTCGGAGCGCAATGTGCTACGCATCCTGCGCCGTATCCAGCAATGTCTGTGGGGTGCCGTGAACGTCAAAGAGGACGTGAAAATACGGAGTAAATGGCGTGCTGCGTCAATATATGACACAATATGGATATGCCAGGGATGCTACTGGTATTCGTCATTTTCACGTCCTTTTGACGTTCACGTGACGTTCACCATCATCGTACTCATTGACTGGAAAACGAAAGAGTTTCTGCATAGAAATTATATAATTACTCAAAATTCTATTCCTCCGTTTGGTACCGGCCTCCCACAGCAGTCTAGAACCCTCTCCGGCCTTAATCACCACACGCATGTTAAACTTCTATTTGCTAGTATGTAACCTCCATGATAAATGTCACCCAAACCAATTATTAAATATATGCATTCACGATGATCGAGATAGCAAGAAAACAATAGGGATGGAGGAATGCATTTGGTTTGACGAAACAACTTCGGCATTGCGTGATGGCAAGCTATCCATATTACAGTAAGATGTTTTATGACGTCTGTGCGGCATCCTATTAAAGAGAACTTAAAATCGACCCTTATTATGGATAAAGATGCAAAAAATAAATACAGATACTAGTTGAGCAAGCATCATAATGACACAACCAAAATCACAAATTCATTAGCTGTCTTTTGCCGGGTGGAAGGGTTCAGAAATCAGACCGGTACTCAAAACAATCATGATCAAGCGACGAGTCCTGTGCCAATTTAGCAAATGCATATAATATTAAACACAAACAAAACCTGGCGTTACACCCCAAAATATTTCATTTTGCACAAATTCATGCCAGTAATGAGTCACGCAAATTTGACTGGTACCGTGTAAAATGGGTCAAGACCAGTATAATAAATGATAAATTAAACAATAAACGCTGTGTCATTATTTGAATGCCGTAACATGAAGCACAAAGGAAAGCTTGAATTAGACCCCAGTACAATTTATTGTTGCACTGTCATGGTGTGCTTGCATGACAGAGCTAGGCAAGGCTGTGCTACATACGTCATAATGACGTCAGTATACTGGTGACGTTCAATTAATCAAATGCTTATATTACTGTAGTTCCTGCTTATCTCTTTAAGTAGCAGTGAACATGAGCATTTTAGCATTGTAAATAACTAGCAACACAACGCAACACCTGCGGCAATAGTTCTGGAGACTTTCCTTGGTGAATATGTCGGTGCGTACAGTATTTGTGATCGGCGCTAGTGGTAATGTCGGTAAAGCCACGGTGAAGGCCCTCTCTGCAAACCACGGAGGGTCTCTTGACATTCGAGCTGGTGTACGAAATCCCGAGAAAGCGTCCGACTTGGATTCCCTTCTTTCAGTTACGGTCGTGCGAGCTGAGATGGGGAAACGCGATGAGCTCGTTGAAATCTTTCAAGGAGTCGACGTATTGTTTATTGTTGTTCCAGGAGCTCCTGATCGCGTGGAGTTGACACGTATAACAGCCGAGGCTGCAAGAGATGCACGAGTGAAGCATATTCTCACCATAGGAGCGTTTGGTAAACCTAACTTGGCACTTACTAGACAAATGCGGGAGATTGAGAATATCATAACCAATCTTGGTCCAAACTATACAATCCTTCGCTTACCCTGGTTCATGGACAACTTTTTTGGCTTCAAAGATACCATACAGAAATTCTCAGCGATCTATGACAGTATAGACCCAAGCAAACGTTTTCCCACCGTTTGTATGGATGACCTAGGTTTAGCCGCAGCAACCCTTATGGCCACTGCTTCTAAAAGGAACGCACACGAGGAATACAGTATGGTAAGCGACAGACACACGTTCCATGACATCGTGAAAGCGTTCAGCGATGCCCTTGGTAAAGACATCACGTACACCCAGCAATCGTACGAGGAAGCCAAAGCAGCGTGGTTACAGATGGGAGCTGTTTCTGAGCAGCAAATTGATGGCTTGATTGAGTACTGGAAAGCAGTAAATGCTGGTGAATACGAGAAGGGAGATAATGATAGTGATTTCACGGCTATCACAGGAAAACAACCAACCAATATAGCCGCATGGGTTCAACGATATGCTAACGTGTTTAAATGAATACTTGGTTTGGCTGAGTACAAAGCCGATGATGGCATTAATAACGTTTCAAATTGGTATTTGAGGTTGTGCTCTCCTGACTTGCAATTCACTAGCTACGTAGATGGCCGTAGGCTAAATTTTAGATTTGCATTAATAATTATAGATATTCTTGTCTATTTTACAGTGTGATTTTTAGGGTGTTTTTGGTACGTATAAATAAATTTGCCATGTATATGGTTCACCTTAATGTGTTTATGAGATTAATATAATGGCTGGAGTAGCATCACTTGCAAAACTGTTATGCTCCACTGGATCCAGTTACATTTGCACGACACTTGTGAAAGTGTTTGCGTTTCTATTACTAAAATTATCATATTTCATAAATCATACCCAAGCCCCTTCGGTCGGAATCTTCCAGGGGGGGAGAAGAGAATAGCATACCCGGTGTTAAGCTGGTTTTCCACTTGCGATATTTTTTGCGCGAAGAGACTTTATTCTTTTGTGTTTTGGCAATTCATTCTAGCTGGTTGCAATTGACAGCTCTGAATAAAAATATAATCGCGCGAAAATTATCGAGAATTCATTGGCCCAATTATACAGGGTGTATCAACCCCGATACTACGTATACTTTGTAGCGTATATAGTATATGTTAAGCATGACAGCAACGACAGCATTGCGCGTAAATTATGATTAAAGAACGTTAAACTGCTTTCCTTTTCGTAGGGCTTTTAATCCATAGAGATTTTTTCGGCAAACCTTAAACGTGTGCGATGCTAGAACGAATCTAATGAAGCAATATGCATATTTTATCTGAAACTTCTTTCGACGAATAATACCATAATTGAAAAACGCTGTGATGAATACAATTTTATTAAGTTGTCAACTTAAAATGCATCAACGTGCTAAATTATTTATGGTACGGGTGAAACCCTAATGTTTGCATATGCCTTGTTCGTTGACAATTCCGTGTCATGAACTTAATTATTCTTGGTTATAGAAGAAAAATACAGAAGCTGTTACACCACACAGCAACAAAACAACCATGTTCCTTTGAAAACTTGCAGCATTATGACCCAGAATTCACCGGTCACCTTCTACCAATACCTTGCAACATTAATTCCCTAAACCCAAAACTTCTGAGACAGTCCATCAATATAAGCAAATATACTTTAGTACGTAAATTCTTTCCACGCATAGGAATGTCTTCAAATTTTTACAATCAATAACAACTTCGACCAAACATTATGTCTTCGTGTGTCCTAACTCGTCTAATACCAATGGCCAATGAAAGGTCGCTAAAACCTAATCTGCATGTTGGCAAACAGGACCAGCATTTCACAAACTGCACAGATGTTGAAATTGTGTACATTCAATAAGAGCATACTAAACACTGCCAGCTGTTTCCAGGTTTTCACATTGAAATAATGACCACGGACCGGCGAAGTGTAAGAAACCACGTGTACACAACATTGCCACTAAAAACACGCCTGTTTGTAGGCAATACCAAAAAAAATACGCCTAGGAAACCCCGCCATTGGCTGAACTTGGGGATGATTCGATCCCACCCTCGCTGGTACTGCTCGAACGACGAGATCTTTGGGTAACAACTGTTGTTTTCATCATTTCGTTAAGAACCAGTTGAGAAGCACACCACACTGCGGTTCGACAGCCACGGGTTTTCACAGATAGATCTCGCACGGACGAAATAAGAGAGATGATGTCTACATGAAAATTAAGGAGAATACATGTACCTTAGCCATCGCGAATACCTTAGGCTACCACATGCATGTATGTGAACACATCAGTTTATCATGTATTGCTCAGGTTATCAATTTCTCAAGCTAGCATGAGCACCCTAGTCCATCATCCTGAACTTACTATGCATGAGCACCCAGACTCATAAAAACCCCAATATATCATGATTATCAATATGTACAGATGAACCTCAAGTCTATCACGAACACCCCAGTCTATATAGCTACATGTATAGACACCTCATTTTACCAGTTTGCCATGTCTACCATGAATATACTAGTCCTTAAATTGAGTTATGGCATTTTTGTATTAGGTACAGGATTAAGCATGAGAAGAACTCTCACCTCTTCCATCAGGCGAGCGCATACCAGTCACACTCTTATGCCTTCCAGTAGCTACATTGATCTCATCCTTACGAGACGACTGCAACCGACGTATACACGCCATCATATCATCCACACTTTCACTTATATTTATGTTTAAAGGAGAATGTCTGATACGCTCGATTCTTCCAACAAGAGCTTCGACCTAAATAAACGCATTTTTAAAGATTGGTGAATTGCAACAAAATATTTCAGGTGACTGAATACCTTTAAAATTGTTGATGTCATATATAGAAGTTGTCGATTTGTTGATGAAAGGGAAATTGTTATTAATTACCATCAGAAGGTGCACATGGCTGAAATGTGCATCTAGTTTTCTGCACTACTAAAATACACACTGAACAGGTTACGGGGAAACTCTGAAAGATACAGTTTATACCCCAATCACCCCATCCATATTTGCCAACATTTATTATTGAAGGTGTGGTTGTACCTTTGCATGTTCCTTTTGTACATCAATTAAAAGTTTGTCGACACGGGATGGACTGTGATGTAATCGCCCAGTGGATACGTTGACACAACCTGATGAAACTCTTCTTGTTGGCCAGAATTTGCTGATATCAACTTCCGCCTGAAAATGATAAACTTTGTTCAACGGTTTGATAAGCAAACACACAATCGTATGAACTGTACGTGACAACAATGGCAGGTTACAGGATAATTTAAACTGAATATTCTGTTTATCGTCCTTAATTTAAAAACAGCATCCATCCGCCTTCAAAGCAACTGGCCACAGCTCTTTTAATAACTGTCGATTTCAAAGTTTGAAGAACATTATTATCGCGATTTTTTTCTTTATTTAGCTAAAAACTGAAGTCTTTCTCAAGTGAACAGGGCACTAAGGGCAGTTCTACTGCTGTCCTCTTTCTTTACTCTAACTTTCCGAAAGCCACCCCCGCTTCCCAATTTCTTTTTCTTGTTCATTTGCAACCCATGCCATTGTAATTTACTATTAGCCTAAAGTTGTCTTTAGTTGTGAGCTGTAAGTTGACCTTACCCAAGTTACTACAATGATGGCCTTACCCAAGTTACTACAATGATGCTGGGCTCTAATTTAATCATACTTAATTCACCTGCAACCCTTGCCATTGTAATTTACTATTAGCCTAAAGTTGTCCTTAGTTGGGAGCTGTAAGTCGAATTTACCCAAGTTACTACAATGGCACTGGGCTCTTATTTATAATCATACTTAAGATTACATTTCTCGGCGTGAAAATCGCTCGTGAATATAGCATTTTTAGGTAATAACATTTAGAATTATTAACCACTGCGCCTAAAAACAAACTTGAACATACCTTGCGGCGTTCCTTTTCAAGATGCCTGAGTTGTTCATAACACTGATCGATCCTTATGTGGAGTTCATTGCTTGGATTGTGTTTCGGATACGAGGAACCCGTGAGACTTTCCTTCCCACGACCTATCCACGAATCATCGTCGGATTTACAGGAAATGGATCTTTGAAAGGGTATAGGCTTGCCCTGGTAATCCGTCATTTCGCATCCTTTCCACGAGGTGCAGTATCCGTTCTTGAGCTGTTGCGTCTCACCCTCTCCCTTTTCATAGCCGCTACCCAACTGTCCATTCTGTGGCCATGAACCACTGAGACACACCAGACCTACAGATGGATGCGCTGGCGATACCCTGCTGAAGTCAAACGATCCTCCCTGATCTACGAGCTCACCACGACGAGCGTTTTCGGAGTCGCTCAAATGCGTCCAATCGTCATGAACGGTGGGCGAGCAGTACTGCGGATTGAAGAAGCTACCGTTTCCAAGACTTTCAACCGAGGATGACATTTGCGGTGAAGGAAGGCTTTCATAACCGTTGATGAAAGGAGTGCCATTTTCGCTTCTTCCCAAATACGCCACGGGAGATGATGAGGGAGATTGGATGACCCAGCCATGTGGTGGTACGGGACTCGGGGAGGTAATTGGGGTGTTTAAGGAATTGTTGTGGTTTACATCAGCGTTGTTTTGCCAAATATGCTCACCGGGAAATGACGAAGATTGATGTTCAGGCTTAGAGGTATAATCTGGTGATGGTTGAGGACTTGGAGATGGCCAAGATAGGGAGGATTCGCTAGGCCTGGATGACACAAAAGTAATATAATAAACAATTGCAGAACATTTTTAATGAGGCTTGTGTATGTAGTAGGTAATGGTTGCCCCTTTTCCCTGAACTGTTCTGTTGAAAATTTATGGTGTACTGAATTTTCAGGAGAAAACCATTATAGTATATTAAAAAATGTGAATAAATAAAAAAATAGTATTGAGACGCACCTTGTAGGGTCGACTGTGAGTGGTAAGAATGTTTCAGCTGAAGAAGTGTTGCTTTCTTCAAGGTTAAAAATGGTCTCATCATCAAGAACCTTGGAAAGCAGGTGTAATGCAATGTGTTGTGACGGAGGACCAGCAGGACCATATACACTCTCGCCATTCACTATTTTTCATCCATAATTTGGACGTCAGCAAGATTCTCTGTGATTTCTTGCTCACTTGTTTAACATCTGCATTCTTTTTTCAAATGAACAATTTCAAAAATCAATAACCATTACAAAGAAAGAGAAGGTTGCAATAGAAAGAGCATACAAGTCTTTCATGTTCACAATAAGAATCACACAAGGCATAAAATAATACATAAGGTAAATTTAGATTTAAAATATAAAATTGACAGTTAACAACATGACTGTGTGCAATGTTTTGTCAAAAAAAATCACCTAAAATAAGAGTGTGAAATATATACGAGGAAGAAAAATAATGGAAAACAAAGCAAAGATAAAATGAATTTGCACCACATTGCATACTTTTACTGCGCTAAATGTGATTCACAAATTAGAGGGCATTTACTGAATAACTATTAAGACAAAAATAGGCAGGTGCTTTTATAATACTGACAGGCTTCATTTCAAAAATAAGAACACAGGATATGTGTGGATGGAACAAAAAGGATTAGTAATAGTATATATAGATTTTCCTAATAACAAATATCCATGCATATTTCAAATTGATGGTAGTATCAATCAGACTTGAATTTAAGAAATGATCTTTCCCCCCAAGGATTAAGATAGCCAGGCAGTGACACCGTACAATAGGCATTTCAGGTATATTGTATAAAGTATCTGCAAATTGTAATCCTATATAGGATATATATAGCATATTGCATGCCTCAAAAGATACTCATGAGGATAATTTGAGATCAATAGTTTTCTTTGGAAACACAAAAATTGGAACATATGATTTGAAAGTTTGATACCTAAGCCTACACGATCATGGGTCAAATATTGGTATCCACGACTTTATAAAGACAACTAATTTGCTGAAACATTCCTGAAAAGCACAATTAATTAATACATATAGCCCTAAAATATTACAACTGAATGCAAAGTTCAATTGCTCTTACTCCCGTTTTCTGGCTAAATTTACCCTTTACTATGTATGGTATCAAAGTTATTTACATACTATGCTCTTTCAAGTGAGTTACTAGAGTATTTGGTAAGTGTTAATTTGAGACATGCACAGCTGTTTCATGGTGACATAAAATACCTATATATAAAGTGTACAAACAAATTGCCATGTGTAAAGTAACTTGAAAAAGACATAACAAGAACATATACTATGTAAACAAAGTCTTACAACCTCTAGGGTAAATTATACAAAGGATTATATCAGATAACACCATGACATTGACTGCCATTAAATAGTAAACAGTAAACAATAAAATCAAATTTCATTATATTCAGTTATCAGACCATTAAAGTGGTTTTAACATATTGCTTCGTATGAAAGAATTTTCATGTAAAATGGCTGCGAATTAAATATATTGAATAATTACTAGTTTAAAACCCTGATTCTCAATGCATGCAAGACAATGTGTATATTACATTAATACCGTAGTAAAACTTCGAACAGAAAGTTCCCGTCAAACTAAATTACGTAAAACGTGATAACATTTCTAACGAGAAGAACTAACTTTACCCCAAAACAGAAGCTGGGAGACACGACTATATTTTCTAAATATGCTCAGTGAAACAACAAACTGAAGCTGTGAACGAGGTAAAACGCGATTTAATATTTGGAAGCAAAATTTCTGAGATCGTGATATATTTATTCTTATTAGACCAAAACAACACAATAAAACCCATAAATGTTTACCTGTGCCAAGTAGCTGTTCAATTTCTCTGGTGTACTTAAGTTCCACTTCGGCACAAATGGCTGAGCAGAAGGATTTGGTATAAACTAGACAATTTAGACAACAATATTTATAAAACTTTCGCTTTTATACATAATAACATTACCAAAGAAAGCAGCCGTTCTTTCGACACTATTATCCGCGAAGTCCACGGCAAGAGTACTGAGTTTTCGGGCCGACATGAAACAAGTTATTCTGTTATTTGTATATACAGAATAATAGATTTGTGCATGTATGCTTTCCAGGCTGAGTCCCAGTACAAAACCAGATACAAACCTTCGATTCTGAGTCGCCTGTTCGCGGTGAATAGGTTTTAGAACTAACTTTTTCTATTCTCTCATTTTGGCCCATCTCATTGTGGGCGGAAAACGCCATTATATTTCCATCCCGGCATTATTATTGCTTGTTGTATTTTGTGATCAAGCTTTTGTAAAGGAAATTCTCGTCGATCGAAAACTGTTTTCAGCGATGTTGCGTCACTGAAGGCCTGGAGCGAACCAATAGAAATCATGAGAAGTATCCACTGAGAAATTATCACGGCTACTGAGATCACGGCTCAGAAAAACTAAGATGTACACATACACTGAATGTGGAAGTGCTCTTTTTATCAGTTATATTTTTATCAGTTATACATGCAGTGTATCAAAAAATTTCAACACGCTATTGTAAGTGAACCATTGAGTCTATAAACGAAATTTTTACACATTCGGAGAGATCAGGCTCTTAGCTATTGGATGATATGTTTTTGAAACCAAATGGTCAAAAAGCTATATGAGGCGGATACAAAATTTTACTTAGAATTGCATATTTTTACCTTCGTCCTTTGCGAGTTTTAACTGAAACCATTGAAATTCAAGCAGCGACATGTTTGTGATTTTTCTATTGTTATCCCCTGCTTTAATTACGCTCGGCCTCAGAGGTGCCGGAAAATACGCGCGATTCTGACCAACATTTTTATTGAGCCTCGTATTTTCTCATTTTTACCCCATGAGCAAAAACATGTCATTGATCTTTCCGAATGTGAAACAATTTCGCTCATGGATTGAGACATTAAATAGTTCTTGAATACTAGCCCGCCGAATTCGGATTTTTTATACACCTGGTACATGTATGTATCGAGTTTGTAAATTTGTATTCTCAAAGTCATTATCAAGCCAATGTAAAATAAGTTTGAAATATCGCCGGAGCATGTAATTTCATTATGATTGTCTGCTGAAGGTTATTCAACGGATACGAAGATCAGATAAAAATCGTTTCAAAGGTTGTAAATTTCACTTCGAGATATTTCGTCTCTGAAACGGAGCTGAAAGCCTTTATGTTTGTAAAGCCTTGGCGGACATCCGGCAATATTCACTTTTGTTTCTCCGGTATAACGGCAAAAATTAATATTAACCGAACAATAACCTTAATTAGTGCCAAAAAAAACACATGAATACTTCCGATCATAAGACAAATTCGCAAATTGGACACACAGCCATATTTTTACTCATCATCCGCATTCTATCCCTTGATCCGCATTTTATCCTCTCATCCGCATTTTAACCCCTCATCCGCATTTTATCCTCAAACCCGCATTTTATCCCCTCATCCGCATTTTCCTATCCGCATTTTTTCATCCGCATTTTTTCATTCGCGAATGCGCGAAACGGATCCTTCCATCCAAGGTTTGATTGAACAGGTCAAATTTGCTCTCTAATTGCGCAATGTCCTTATCCAGCATGTCGATTATCTAAAATATAACGTAGATAGATATAAGAGTAACGTGTCGATTATCTAAACCGCAAAATAGATAGATAATAGAGCAACCAATGAATCAGCTTACACCGTTCAGGGGGTGGCCACTATAATATATACCTAAGATTATTGCACTACGTACGTTAATTTTCCCTTATTACCAACAATTAACGCTCTCTGTATAGCAGCACATGCAGGCACCTTTCACACTGTAATGACTATATCGAACTTGTCACGTAATTATTCCTTGTTGTTTAGAGTAGTTTAATCATATTTGTTCCTTCACAGTTTTCGATTTATTTAACAGTTATCGATTTGCTGGAAAATCTGGATTATAACAGCCGGGATATAGAATACAAAAGATCGTTACTGAAACTCGTTGCAGTTAAATGTTATTAAAATCCCCGGTGAACACTGGACATATAATACAATAACGGATATATATAGGTCTAGACGTAAACTAATCTCACTAGCAAAAATTCAAATTCAATATACTTAATTAACTGACATATTTGCATGCAGGTTTTGTGCATGGACATGTGTGAATTAGCCATTTTCCAAACGAGCAGGGTACTGGGTGTTGTCGCGAACTGCAAAGCACCTATGGACTGTTTGGAGGGACAAATTATTTCAGAGTTATATTTCCTGTCCCTCCAAACAGTCCATAGTCATAGATGCAGCGGTTCGCGACTAGACCCAGTGTCCTGATCGATTGGAAAATGGCTAATTGTTATATATTGTTCGAATACCAATCTAATTTGAAATAAGTTTCTAAATGCATGCGAACGACAAACCACATTGCAATATAATTCACCAGCTATAAAGGAACCAGGACCCAGTCTCTTTAATATATTCACAGCAACTGGCCAGCCCCCTTGGCATGATCGGTACTTATATTTTAAAAGATTGTTAAATGCATTCTTCAGTTTATAATATGACGTCATATAATACTGTTTCAAAAAGATCGCAGCGCGTACAGCATAGTGCATTGTCAATATCAACGTCATCCGTCGAATAAATGCATGTGGTCGAATATTACAGCAGACCTCTCAAGTCCGGGAGACTCCCGGTATTAAGCTAATTCTCCCGGCCTCCCGGTAAACATTCATACTCTCCCGGTAAATCGGTAATAAAGGCTCAGAAGCAATTTCGTTTTAATTTAGTCTTGTCGTCTAACAAATTTAGTGAAAACGTTATATAAATTATAGATAACATTTGACAAGTTTTACGCACGAGGTCGTTCAGCCTTGTGTGGCCGGGAAAATTTCGACTTCGTGTAAATCACTGAGTACTGTGTCTGTAAATCTGTTCAATTTGATTGCAACTGGGGATATCGAGGGATATAACCATGAAAAATACTTTGGACATGCGTTTAGGGATTTTAGGGATAATTTGGGATGGCTGAATTGATGGCGTAACACGTTTTTTTAAGTACTTCAATCACTGTGTGAACCTCCAGGTTTTTTCTAAAAAATTCAGGTTTTGTGTGTTCCTAGAAATCAAATGTCAAGGTTTTTAGTCTGCTGGGGTTGAGAGGTCTGTTACAGGTCTATGATAAGTTTATAATCTAATCCAAAGCATGCTCACAAATATTTGAAACCGCTCAGTTATATATTGTTATTGATTGATATAATAGCATTTATATTCCGTGCGACCGCATCAAGAACTTTAAATTCACAAATTACGTACCTATAAAACTATTACTTACACAAACTATGCATGATTCGCATGATATGACATCAGGCTTTTTACTACCGCGTAATTTTGTTTCGTAATTTAGTAACAGGGTTTTTAACAAGTTAGAACTGCATCGTCTGCATGGTTTTACATCTTTCATCTTTTAACAGGGTTTTACATAGCCGCCATCTTGGTATACCACGTACTCAAACTGCGCGATCATGCTTATGCATGACCTTCTAAAAGAATAATACGAAGCGCCGAATAAAATTAAAATGCCCAGAACTTTTATTTAAAAACTACAAACACTTTGATTACAATTACTTTCTTAAGCTAATTACACGCAAAATTAGCTGAACTAATGTCACACATAATAATAAACTTCAACTTCAGTGGGAGTGAAATAGTAACTACCAGCCAATAGTGCTTTGGTATTACTGTTGCCATAACCGTAGCCAGATGGAGGACGGTAGGTGTGACCAAAATTTGAATATGAATTTCTGTTCTTGTTAGCATTGCTTGAGATATATATCATGTCCGCCACCAAACGTTGGTCCATATGACGGGTTTGTGTAAATTGCATTGCTGCTGTATCTGTAGACGTCTGATCTGAATGGACTCAAGTTGTATTTGTTGCGCAGGGAGAAAACGTAGCTGCTCGAGCTTGATCGGTAACTACCACTGGACCCTAAAATTACAGATAAGTTCCGATTACCGCGAGGTTTGGTAGTCCATGGTAAAGAATATTAATATAAGCTGGGCTAATTCCAACTGTGGGTGTTGACCTATATAGATTAATTTTGAATTACGGTGCTTTCGCTGTTCAACGTCCTCGAGTAGCATTCCTCGACTCATGTCTGATCAGGAAGCAGAAATCAGAATATGCCATATGGAATGATGGAGTTAAAATATCGTAAATTCATCTAAAACCACCCTGTCAAGGTGCCTTCCTTGTTTCCAGTACCTCGATCGTAATTATAACATAGCCTAAATGCCTAATGTATATGAATTAGCATTCTTTTATACTGAACTTACCACCCCAATAATAAGGTGAGTATCCACCGAAGATGTAATTCCCAACTTTAACCAAAGTGATTGTTTTCCCTCTATAGTCACATCGCGAATGAAACACATGAGAATCCCAGCCATCCAGTGAAGCTCTCCAACAGCATCTTAGATTATTAAACGAAAACCATGCTTTTAACTGCTTAAGAAAACTTTCAGGTTGACCATTCAGGACTGTGGAAGCCAAAATATAACCTAAGAGCAAATAATATTATATGCATTTGGACCCTGTTCACCCTATATACCGGCAAAATTTGAAAACGGTACGAAATTCTGTACAAAATTATGTAGTTATTTTCCGGAATCATCGACAGTTATTGCCTTCAGCCTTGAACACTTTACTTACGTGAGTGTATTAATGTACTTACGTGAGTGTATTTTGTTATTCAAGGTTTTATTGAAACTGTCGAATTTACTCTCCAATTTCGCAATATCTTTATCCAATATTTTGATTATCTACAATCAAAATTTGTGTAGAAATTCTCAATTGAACATCATTAACTAAATGATAAAATATCAAAAATAATTTTCCAAATTTACAGTTTTTTGTAGTTTAATTTTATGTTTATTGTGTGTGATATATGAATATGCCATTGGAACATGCAACACTAAACATGCATCTACTAGCTCATGCAGCCTATATATATAAATAGCTATCTGTATCTTCAGGTATCAAATTATAGGTGCATGCGCTATATATGCTCCTGCATGCATGGATATCATAAAAAGCATCCCAACCTTCTTTTCCTCAGCCAACGCGTTTAATTTATTATCGCCTTGAACGTAAAGTTTGTTGTTGTCTTTCCTGTACACTATCATTCCTTCGACACTTGGTATTTTCTTTGCTGTTGCATTGTCCGGAACAACCAACATCTAAAAAACAAAAGTAAATATTATATTCTGAGTTAGGCCCTATATACTTGGACTACATATATATAACCTGCCTTTCTCATGGCTTTAGTTCGATACAATATAAACTAACTTACTCCTTCGTAGTAAAGAGCCTTGCCTTTCGCACAGCGTCCCTGTTAATTAAGAAAACGCACAAGACAGTAATGAGTAATCATTACAGCAGTGAATAGTTACTTGCATGCACATACAGCCAATTGCAAACACTCGCTATTATTCGGCAGCTTCGACTAGAACTGGATTCTAAACTAAATGGATTCAAAATCATTCATGCTGATTTAACCGAGAAAATCATAATGTTTTGTCATACTTTAACATATTAAATAAAACATAATATTATATGACTAGAATATTTCATTGATCCATCAACTAAAATCAAGCATTCTGATTGGTTCCTGCATGAGCAGTCGGTAACCAACAGTACGGACCGGCCAGGTTTCTCTTAACCGTTTTTAGTCATATAATAAATAGTTTATTGACTGAGCTTGTTCGGTCCGTACAGGAGGAAAAGCAAGCGAAAAAAGAACTCGACCAGTATCCTCCTGTATGGACCTCTCGCTCAGTCAATAACATATATATACAAATCGTAAACAACTAGATGCATGATAACATTTTCGCGATCGATTTGACAGACTCTTAACACTGCATGCATGTGTAGCTATATTTGAGCGACAAACCTTCTTTGGTAATTCATTTCCACCGAGAAGTTTGTACCACACAGAAGCGCCATTTTCGATCACTTTGTAGTCCATGCATGCATTTAGTCCACAGTTTTGTCGGAAGAACAGATCTCACCCAGAACCAAGTGTATACAGTTTCTCGGACTGTTCCACCATTTCGTGAATCACATTCTTTGAAGCAATAGTTCTTCGTTCCATTCTTTGGTCCGTAGCATCCGCAACACTGTGCAAATGTATGAAATTGAAAAAGCTGAATATGTTGTGCATAATAATACTATACATATATCGGGAACTAAGAGGGAGAGTGGGAGCAAAAAAATCTATATCTATACTGCTTTTAATATATACATGCACTTCATGTATGATCCCGAGGGAGATAGTGAGTTTTGTACTAACAGTTAAGTGTTTTGTTATATAGGAACAAAAACATACATGTTACACAACAATTTCATGTAAAAAAAGCCACTTTACTTTGTTATGACAAGAAACGGGCAACAATTTTTCACTTGTTTCCCTGGCGGGAAACATTGCATTTATTTATATTCATGTGACTACGAATGAACCAATCACATTTAAAATACACAGCACCTATACAACAATTTCGGTTATAAACTCTCCAGTAAAACACTACAGATTTGCAAGTGAGTACATACACATTTTACGGTGTTGACTTGACGATCGTTAAAGAAGAACTTTAGCTACATCTTAGTGGTCTTACATCATGAGATGAGAGACGCTGCTTTTGAGAGAGATTGAAATGAAGTGCTTCATGAAATGTTAAATGGACAAACCTGGCCATTGTCGCAACCAATGAAAGCGGTCGCTCCGTAATTTATTCCGGAAATCCTGTTCTTTGTGCTGTAGCTATAAAACAAGACGCGAGTGTAATTGTGTAAAGAATACATAAGTAAAATTGTAATAAAAACAAACAATGCACGATTGCACACTTACTTAATAAGGGGAATATTATAATATATAAGTGGTGTATGATTTGCACTGAATGCGCTGTCTACCGCATTGCTATGTAACTCTTATAAAAACATCCAAGTCATTAGGCGTAACCAGGACATAAACTTTGAAGGAGAGGCAAGCGCAATAAAGGGGCTTCGTGCACCATCCCTTCATATAAAAGGAATAGATCAAATTAGATCATTTATCAACTATATATATTTGTTGAAAGTCCGACTTCTTAATAGACCTTTTCGATAATTATATACGACACAACATTATCATTAAAATTTAGAACCACCGTAAATTAGATGGATTCGAGTTTACTCTCACAATTTGGCTATGTGCAAAAATACAAAACATCCTTCTTCAACACATGCATGAAAAAGAATTTTTCATTTTCACAAATAAGTATGAAAGTATGCCATAACGCGGGAACGAGGCTCGCGGTCTTGGCCCCTGAGCCTCGTTCTCATGTTATGGCTTATTTCCAGAATTTATTGGTCAAAATAAAAATCTTTTACATGCATGTGTTGAAGAAGGATGTTTTGCATCTTTGTACGTGGTTCGTGAGAGTGAAACTTGAAATCCATTTCATTTAAGGTGGTTCTAAATTTAAAACGTTGTGATGTTAAAATGTTGTGAGGTAATTAATGTGACGTAAAGGTCTATTCGCACATATGTAAGTATAAAAAATGTTTTACCTGAATGCCCCAGAGTAGTCGGTTTGAAGAGGAAATTTGTGATGAAAAGCAAATCCCCAGCGACATGGCCTTTGCAAGCAATAATTCATCCTAGCCTGATATAGAATAATCCGTGCTTTATTTTTTTGCTTAAATCATCATTCAAAATCTCAACGTGCTGGAAAGAGGAATTGATGTGAACTATCCCAAAACAAAGTATTCAAATTAACTAAAAAATTTGGTTATACCTTTCGGAAGGTTTGTATGCATGCAATAGGAATTGTGAGTTCACACACTGAAAGTATACGGATGATGATTTGATCGTCGAAAATACTAAAAATGCATGCGCGTTTATTTGACTTGCAACAACAACTAAGTCTAAGACTACGCACCCATCCAAATTGTGTCTTTGCGTTATGAGCCACGCCAAATTTCGAGCAACGAAAGTTTCGCGTTACGACGGTATCGGTTAATAAATTTTTCACAAACTGTACGTCTCCTATTCCTGGCGACGATTTCTTACATCCTCCTTTATTTATGATCATCAAATTCTTAAGTGCTCGTGGTTTTCGAAGTCTATAGTACCTGCATGAAGAAAACCATATAGAAATTATACATCAATATCACAATATGTATAAACTACCAATATATATCATTTTTGATACGTATACATGTTTTTAAAGCTCAACTTAACCTTTCATAGAAACTTACTTCACTGCAGATTATCAAAAATATGTGCTTGAAATATTGCTGATCTTATTAACAATATGTTACAGGGAAATGTTTGCGATAAGTAATGTATAAAACTATATAAATTATATAAATGATAGTAAGATAAATAATAGTATATAGTAAGATAAATAATATATTAATTTCCTTCTGTGAATATTCGAGTTTGCATTCAGTTTGCATTCGAGATGCATTAATTTTTCATTTAATTATAGATGGTATGGGAAAATTTCCACATACCAATGTGCCTTTGTTGCCTCAAATTTTTCCTGACTTGAAACTTGAACTCTAAAATCAATGATTGGTGCATTGCCCAATGAGCTTATCCAATGAGGATCGCCAAATGGTTCAACTGGAGTGTTGCTGGAAGGAACAGTCCAGGTTATCGATGTATTCTTGCGACCAACCAAATAGAAACCCCCTCCGTCGGTAGTCATATCACAATAAACCTTTCAATATATAAATGCATGTATTTTAAATATTAATGTTTCATCATACTTCAGTAAAGTCGAAGTTCACACAAGCTTTCGATTGACTCGGTATACTTTCCAGCTGTATCACAATCTTTTTATAAAATTATGGCCGGATGATATTTAATATACTATCCAAAATGTTATCATAATTGTCCCAAAATTCTGGCGTCTTAACATCTATCAGGAAAAGCTATACTTCTATACTCTGCTGACAACTTAATTGACATAAGTAGCTATACTATACAAATCCGAATTAAAAAGAACTGAATTATCATCGTTACCAAACTGTCGGATTTGTACTGTTTATCTAGTTTATTTTAAGTGAAGTACATACTTTTCTTGGTATTTTGTACCCAAGTGTGATCCAGTAAAAACCATCTTTAGCCTTCGGGTCTTTGTTCAATATGCTGGTGCAGTCGTAGGCTGGACTGAAAAATTCACCTGTTGGACTAGATCCTATAATGCAGGTACTAAATTTTATGACAGTTAAAATACCAGTGAAGCATGCATAACTTCAGCTTATAAATAAATTTAGTAAAACTGATTTTTATATTTTGTATAAGCAATATAGTGTATTACTCGTTAACATACGTTAAGATTTAGTTATAAATGTTGTCAACGAGATGATTCCAGTTTGATACATAATATTGTATATATAAAATGTATACCATCCAATGTTCTCCATCCAAAAATTCCATCGTCGTTTGTACAGATCAGGAGTTTATGTTTCTTTTGTCGATCTCGAACCACCATAACCTGACCATTGTTCTTACTTGAACATAATCCAGGATTGTTTCCCCTGAGTTTCTTGATTTTCTTGAAAAATAATAAAGAGATCATGGTACAAAATTAACTTTTAACGGTTAGCTTACAATCAATACAATGCATATATAAATCCATGCATGCATTCATGTATACGTAAAAATAATACATCTAAAGGGTATAGAATCAGAAATACAAATTTGGAATGTATATGCATGGTTAATGCAAAAGAAGAAAATGCAAAAGCTAATGGACAACAAGTCTATATATTTACCGCGGTAACAAAAGTTGTTAAAATCACCAACAAGAATACCGAAAAGATTAACCAAGTCTTCATGTTGTCTTCCCTTCAGCAAGGCAAATACCAGCAAACCTGCAATGACTCTAAGGATTTCATTCTCCTTATTTGTAATGGCTGTAAAAGACAGGAGCTGAAACGAAGACAGAAGACGATTCCTACAACAATAGCGGCTAAATTTCATTCGATTTCATTAACATGAACAACACTTAATTAAGCGCGGTATTAATTCACACCAGGATGAAAGAGATGCTCATGCAGTGCATTATGATACTTCATCGGGAGTTTTAATCCTATATAGAGAGAGAATAATACATGGATTTGCGGAAATATGCAATTTATTTCGAGTGTTGAGAACGATATCGAAGGAATGAGCACAGTGAACGAGTGAGTCATCTTTCTCAACACGAGAAATAAATTCCATATTTCCTAGCATCCATGTATTATTTTGTTTACTATATAATAAAAAACTGGGCTTTTTGAACAGTTTTTTATCCCCCTTCCTGATTCCAGATCGGTGGATCAAACACGATAATCGCTCATGTGTTATTATCATGAATATATCGCACATGCGTTATTGTCGCTTTTCAAAATTGCGGATTCGTTAATAAAACACTGCATATTATATATATAAATAACAATAATCGCTGTGAGGTCAGTTAATTTTACTGATAAATGTTTGTAAACTAAGTGGGTTTGAGTTGTTGATGTATAATAATAACGTTTTTGGGTAGGTAAACCTGTCTGCCTTTTCTTACACATGCATTATTTCATGGGAATTAATTTGGCCTATGTTATTAAAATATGATTGTTGGTATTAAATTTGCGACGCCGAAATATTTCAGTAATGCTAAATCCATTCCTTCAAACGACGAAAGATATTTTTAAAAACATAATAATATAGTGTTTTATATAGGGCGGAGGTGGTAATAAAATGTTCAACTGTACGTAATCTATATTAATTTCATAAACTCCTATAGGACCTGTCACAACATGATTGCATGAATTTCAACCTGTATGCATCGGCATGTCTAGCTGTTTTATTATTCGGAAAAATGGGCTGGTATATATATACATTTGCCTAATGGTGGTATCGACACAGGTGGATATATTTTTTAATGAAAGGGGATTCAAATCATTATATCTTATATATCCATCGTACATGCTGCAAGTACATGCATGTAACTATATATAATTATATAGTATAAGATCGGAGACCTTGTATGATCGCATAGGTATCATAACATCGTATTATCATATAAAATAATTTAGTTAATTAGATTGCTGGAAAATCTGGATTATAAGAGCCGGGATATAGAATACAAAAGGTCAATGCTGAAACTCATTGCTGTTATATGTTATTAAAATACCCGGTGAACACTGGACGTATAATACAATGACGGATATAGGTCTAGACGTAAACTAATCTAGCTAGCTAAGATTCCAATTCAATATACTTAATTAACTGACATATTTGCATGCAGGTGTTGTGCATGGACATTGCAGTGAATTAGCCATTTCAGTTCCAAACGAGCAGGGTAAATTGATTGGGAAATGGCTAATCGGTATATAGTTCGAATACCAAATTATAATTTGAAATAAGTTTCTATATTAAATGCATGCAAACGACAAACTACATTGCAATATAATTCACCAGCTTTACTTTCATATTTTAAAAATGGTTAAATGCATTCTTCAGTATATAATACTGACGTCATATAATACTGTTTCAGAAACCACTCGTTGCATGTGTTGAAAAAATCGCAGCGCGTACAGCATAGTGCATTGTCAATATCAACGACATCTGTCGAATAAATGCATGTGGTCGAATATAACAGGTCTATACTGAATAAGTTTATAATCTAAATCCAAAGCATGCTCACAAATATTTGAAACCGCCCAGTTATGTATTGTTATTGATTGATATTGAACATTTATATTCCGCGGGACCGCGTCAAGAACTTCAAATTTTAAATTACGTACCTATAATTATTATTACTTACATAAACTATGCATGATTCGCATATGACATCAGACTTTTTACTACCGCGTAATTTTGTTGCGTAATTTTGTAACAGGGTTTTTAAAAAAGTTAACAAGATTATTGGAACTGCATCGTCTGCATGGTTTTACATCGTTTTACATCTTTTTCACATGGTTTTACATCAGGTTGCCTTTATTCAAAGTTGAAAAGTCTGAATATACAATATATCTTTGAAGAAAAATTACATAGGAATGCAACCGCCATCTTGGTACTCAAAATTCGTACGCGGCTTTGCTGGATGCGCGATCATCACGCTTCTAAAAGAATTATATAGTACCGGCGAAGTGAATAGAAATAAAATGCCCTGAACTTTTATTTCTAAAAACTACAAACCCTTTGATTACAATTAGTTTCTTAAACTAATTACATGCAAAATTAAGCTGAATTAATGTCACACATAATAATAAACTTCAACTTCAGTGGGAGTGAAATAGTAACTACCAGCCAATAGTGCTCGGGTATTACTGCTGGTATAACTGTAGCCAGATGGAGGACGGTAGGTGTGACCAAAATTTGTATGTGAATTTCTGTTCTTGTTAGCATTGCTTGAGATATATAGATCATGTCCACCACCAAACGTTGGCCCATATGACGGGTTTGTGTAAATTGCATTGCTGCTGTATCTGTAGACTGCTGATCTAAATGGACTCAAGTTGTCTTTGTTGCGTAGAGAGAAAATGTAGTTGCTCGAGCTTGATCGGTAACTACCACTGGACCCTAAAATTACAATCAAGCTCATTACCGCCATGTTTTGTAGTCAACAGTGAAGAATATCAATAACGGACGGCTAATTCCAATTGGGATTTAACTTGGATGTAGACTATAACTTACTCTTCGTGTCTCATGCGATCGAGGCATGTATAGTATAAGATAGTGCATGAGCTAGGTGATTAAACATCTCAAGTTAAACCGGCAATTCTGTCAATTAATGTTCTCTGTTTCAGTGCCTCGTAACATATTTCTATGTTATATGGCCTTAATTGGTCAAACGTCGCTCTTCGCATGTGCCGAACCTAATGCAAACGAGTTCAAACAAAGACTTTAATTCATATGCATTAGGTTCGGTGCATGAAAAGAGCGACGTTTGATCTAGGCCTTAAACTTACCACCCCATTGATAGGTTGAGTATCCACCGAAGATATAATTCCCAACTTTAACCAAAGTGATTGTTTTCCCTTTATAGTCACATCGCGAATGAAACACATGAGAATCCCAGCCATCCAGTGAAGCTCTCCAACAGCATCTTAGATTATTAAACGAAAACCATGCTTTTAACTGCTTAAGAAAACTTTCAGGTTGGCCATTCAAGACTGTGGAAGCCAAAATATAACCTAAGAGCAAATAATATCATATGCATTTGGACCCTGTTCACCTTAAATACCGGCAAAATTTGAAAACGGTACGAAACTCTAACTTGGGGTTGCCTTTGCGGTTAACTATAAGGATTTAATCACTCACTTAATTCACACACAAAATCATTTCACTTTTTGATTCAAATATACCCCATGTACGATCAAAAATACTGATACATTTCCAGGCCCGCACTAAATAAACCTAGTCTAGTAAATATAACATAATACAATATTACCACTTTTTGCCTACTATGACTTCAAACAAGTAGTGCAAAAGCCGAAAATTATAACGGACCATGCAGGGAAGCACCTTCGAACCAGAAGCTCATACGAGGGCTGTTGCATATATAGACGTGATACGGCTGCCGCAGTGTGATTGACCACTCGATCATAGTACTAGTCCGACCACTAGGCGTGTTTGGTTCCGAAGACGTATGTTACCACATAGATATATAATATTATTCATGCATTCAATTTGAAAAATCACTCCCCCCCTCCTTAACAAGTCTTGCAAATAGGAATAGTAAAGGCAAGTTTTAACTTTCCAGGTTCGAAAGCTTCTTATAATGGTATATGCATGATTATCATTTAGACTTTAGTCGCGATAATTCAGAACTAGTCGGTCCTTTGCGAACAATATTCATGAATGCATTTCTTTAAACGTTGGATTTTAACCTTTCGCATATCAATATAGTTTCTATGTTTGGCTGTTATTTCCATCAGCCTTGAGCACCGCTGATGCATGCATGTACTTACGAGAGTTCATTAAACGTATTTTTCTAGTCAAGGTTTGATTGAAGCTCTCGAATTTACTCTCCAATTTCGCAATATCTTTATCCAATATTTTGATTATCTAGAATAAATAGCTGAATGTGTAGAAATTCTCAATTGGACATCATTAGCCTACTGGTAAAATATCAAAAAATAATTCAAAATGTATACAGTTTTTAAACTTTAACACTGTGTTTATAGAACCATGCACTCATGCAGGGGTGGACTGGCCCACAGGAATATCAAGAAATTTCCCGGTGCAATTACCTTCTTTTCTTATATATGTCAATTACCTTCTTTTCCTCGGCCAACGCGTTCATTTTTTTATCTCCTTGAATATAAAGTTTGTTGTTGTCTTTCCTGTACACCATCATTCCTTCGACATTTGGAACTTTCTTTGCTGTTGCATTGTCTGGAACAACCAACATCTGAGCCAAGATAATTAGAAATATTATTTAATTTCATTTGATATGTATAGAAAATACTACATTCACTGCCGTATTACTTACCCCGTCGTAGAAAAGAAGCTCGTCTTTACCACAGCGACCCTATAGTCGATGTTACGAGACAATATTGTAAGCTATATATAGACAATTATTAACATAGCGTATATATATATATATATATATATAGCATAGTTCTTTAGGGAGTTGCGCGTGCAACTGCATTAAACGTTAATAATTAATAACGCTAAATAGGAGTTAAAACGCATGAAATGCCCCCAAACTTTAGCACTTATACGCATTGATTTCACAAAATTGTCTTAAACTTCTATATAACTATAAACATATCCCACATATTATAGGCCGTCATGCATCAGGCATGCACGTCATATACTACATTCCATTTACCCATTTTCGTGCGCACGCAAGCTTTCTTCAAATTGATTTCTAAAAACCACGTCTTTATATTTTTGAAAAACACCACTTTTTACAAACGGTATATATACTGCATGGGTATATGATGCGTCCAAAGGACTCAAACTACTTACACATGCAGATCGAACCATTTTCCTAACGATGCGTGCTCGCACGCGTATATAGAAGACATTTTCAAAGTGCATGTAATTCAGTCTTTTTAATATACACTCATTTATTGTTTTACGGTATATGGCTACTTAACGAGAGAAACTTGCTATATATAAAGTAAGCACGGATTTGGTGTATATATGCTCTAATTTGCAATGCTTTGACGTTAATTACTCTTTTATTACTTTATTAGCTTTAAGCTCTAAGCTAGCTCTATAAGCTCTAAGCAAGCAATTTTCAAACAGTGCTTTGAAATCAAGCATGTTAAACCAAAAATAATAATTATATCTAAAGCTATAGACCTTCTTTGGTAATCCACTTCCACCAACAAGTTTGTACCACACAGAAGTGTTTTTCTCGATCACTTCGTAGTCCATGCATTTAGTCCACAATCTTTTAGGAATAGATGTTCTAACCCAGAACCAAGTGTATACGTTTTTTCGTACGGTTCCCCCATTTCGTGCATCACATTCCTTGAAGCAGTAGTTTTTCGTTCCATTCTTGGGTCCATAACAACCGCAACACTATATATATAATATATATGTATATATATGTATATATATATATATATATTAGCACTATGCATGCATATTATAAGATATTCAAGATTCGTATTCAAGATTGCTAGCGAGAATTTTTAATATTCATAATTCACTATATATCTATTCAACTTTATATTAAGCAAACCTGGCCATTGTCGCAACCAACAAGTGCTGTCGCTCCGTAATCTATTCCAGAAATGCTGTTTTTTGTGCTGTAGCTAAAGTAGGGAGAGAGAGATTTGTTGTAGGAATATTGCTCATCTAAAATATTTCTTAGAATTGTTGTTATATAATAAAGGCATGCAAGAAATATTTTAATGTGAAGCCACGATATTTATAAAAATGAATACGTTGTATATATAGTTCAATGTATATAGCCGTGTTTACACTACAAGCCTGAACCTGCATGGCCTAGGCCTGGCTTTGGCCTAGATCTTCCTAGTGTAAACACACTTTGGCCTGGCCTAAGCCTGCCCTAGGCCAGGAAATCTAGGCCCATCATAACAGGTGGCATAGGCCAGGCCTAAGCGTGGCTTTACGGTACACTTCGGTGTGAACCTAAGGCTTACTTCTATGGCAACGCTTGGTACGAACTTGGGTATGAAGTTCTAGATAGCGTTAAACATAAGTTTAAGTTCTATTTTACATAAAGTAAAAATATGCAAACAGAATAGGCCAAAGTCAGGCTGTCGAAGCGTAAGTGTAAACGCTTCAAAAAAGATCTTGGCTAAAGCCAGGCCTAGGCCAGGCTCAGGCTTGTAGTGTAAACACGGCTTTAAGCTTTAAGTTAAGTATGCATTGCCATAATTGTCCTAAAAAAGATAATATTTTTTACCTGAATGCCCCAGAGTAGTCAGTTTGAAGCGGGTATTTGTGATGAAAAGCAAATCCCCAGCGACATGGCCTTTGCAAGCAATCGTTCATCTTAGCCTGGAAAGGCAAAAGGTCAATATTTCATGCATGGTACTATTTCTTAATATTACTTATAAGGTTTCAAAATATTAAATTTTATAATGTCCATTATATATATATTATATATATATATATATATATATATTATATTAATATATATATAATATATATATATAAATATATTATTATATATATATATATATTATATATTATATATATATATATATATTATATATATATATATATGCACCCGTTTGCAAAACGTTGGCCGCAGATAGATATATAGATAGATACCCGAAATCTAATTAGAATTGCATATGTTGTGTAATATGATTGAAATCCCATGCAAATGTATTCATATGCAATTCTAATTAGACTTCGAGTATCTATCTATCTATCTATCTGCGGCCAACGTTTTTGCAAATGGGTGTATATATATATATATAATATATATATATATTATATATTATATATGTATATATATAATATATTATATATATATATATATATATATTATATATATATATATATATATATATATATATATATATATATATTCCCATCGCTTGTTTTTCAAGCATTCTATGATAATATTTTTCCTGAATTGGTGCAGCATAAATCGCTAAATGCTTAATTGCATGGATATATTCGTATATTATTCATGTTCAATAAGCCCAACTGAAACAATCGCTATATAGCTATCAAAAGGAATCACGCAATCGGGCATAAGAGGAATATATGCTTAAGAATGCCTACCCATCCAAACAGTGTCCTTGCATTATGAGCCATTCCAAATTTTGAGCAGCGAAACTTTGTAGTTACAATGTTATCCGTTATCAAATCTTTCACAAACTGTACGTCTCCAATTCCAGGCGAAGTTTTTCCACACCCGCCTTTATTTATAATCATTAAGCTCTTGAGTGGCCGTGGTTTGCGGAGTCTATAGTACCTGAAAATCAAGGAAAAACATACTTGGAAATATTAAATCACAGAACACTACGTTTTCAGTGCATGGAAGATGTAAATTTGAATGGTCTTAAAACAAAATAATTTCCTTGCATGCACAAAAAAATGGGGATTGAAAAATTAATTGAAAATATATAAATGTTCCTGATGTATACTAAAAAGAATGCATGGTATAATATCTTTATAAAAATATATAATTTTCAACTGATTGATTTTCAATTGTATTGTGAAAACTTTATTGACCGGCAAAATAATTAGTTAACAGGAAAATAAATACACATTTGCTCACCAATGTGCCTTTGTTGCTTTAAAATCTTTTCGAGTTGCAACTTGGACTCTAAAATCAAGAATTCGTGCATTTCCTAATGAACTAGTCCAATGAGGATCGCCAAATGGTTCAACTGGAGTGTTGCTGGAAGGAACAGTCCAGGTAATCGATGAATTCTTGCTACCAACCAAAATGAACCCCCCTCCATCTGTAGTCATATCACAATAAACCTTAAAATGTAAACAATATATATCTATTTCCAGCACTTAGTAAATTTCATCAGCCGGCACTTAGTAATTATACATGTAATTAATAATATATAAGTGACCCGAGTGACGTACGTAATGCAGCGCGCGGTCAAAATATATTGAGACTGGCAAGAATGTCTTGTTTCATCAAAAACTTGTTGGGCTACCTATATGCTCAAAACCTCAAACAGTACTAAAATCTTCAGCATAAAAATGTTTTGCAAACCTGAAAAGCATCCAAAAAGTATGTTTACTTTATAATCACGAAATATTGTGAAAATGAAAAGATTTCTCGGGATACGCCGAGAAGAAAATAACACTTGAATCGAAGCTACTTTTGTATTCATCTCAGTTATAATGGCGTTGACATTATAACATTGTTGATAGCCGCATTATATTTTGTAATAACTCCTTTGTTTGGTGTTTTGCATTCACCAAATACAGTTCAAAACTTAGTTCACAACATAATCTAAAGAATAAAGTTAAAATAAATTAATTCTGAGCGGTACGCCGAAAAGATTTTAGGTTTTGAACGTTTTCCCGCCAAAATACGCAATATAATAAAAAATCTCCTCTTAACTATATTGTCATTATTGCATTTACTATACATGGGGTGTCTCGAAAAACAAAATGGAATCAACAGCACTTCACGAAGGATATAATTTATTGAATTTAATTATCAATTAATTATCCAGTATCGAAGAGCAGTTTTTTAGCCTCCCGAATCCTGACGCATGCAATGATATCTTTTCTTCAGTTCTTAACAACCAGAAATAATCAAATACTCATTAAAATGAAAATTAATGAACGGAATTAAACTTGCCCGATTGAAGGCCAAATGAACCAAATTTGAATTTATGATGAACTCTATAATGCGTGCATGTAAGCGCCAATGAGATTGTTTATCAATTTCAAACAGTGAAAAAGTACGTACTTTTCTTGGAAACTTGTATCCCAATGTGATCCAGTAAAGTCCATCTTTAGCCTTTGGGTCTTTGTTCAATATCTTGGTACAGTCGTAGGCTGGACTAAAGAATTCACCTGTTGAACTTGCTCCATATTATATATATATATATATATATATATATATATATATATATATATTAATATAATAACATATATATATATATAAATATAATATATATATATATATATATATATATATATATATATATATATAATTATATAATAATTTATATATGCATGGATTTGATAATAATTAACTGAAACAAATCCTTTGAATGCATTTCACACTTTAGGCTATATAGTCATGATTTTGTTGCTGTCTTAACAGATGTTGTAAATTGTACCGTCCAATGCTCTCCATCCAAAAATCCCTTCGTTATCTGTGCAGATCAGGATTCTTTGTTTGTTTTGTCGATCTCGAATTAGGATTATCTCACCACTGTTATTTTTCGAGCACACTCCAGGATTATTTCCTTTGATTACTTTGATTTTCTGAAAATAGTTCGAAAACGTGCATGTAATCACTGGACGGTTATGAGGTCCTTACTGTAGAGTACCACATTGTACACATGTACATTCAAACAGCATAACATATAATGCATGTATTGCTAGGTGCACATGAATTTATTATATAGCTGATACAATGCGCGCATGCTTCCAGACATGATAAAATGCAATGTTGAGTCGTTGACTACGAGATCGAAGAGAGAAAATGCAAGGACAGTTAACAAAATATATTTACCCCGATGACAAAGGTGTATGAATTCTCCAACAGGAGTATTGAAATGATCAACCAAGCCTTCATGTTGCCTTCTATTCAGCAATATAGCCTGCAATGACTCTAAGGATTTCATCCTTCTCTTTTGTAATGGCCGTAAAAGACACGAGCTGAAACGGCGAAACCACGAGACGTTTCCATAATTATACTATATAACGCTAAACTTTGATTTGATTTGATTTGATTTGATTGACACGATTCACTTTTGCGTACCTACACGTGGTTTACACAAAAATAGAAGTGGTACTTGGTAATACTTAATTCTCGTGCATATGTGCAAGATTTGAATACAATACTTAGTTCTAGCTCAAAGCTAGTACCAAGAGTCTACATGAAAATGGATATTTCTGTTGACGACTATATTCCCAGTCCTTTTTTCATCCATGCATGCACCACCTATACAGATAAATAAAAGTAGTAGTTCTAACGTTAGCAACGAGTCAGTCAGAGAACAGTCGAGTCCTTAGACAGAAGCTACTGTGGTCAGATATCCCTCACAAATTGCTTACTTTCATTGCAATCTCGTACGATGCAAACAATCAAGAACAAATCTCAATCTCAGGGCATTTTCCCTCCAAGTTGGGGACATCGCTTACGTTAAGCACTTTGCAAAGTCCTAGATGTAGCCATTGAATCTTTGCACTGATGTCGTAACCTTCAACTATAAGCCGGTTTATGATGATTCATTGATTAGACTGATCTCATTTATTTCGAATTTCCCTATCATTTTTCGATCAATAGCGTCCCATATCATGCTTACATGGGAAGATAAATGACATATTAAGAGTTCTAGATTAGAAGTAATTTGTTTTATTGCCTTATAATATATACACGCAGTATTTTAGAAAATATGAAACTTGACATGTCACATGCTTTTATTGTGTAAAAACAGGGGCGGATCGAGCATATTCTCTGACCGGTGCATCGTCCTGAGTCTCGCATAAATAGGGGGGTCCGGGGGCATTCTCCCCCGGGAAATTTTGAAGTCTAGGACCCCGCAAATGCGATTTCCTGCGTTTTGAGCGAATAGTTTGCAAAAAATACACGAATAAAATGAAGAAAAAAACCACTGTTATTTCGCACAAACAGTCAACCACACACGGACAAACAGCATGCTCTTATCTGGATTTCATCACCACCGATCTCAGCGACAACCACGAATCACGAATTCACCGCACACAATCTCCACTCATTACCACGAGTTATGCTTGGAGCGTGATGAGACATAACTACAGTTTTGAACGAAAAACAAACGAAAGGGACTTGACCGGAATGGCAATAACGGGCATTCATTCTGGCCATAGCATTCCACACATATCCACATTGCACCAAGGTTTTGCAAAATAAACAAACAAACAGATTCGTACCATATTAAAATTATAATTTTCAAACCATAACAATTTACATTCCACAATTCCTATTACAGACTCACTTCAACTGTTATAAATAAAAAATCTTCAACCTTGCAACATTGCCAATCATCTCACTTTCAAAAAGCACCCAACAACATTTGGAATAACAATTTTTTACTAAAACAATGCATAAAACTTCTGTTTATTAAAGAGCTCAATGCTAGTAAGGTCTCTCCAATGCTGGTGAGGTCTCTCCATAAATAACAAAGATCCTCTTTGCCACAAAGTAACTTGGAACAAGCCCTACATAGACAAGTTCCATTGCCTTTGGTCCTAAATGCATAAAAATGCATTATTTATTATACGCCATCATAAAATTCTAAGGATTAAGATAATTTAAGGAACATGCACAATTTAAATTATCTGCAATATTTTTTAATTATTAACAAGATCAAAAACACATATAATAGTTTGAACATAAACCTTCTACAGTAATTATGATATTGTTTTAAAAAGGCATAAGTTTAATAATATTACTAAAGGACATAAGTTGTTCTAATGTTCATTTATATACTGTATGGTCCTTGACAATAAATTTATAATCACCGTGTACTAAGGACAAGTCAATTATTGTCAAATGTCAATATTGCTACAACCTTCTGGGTTCTTACCATGATATAATTCTATTGCAAAATATTAATATGAATTTAATATTGATATTATGCAATTGAGAATGACAATTTATAACTTTGCCATTCTAAGCATAATAAATAGAGTGTTAGTTGTTATAATTAACAGCAATATATATTTAATCATAGTATATATTTTTGTTTATTTAATGCTTTTGAGTAATATCTAATGTAACTAGATTTGAGCAGCTGCAAGCCTGTGGCTGTGCCTAGAACTAAAAATATGCCACACTGTTGACTGCCCTCTACATATATCAGAATATGAATCATATCATATATACAACAATATAATATATACAACTACATACAGCTTAATAGTTAATAGACAATAGTTAATACTATATAAATAAGCTATTGTTGGGCCAATGTTGGCAAAATTAGAATATTATTCTTTACTTATTATCATTACTGCAATAAATAGTCAATAATACTAGGATACCAAAATAACCAAACTACCCAAGTACTGACAGTAATGTAAACAAATACTCACTTTAGAGCTCGGTGTTCCCACGC